TGGTTGGTGAAAAGAGATTGATGGCCGGGGTAAGCGCTGGTGGCTACAAGAGACCCAAGAAGAAAAAGAATAGCCTTTCAATCAGCCGAAAGGAGGGCGTCAGATCTGGTGGCGGCGCTGAACATGCTAAACGGCTCCTCTGAGCCTCTGCTTCCTGGCGAGCCAGTCGCCCAACATGTTGTCAAGTTGCTGATAGGAGGACAATCACAGAATCCTGTTAGAAGGCTTTCGAACTGACGTGGAGAAAGGGCAAGCTCGTGGAAAAGAATGATAGGAATGGCGAGGGGTCAACTCACAGTAGTGATCTCTGCCAATTTAGCATTTTGCTCTCTAAACAGAGCGCCTGCAACTGGATGGTCAGGACCGGCCGGTACCACATCCGACTTGTCGTAAACCACAACAAGCATATCGCGAATGTCCACGCCCGAGTCGAAAAAAGCACGTAGGCTAGTGTCGTTCCATGCCGAGCTTGTTGTCGACGTCGACGTCGTGACCGAGTCCTCCTTACGGTGCCGAGCGCTGCTGCCTTCATCGCCGTCTAGCGGCTCGGGGGAAGGCGATGATATAGGCGACGACTGGTCCTCGTCCTGGCTCGACGTGTCGACCATGAGCGGTGGTGGGTTGCTGGAGTTTGCGGGGGAGATCTGGACTGGGGATCCGCCAATATGCTCGACCGCGGCCTGCGCTTTGATGGGCGCCGATGGCTCCATTGGAGCACTACCAACATTCTGTGCTTGTCGCAGCCCTCGAGTTACCTCGTGTCCATCTCCGGGCTGAGCAGCACGTCTGGACCGCGACCCTACTGCGTCGTCGTCACCCGAGTCCGAGTCGTCCAGAGGTGCGCGAGTCTTGGCACTGGTCGTGGTATGTGGCGAGCTCTCCCTGTCCTGCGTCCTGGACTGCGCGATCTTCACCGTCGCCGATATCTGGCCGCTTGTATCCCTTGTGTTCTCAGACCGCGGCGCAATGTCTCGACTGTCTTGCGTAGCCTCCTCCACAATGCGCATGGTGGCTGGAGGGACATTGGCAACGTTGTTGACTGTCGAGGCATCGGGGGCAGCCTCGCGCACAGCGGGGCCAGGTTTCCGCGTCGGCGATGGGTCCACGCGAGGATGTTTCTGCAATTTGCTTGGTTGTCGTTGCGGGGCAGACGCGTCCTCGGGGGATTGCCTATCATCAGCATCGTCGAGCTCCCTGCCGTGCCCATTGTCTGTGCTGCTGTCCATCGATCGCTTGCCGAGCGAGTCGTCGTCGTCGTCGGCCGACTTCTTTTTCCCTCCCCTAGTGAAGAAACTCCGGATTGCGCTGGGCTTCTTTTCCTTGTCCTTTTTATCCTTCTTGCGCTTGTCGTCCTTGCCGAGAACGTTGTCCTTTTCGAGTTTATCAAGGCTGGGTCTCTGCTTGAGCTCCCGAGATTCGCTAGACGTTCTCGGGGCCCCGTCATCTCGTAGGAGATTCGGGGTGAGGGTGATCTTCTTGGTCTCAACCGTCTCGTCTTTGAAGAACGAATCTCGTACGGTCCCATCCTTTGTTCTAGTCGGACCTGGAGTTTCAGACTTGGATGCCTCGAATATCTCCTCGCTGCTTCTGTTCACAGCTTTCCCGTTTAGCTCGTCACCATTGATATCTCCCCCTGTCTTGACTTCTGTTGATGGCCTGTTACTTGAGGCTTCCAGCCTCCCAGCATCGTCCTTGGCCGATTGCTTAGCCCCTGCCTGCTGCTGGTCCTGTGATGTTTGCTGCTGGTCTTGCTGCTGCTGTTTTTGTTGCTCTTGCTCTTGCTGCTGCTGCTGCTGCTGCTGCTGTTGTTGTTGTTGTTGTTGTTGTTGTTGTTGTTGCTGTTGCTGCTGCTGTTGTTGTTGGGCATAGTCGTCCATGTCGCCGTCTTCTTCCTCTGTCGAGTAATCGATTTCGGAATAGTCTACGTAAGTCGGCTCTGCGAACGTTACTCCTTTCGCCTTTCTTCTTCGCATTGCCGTCTTGATGGGATTCTTGGTCTTCTCTGCCTGGTCACCCAGCATAGCGGCCGACAACTACAGGATAGTCAGAGATGCTGGTCGTTGTCTTGCTGCCCAAGTGGGTGATCAACTTACGTCAATGTTCCTATGCTTGTTGAGCCGGGCCAACCTCTCGGTCGGTGTTTCAATGTGCTCGGCGGGGAGGTATCCTGAGAGAAGGTCAATACATGCGCCTCCACGAAGAAGCCGGCCTAGAAGGCAAAATTGCGCAAAGCCGAGGAGACTTACCGATGCTGCTGTCTTTGACCACACGCACAAGCCACCAGTAGCTGTTACTGTCGTCGAGGAGCACCATGGTGTCACCCTTGGTCGCGTTCGCCTGACCCTCGACCGTGGCCACGAAAGTATGCAGGGCATAAACGAATTCGAAATCGATGTCCTCTGCGACTTGTAAGCACTCAGAGCCCCAGCCGAAGTCACGGAACCGGGGGTCAGGATTGTGGGGGTGAAGGAGTGAAGAGTCATCGTCGCCATCGTCCTCCTCCAGTGTCTCGTAGGCAAGCGTTAGTAGGGAGCCGGACGAGTCCGGCCCTATGCAGGTAGAGCTGACGTCGGCAACCTCGACTTCGCACTCGCAGGTCTCAGCGCAGCAATAATGGGACGGTGCTTGCTACACTCCGTCTCCCGCTTTGTCGGCCGAGCTAGGAGCTACCAGTAGCGCCAGACCTTCTTCTTGGCTTTCTGGGCCTTTCTGGATCGTGATTGTCTTGTCGATGTCTTCCAGGTGGACGACAGACGGCGGAGAGACAAGTGGTCGTATAGCAAGCCCCCCGGAGACGCAGCGACGATGGCTATCATGGCCTTGGCCGCCAGCATATAGCTGGTCGGCCAGAGGCAGGTGCTTGGGGGAGTCCGTGTATGGAGAGGACGACCTTGCGTCGCCGAACAGAGGAACCGACGTCGGAGGACTACCCGACGGCGGCTGCTGTGAGGGAGAATACAGAGGGGCCGGCTGTAGGGTGCACCCACCATCTTCGATCGAGGGCGAGCTCGAGATCTTGTCCATCATGTCGTCGTCCATGCCGTCGTCGTCGGCGTTGGCGTCGAGGTCCTCCTCGGACACATCGTGGCCTCCATTCTGCGCGATGGCCAAGGCATCTTGTTGATCCATCTTGTTCCGGGCTGGCGCGGCGGCGCTGTCGAGCTGCGTCGCGGGCTCAAGGGCGCTCGTGAGGCCGGCGGCCAGATCGTCGGCGTACTGCTGAAGCTGGTGTTCGACGTCGGTGCCGGCGCCCCAAGACACGCGAGGGCTACGGAGGTTCTCCTCGGCGGTCTCCGCGGCAACCTCGCGCAGAGTCTCGGCCTGGTGGGGCGCAAGTGACGATGGTTGATGTTGTGGATGGCGTGTGTGGTCCCTGGCTGACGGGGCGTCGCGATCTTGCAAGTCAATCGAGTCTGGTACGAATGGAGGAGGGTGTTGGTGATGAGGGAGCGAGGATTAGCACTTGATGGTTCGCGCAGGCCACGGGGCCCTCGACAGGCAGGGCTGGTTCGACGCCAATGGCAAGCCACAGATGGAGCCAGTCGAGACGGCCGGGTCGGAATGGGGGCCAGGGCTGGGGATGGCCAGAGCGGCGCCTCAGCGCGCCGACTTGGAAATTTGAACGTACCCGCGCGAATTATCTCGGGGCGAGTCATGGTCTACTGCCGATTTTGGCGACATCAACGTCTGGCGAAAACTTGAAGGTAGAGGCAAGATAGAGTGCGCTGCGACTACAGGTTTGGATGCGTGTGTTTGGTTGTTCCTTTGGCTCTCATGAAACATGGGGGGTTTTTTTTTTTTTGGTTGCCTATCTGGTAGCAGTGGCAATTGGATCCTCTGATGACCGCCGCCCACTTGCTGTGCCTGTTTGGTACTCTCGCCCCCTCCCGCTGTCCCTTCCTTGCCTGAGTTGGAGCCCAGTCGCGTTCCAGCTCACGGTTATGGTTGGCACCACGGCTTACTCACTTGGCCATTAGCCTGACGACCGTGGTGGCAGCTGGTTTCTTGTGGTGTCCAAAGCACTTCACCAATGCCTCCCTGAGCGAGCGTGCGCCGGTGTTGGGTACAGTGGGCATGTCTGCGACGCTTTAACCTCACAGGCACATGCAGGAGGGCTGGGTTACCCCTGCCCAGGATGGCACTCATTGAAATTTGGGCCCGCTCTTGTTCCCACTTCTCCCGGAATGGAACTAAAACAAAACGAAACCAGAGAAGGCTGCCGCGCGCCTCCTTGTTTATTTTATTGTGTTCATCACCTCAGCATAGACGATCACAAGCCCAGCCACTTCCAGCCCCGTTCTTTGATGTCCGAATTCTCAGGCTGTGGGTTGTTTGTCGCGTGTCCTCCAGGAACGGAGAGGGGTAGATAGATGGTTGCGGAGTACGCCCCATGCATTTTGACAGCTTGTTTGCCATCAAATCAAGAGGATGTACTCACAATTGACAAAAAGGGCATCACAACCAATGTGAATCAATGATAATAGGTAGGAGGATACAATAATTCTCTACCAAGCTGTGAGGAATCGAAAGAACCAAATTATGGAGAACCGAGAATATTTTGGAATAAACGAATAGCCGCAGGATTCTTCTAGGAAATGGGGTTCCAAATGGCATCGCCAAAGCGCAACATTTTATTAGGCGGTGGTGCATCGCTGCGACCCGATTCAAAGAAGGAAATCAGCAGAAAATTCTAAACAGTGTACGACTAACGCGGGTGCTACATCGGGTTGGTTCCAGTAGTCTGTACCCTGCGCCCTTACAGACCCCTGGCCAGTGAGAATGGCCCCCAAAGAGAGGCAGAGAAACGAAGGGTGAATGCGAGGAATCCAAATGGGGGGAAAAGGCCTTGTATCCAATATGAGCAGTCTCAAACATTTCCATGACATCCCTACCAGATGTTGGGCCGCGAAATGCGGCGAATGGCAGGATCGAAATGTATTCGGAAAACAAGATACAGGGCGAGGAGAAGCACAGATAGGAGGCGAGCGCTGGATGTTGGGAGAAGAGAGAAAATGACGCAGAAGCTACTATTGAATACGGCGATATGTCGCGATCGGAATGCTGGCGGCTGCAGCTAGCTGAATGGAGGTGAGTGCCGGCCAAGGTCGGACAAGCAGCCACGGAGCGCTGTGTGTGAGGGCTTTAAAGCTTGGTGGGCAGCGGCCGGGTAAAGCTCGAACCATGGGACCGGAAGGGGTCAGTATTCGGCACCGCCGAAGCTGCTGTGCCTCACCAACGTCGCACGCTCAAGAGAAACTCGGGGAAGAGACTCGACACTTTGGCGGCGGCTGTGTGATGATAGGGGCCTCGGCAGGCCACCCAGTGAGGCGCCATCCCCCTGCTCCATCTCCGAGAGAGTGTCGACTGGGACCGTGGGCTCATTCTCGATGCAGTGGACGAACCAGGCTGCGACAAGTACCGCGATGCCTCCGAGGGCCAGCACCACAGCGATACTATGATCGCCAGGCACGCCTCGTGGCTTCTGGAAGATCTTGAAGATGATGCTCGAAATCACCGTGGCAATGATTTGCGGGGCCGCAATCGCCATGTTGTGGATTCCCAGGATGACGCCCGCCTGATCTGCCGGCTGCTCGACAGCGCCACCGTTATCATTGTCCTCGTAGCCGTCAAGCGACGGACTTCTGTCGCTATCGCTCCGGTCGACATCCGAGGCTCGCAACCGCTGCACCCTAAGCAGGGCATCGCGCCGGGATATTTCAGCACTGATGATGGCCCACGGCGCCCACAGCGTCAGGGCCCAAGTGATTCCCACAAGCCCGATCAGGACCGTGGCGGCTTCGACTGTTCGAACGAAGACGGTGCAGAACATGCTGCCGGCAAACAGGATATGCGAGAACATCCAGGCACGGCGAAGGGTAAAGCCGGGGATCACAAGCCTATCCAGCCACGTCTTGCCCTCCCCTTCGTAGTCCTTAGCCGCCACGACTGCGGGCCCCTCCCCGGGTGCGTCCGTCAAGGGGAGCGGCTGGCCATCGTAGGTCGGCGCGATGAAGAAGGGTAGGAAAAGGTTGGTGATGAGGCTGGTGATGGAGTAGATGAGTAGAGCAAAGGTGCCCACACGAGTGGCCCGTTCATAGAGCTCGTCGAGTTCCTGAGGGGTCATATTGGGGTTCTCCTGCAGGAATGGCTCCACGTATATCTCGCCAATGTAGGATGACGTGTAGAATAGCATAGGAAAGAAGCCGATCCAAGCGCAGAACTGCACTTGGCAAACCTTCTTGGTCTGCGGTGGGAGGCGCTTGATGGACGTGAAGATCTTGGCAAAGAATGAGAGGACCCCAGGCTGGTCGCGAGGCGGGGGCCCCTCCAGGCGAGGGTCACGCTCGCGGATGCAAACACAGCTAATGGCGATGGTGGCGGCCAGTGCTATAGATGCTATAGCACATAGATCCTGGAACTGCGTACGCCCGAGCCACGAGGTCATCTGCGGCAGGTTGACGAAGCCGGCAATGTAGCCTATGATGTTACCGACACCAACGATTCGGCTGGCCATGGCATTGGCAGACTCTACAGTAATGAAGGTGGTTAGACGGCGATATCAAGCAACACCACACGGCAATGCCCCCAGGACAACCGTTGCGGCGCATATAGGTATGGCGGAACTTACCCTGCTGGTGGGCGGGTGCACAGTCCAGGATGAAGGCGCGGATCGCAGCCTGTACTGTGCCAAGACAATATGCTGGTCAGCGGAGGAAGCAAGGCAAGGCCGGAGGGGGTCGGATGAGCAGCATACCGGTGTTGATGGCGAAGTCTAATATGTAGACCCAGAGGACGGCAACGACGATAACAGCAAGTTTGACTCCCTCGGAGTTGGGGTCAGCGCCGAACAGGCCGAGAAAGCTGCCGACGATCTCCTTGGTCCAGGCCAGGAACAGCAGGGAGCAAATGGTGGCGGCGGCGCCTCCCAGCATAAAGGGCTTCCGCTTGCCCCAGTGCACACGGCAGTTGTCGCTCAGCATACCGACGTAGGGCTGCACCAGGGTGCCGGACAAGGGCCCCGCGATCCACACCAGAGCCATCAGGGACTTGCTCAGACCAAGCGAGAGCAGATACGGGGAGCCGTTGGAAAGCTCGACAGACCATGCGATCTGGAGGCCGCCGATGCTGATGGTCAGCAGGATGAGGTACCAGACACTCTTTGTGGCCTGAAACTCGTCAAACTCAGGATCCCGAGCGTGTCTGCCGTTGGCAGCGAGGCCGTCGTCCTCGGCCGACCCGGCGGGCGAGAGAAGCGGGGACTGCTCATTTTCTTGGCTTCGGCGGGCTTCGGCGGATATTTTAGGCGACGGTGTGCGACGGGCGTGGTCTGCGGCGGCGGCAGTGGAGGAGACGCCGCCCTGTCTGGAGATTTCGGCTGATGGCGAGGGCATCAATACTGCGTGGGAAACTGGCAGGCGGGCAGCGAGAGTCGGGGCGGCGGTCTTCCTACTACGCAACAGGGCGAGGGAGATACGGCGATGCGGGCAGTTCGAGGGGTGGGTATGCGGGGAGAGGTATATACGCCGGCGTATGGATAAGGTGGATGGCAGCGGCAAGGAATGCCGGGTGACAAGAGAGCTGAGGCAAGACGCTGTCGTGGGTGCGCTCGCTTGTGGCGGGCACAGCCAGGTGGTCCAAGTGTTCAATCGTGTCGCCGACAGTGGCCCCTCTAGAAGCGTTTGAGTTGCTACCCAGACGTGGTACCTCGGCGGTAGATCGGCAGACAGGGGCCTAGCGAGACCACCTACAGCTGTGCCTTCACGTTGTGCCCGTCAGCAGGAATCAGTGGTCAGGCTGCTGCTCCTGAGGGTCAGGGGTCGTCACGCGGGTCAATGATACAGGGCCACGAGATCCTCCTTTGGCTGAGCAACGTCACAAGCGGCGCGAAACATCAAGCGGCGTGGATAAGCCCCAAGCGCAGCGAGGTCTGGGGAATGATCCACCTCGGACGGCCCCGCTGACATGGAGTGGACCAGATGAGGCCAGGCTTGCGCCCGCCGTGTCGCAACCACCTACCATGACGGGATATGCACTAACGGCACGCACCTGGGCATGGAGCCAGGTCCGTTCTCTTCGACAGTCGGGCAGTTCGTGCCGGCTTCATCTTGCGACTGTACGTATACCGGGCCGCAACACCACCAGGGTGCATCCTCATGTTGCTGTGCTGCGGGGAGCCTCCATAGTGCAAACTGTACGTATTTGGCACTGTCGTCCCGTCTTTTGTGTCTGGTGGTGCTTTCCATTGGGCCCACCTCCATGCACCTTGGCAAGGCCAATCCATCAAATTCTATGTGTCCAATCGGTTGGTGTGGGTTATCCAACTTCAAGCCTCAAGAAACCTCGTCCTGCATTGATCCAGCCTTACACGAACCGACCTGCACCGCGCAGAAAACATCCGCCCAAAATATCGACTGGACTGGCCGTGCACACATCGGCCCAGCAGATCGGCCATCCTTCTGCAGCCCCGACATCAAGGCACTCTTCCTTCATTGCTGGTCGTTCTCTGATCGACGCGGTGCGCGCCTTGGGTGCAGGCGCCCACATCTCTATCCAACTATCCAGTCGTCCAGCCGGCTAGCAAATTCTAGTTTGATGATCCACTGCACTCAGTCTTGCCCGGAAGACACCGCTCGCTGTCTACGGGCCGTTACTTGGTCCTTCATCCCACCCGCGCTCCCGCCGCTTCCGCCGCCCCTCTCCTTCGCACCCCGCGGCCGCCCCTCCGCCCACGATGTTGGCCGAGGCGGCTGGCGTCGTCCTGGAGCTCTCCAGTATATTACTCCTCTTGCCGACCCTCCGTGTACTCCCGCGTCGCTCTCCGCTAACCGATGAAAATTTGGCTTCTATTAAGGGCGCGCCGCTGAGGAAACCGAGCCTGGAGGTATGCCGCCGAATCATATGCGCCTACCACTTCGCAAGCCGCATCAAGCTGACGTCGAGCCACAGAGGACTCGTCTAAGAAAGAAATACACTCTTCATGGGCCCTCTTCATCCTCATCGCCCTCCTGATCGCCGCCTTCTTCGCGAGCTACTTTCTTCAGCAGAGGAAAATCACGGCCATCCATGAGACCGTCGTTTCCATTTTTGCTGGTTTGACACCCGCTATCTCCCCTCGTCCCCAGTTGCGCCGGCTCGCCAGTTTCTCCGACATGCACGTCGTGGCCGTCGGTTGGTTATCTGACATTATTCTAACTCGTGGGCCGCAGGCATGGTCGTTGGCCTGTTTCTCCGTGTGCTCGCCGGCGACAGTATCCAGGAGCTCGTTAGCTTCGACTACCAAATATTCTTCAACCTGCTTCTTCCGCCAATCATTCTCTCATCTGGCTACGAGCTTCACCAGGCCAACTTCTTCCGCAACATCGGCACTATCCTTACATTTGCCTTTGCCGGAACCTTTCTGTCCGCCCTGGTTATTGGGGTGATCTTGTGGCTGTACACGCGTGTCCCCCTGGAGGGCCTGACAATGAACTGGATTGATGCCATTTCCGTCGGCGCCACCCTGTCCGCCACAGATCCCGTCACCATCCTGGCCATCTTCAACTCTTACAAGGTGGACCCCAAACTCTACACAATCATCTTTGGCGAGTCGATTCTAAACGATGCCATCGCCATCGTCATCTTCGAGTCCGCCCAGAAGTCGCGCAAGGGCTCTGGCAGCGCCCCTGGCGTTTCCACGCTCTTTTGGGGTCTCTGGATATTCTTGCGCGACTTCTTTGGTAGCCTGATGATCGGCGCTCTCGTTGGCATCCTGACCGCGCTCGGGCTCAAATACACCTATGTCCGCCGGTATCCCAAGATCGAAAGCTGCCTCATCGTCCTCATCGCATATGCGACCTATTATTTCTCCCAGGCCATCCACATGTCGGGCATCGTCTCGCTCCTCTTCTGTGGCATAACTCTCAAGCATTATGCCTACTTCAACATGTCGAGGCGGACGCAGCTCACGACAAAGTACCTCTTCCAGGTCACTGCCCAGCTCTCGGAGAACTTCATCTTTATATACCTCGGCCTCTCACTTTTCACCGACAAGAGTCATCAGTTCCAGCCACTGTTGATTATCGTCACCGTCATGGCCGTGTGCGCAGCCCGCTGGGTCGCCGTATTCCCACTGTCATGGGCTATCAACTGGTTCATCCGTTACCGCGCCCGCCGTCGCGGTATTCAAAACGCAGCCGATGAGCTCCCCTACAGTTACCAGGCTATGCTCTTCTGGGCTGGCCTGCGCGGCGCTGTCGGTGTGGCCCTGGCAGCCCTGTTGACCGCCAAGGACCACCGCGCGTTCAAGGCCACCGTTCTAGTGGTCGTGGTTCTCACTGTAATCATCTTTGGCGGCACCACAGCTCGCATGCTCGAGATTCTGGGAATTCGCACGGGGGTTGTAGAGGAGATCGATTCAGACGACGAGTTCGACATCGAGGCCGTTCATAACAGCGGTGGCGGCCTGTACAAACGCTCCGACAACGCCATCGGTTTCAATCCACGTAACCGCTCGAGCGGGGTTCCTTTGGACCGTGTCGATCCACGCCAGAATGGAAAGCGAGGCGACGACGGCGGCGGCGGCGGCGGCGGCGGGCGGGATGATAACCAAGGTGGCTGGGCTTCAGGCCACCGCTCGCCCCTCACCATGACACGACCAACGAGCCTTAGTCGCACAGGGTCTGGACGCGAAGACAATGAAAGGGCAGACCTCCTCGGGGCTGGGAGCGGGGCGACAGACTCTGATGTTGGGAGTGACATTGATACATCAGACCTTCCGCCCCCGGCGCCGAGACGGAGATCCAGCCCTATGCCTAGCGCGGGGGAGGCCAGTAGCTCAGCCGAGGGTAGCCGGAGTCGGGCAAACACCGAGACCGGCGGCCATCTATCGGCCACCGCAGCTATCCGCCAGCTTTTCAGCACTGAAGATCCATCAGCGCTGTTTAGGCAGCTTGATGAAGACTACATCAAACCGAAACTACTGCTTGACGGGGGCCCGGGCCGAACAAATGGACCTGGTGGGCCAAGCTAAATCTATCCTCCCTTTTTTTTTCTATGTGCGCAAGCGTGCGATGGTGCACAAGCGCAGATTTTTATCAGCTCGATCGCGGGATAGGAAAGCTCCAGGGAGGAAGCGTTCCGACCATCAATCAAGCGAGTGTAGCACAAGATGAGGTGCCACCAGCATTTGATCTCATGCCGGTACAATACAGTTTATTTGTCCAGAACCTGGGTCCGGCTGTTGAACGGAACACCGGTCTGTATATATTCCACCCGTTACCACTCATGTTTGGTGCGCTTGCGACTCTGTCCGGTTGGTCTGGCGACGACGCCCAGTGCGGGTGTCTGACTACAAAGCTGTCTTTGGATCTGTAGAAGATATATTGGCGTAACCTTGTGGGGGTGCATATGTTTGTTCAGTCGGCATGGTCGCCCTCTCGCTCAGCTCACAGGTCGGTTTTCAAGTCCATCATCCAAATTTTTATCTGGGTCCACCAAGGGCGGAGAGGGAACGAAGTAGAAAAGCCGGCCCAGGTGCGAGTAGAATGTGAATCACGGCTAACCACTGTGACGATAGTCGCTAACTCTGATTTCTATGCCAGGGCAGAGCCCGCGGCTCCAGAGGGTCATGACCGGTTCATTGTTGAAGCGAGAGACTGGAGTGTATCGTTGCTATGACATTTGGGGATGCATTTCTCTTCCGCGCTCTTTCCGTCTCTTCCGCCGTGGAGGTTCATGCTGCCTCGGCCGGCGTCTCCTCCTTCTTGTGCTCCTTCGTCTCTTCGGCACTAGTGGAGTCCCCCTGAGCCTCCCCGAAAAGGGCCTCGTTTTCCTTCTGGGCCTGGAGGAAAGCATCCTTGAAAGCGTTGGCATCTACCACCGAACACTGATTAGCATTTATTCCATGGCCAGGGGCAAAGTAAAACCCACTCTCAGAATTGGCGAAGCGGATAGCCAGGGTGACACCCTCGGGCTCGCCTTCGCCGACATCGGCGGCAGCGTTCCAAACCCAGCTCCGGTCTGAACCGACGTTGGGTGACAGCTTCATTTCGGGGACAACTGTATATAGATTGTTAGAACATGAATCCTAGGGGCAGAGAGTAGCAGCGGGAGGGGTGTGTCATACTGTAGTGATTCGCGCAAACTTTGAGGGTCTTGTCGCGGCGCATGACAAGACGGGTCTTTCCGTTCTCGCGGTGCTTGAGGAGCCGGACATCTCCGGTACCGCGCTCCTTCCACTCACTGGTGTCCCTAACGAACTTGAAGAGCTTGGCGCGCATCTTGAAAACCTGTTCCTCAGACTCCTCGTTTGTCTTCACCTCGACCTTCTCGGTCAGGCGAATCACGGGCTCGAAATGGACGTCCTGCGACTCCGGGGCTTGGTCTTCCTGTTGTGCGCGGCAGCAGCAACGGTTGTCAACGATACTGATTCAATGTTGCTACGTCGAAATAGCAAAGATTAGGGCAGGCGGTGACTGCGGTAATACCTCATCGCCGCCAACGGCGGCGGCGGCGGCGGCGGCCTCCCGCTGGGCTTTGGCGCTGCCAGAAACATCGCCACGGTCTTCCTCCTCCTTCTTCTCCTTCTTTGCACCACCCCCAAACATGGAGAAGACGGCGGCCGAGGTGACGGGCTCGGAGGTCTGAAGCAGGATCACCCTTCTGTCAGCTCCCTCTTGAACATGCATTATACAACACCAATCACGATATGGAGTTGCATCGGACCTGCTTGGCAGCCTCATCGGCCTTCTGGACGGTCTCGGCCGGCTTGTCCGTAGCCTCGGCACTCGACATGTTGGCAAAACTGTCGCGGAGTCTTGGGGGAAAGCTCGACTCGGCTAGTGGACGGCTGTTTTTCGGTCGTAACGAAACACGGGGACAAGGCCTCAGGTCAGCTTTGGTTCAACCGAGGCTTGCCATAGCTCGGAGCGGTAGCAAAAGACACCGGGCCATTTGTGGGTTTCCAAGGCAGGTCGAGCGCGCACGGCACCGATCCGCGGTATGTATGCTTTGCAACGTGGGGGAAGGGTGCACGCCGATGTAGACAAAGGGCTGACGTACCAAGGCTTTCGCAAGGGCGATTCGCAGTCGGCGAGGGTCAGATCGCAGTCAGCGAAGCGACAGGTGGTCGGTTGGTGAGGTTTGTTGTTGTTTTATTAGGTTGATGGTGTTTGTTTGTCGCAAGCCTGGTCGGGTGGGAGATGATGGAACGAGGAAAAATGCTTTTGCCCCTCTTTGTCCTGGGTTGCGAGCACCAAACCTGACAAAATTAGAAATACGTACCGCCAATGTATATACCCAGCTAACCAGCGCTGGCCGGTACCTCTTCAACCAAACATTCCCGTGCCTCCCGTCATGGATCCCACCCCTCCCACTCACCCACATGGAGCACAGAGAAACCGATAAGATACGTGATCTGCACATACCGCCCGACAGCGGGGGGTGGGGGTCGGCGGGGTCAAGTCGGCGTCTACAGAAATAGTAGGTGGCGAGGGCCTAGCTACTTGCCGGATTGGTGGATCTAAGGGGGCCTTTGACATACATGGAATGCACAGTAGACTGCCTACGGATGTCAGCACATCAGCTAACATCACAAGATGGATATCTTACAACCCACATCGTCAAAACACCTGGGTAGACTAACAGTGACTAGGTATTTACGAATCTCTCTGTCGATAGGTTCATTTTGGCTGTGCATGGGTAAGGTGGTACTTTTCAGATGCCATAAATCTTCCAAATACAACCAGAAACGACATCATGGAGCTGAAGGATACCTATCTAAATACATAGCTAGCATGCCCATCTGTCGGAGTGACGTGAAGAGCCGTGTATTATTCCCGTCCCACTCAAATGGCTGTCTAGGATGCAGAGACAGACATGATAAGCTGGGCTGGCGCTTTGACGGCGAGACAAACGAACTTGATAGGCGCCTACCTACGGATGTAAGTAGGTACACAGCCGACCCACCTCGCCAAGGGAAGTTCTACAGGCCATCTAGCTGCTTCACATTGGATGCTGGTGTGACTGTCGGGCAGTCAACATGCCATTACCGCATTTAACCAACGAGCTACAGAAAAGGCTTCGGCAACCAGGTTGTCGTTGACTTGACTCCGCGCCCGTCCCCGTATCTCCTTCCTCACCAGCACCTGAACACAAGCTACCTCGTCTCGAGCAAACCATTAAAAACCAAAGACAGGCATCACACGTGCCTGCCCCCAACGCCAATCCATCAGTAATACCTGACCCTAACAGTACGTAGAAGTGAGGGAAGAGGTGCGAATAGTAAAACAACGCAAAAGAACAGGAGGGGAATGGGAAAAGACGACCAAAGGGGGCAGGGAAAAGGGCAGAACGAACAAATGCAAAGATTTAAAGTCAAAGTGTCCCGCCCGGCCATGGGTGCTAGCAAGCTGATCGGCCGAGATAGTCATATGGCAGCATTCCAGGGCAGTTTGATTCCCCAGGGGAGAGTGGGGGATTGCACCTGGTCAACTGGGGCTCGCCTGGCCAATATCTCATGATGCTTGATCCTCAGATGCTCGATCGCGCGTGCCTCGTACCTCTTGTACTCGGCCATATCGCCACGGAACCGGAGGCAGATCAGCCAGGATTGGATTTGAGCCCTGAGGACGTTGAAGTTTAGATCATCTTTCAGGGCCTCGGCAGTCTTGAGGTGGTGCGCAACCCTCTGCTCGGTATCGGCCCGAACTCTCATGGCGCTGGCCCCGATCGACCTGCCCAGATGGCCGATGGCATCCTCTGGGAGCCTGTAAGAAGCGACCTCTCCGGCGAACTTGACAGATCTCGCCGTCTCGTTCCAGATTCTCGACGCCATAGAGACCAGTGCGGGCATGTACGTGCCGTCTGCAGTCCTCACAGTTGTTACAGCCCCGCCGGCAGTATCGGTGATCTTCCTCACCAGGTCCTGGATGTTGTTGAGTCGAACTGTTGACGTCGACGTGACCGTGACAGTGACCGTTGCGGGGGTTGCAATTATGGTTATGGGCGTCGGGTGATGCTGGGCAGCTCGGGATGGATGACGGGCCTCCTTTGCATCTTGGGGGAATGGAAGAACTGCGTGGACGAAAGCTCCGACAAGGAAGGCAGCCATCACGGCGCGAACCACCCTGAGCCAGGGCTCGACGCCAGGTCCATCCACTAACGCCTTGGCAAGCTGAGCTGGTCCGCGTTTGGTAACCTGAGGCTCCCCCGTCGAAGTTTGTTGCTTAAGCGCGCAGCTGGCGGCAGCCTCGGTAACCTGGAGGCTCCCGACATTGAGGGGAGGGGCCTCCCTCTTGAAGGGTTTCTCTGTGGTATGCGAGGCCCAGATGTAGCCGGGGGATCGCATATCGGCGTAGCCTGATGGCGAGTGACTTGGGGAAGGAACCTCGACCACGTTATCGATGGACGCAAGCCACGGGCGATGGTAGTCGACGTCATCGTTTCCACCCAGATAGTCATCGTCTTGGTGGTACTCCTCTTTGTCTGTTGTGTTGTCGGTGCTCGCGAGACTGACCATGTCATCTGGCCTAGCAAGACGCTCCGCAACAAGGTCCACGGAGCTACCAAGAGATTCAGTCTCGCCATCGGTGTTGATCATCTCGAACTCGGCCATGACATCGTCGTCCATGGCGGGACCCGAGACCGGCTGCGACATTATGTCAGGGGAGCTAGATGATATCCAGTTGGCGAGGCGCTGGCTGCCCTGGGGCTTGGGGAACCTCAGCGATGGAACTGATGCCGATGCAGATGAGGGCATAGGCATCACCCGAAGGCGTCGGCACGGCGCGGTCGGGATGGCTGCTACGGCTGATGTGACAAAAGCCTGGAGTATGTGGGAGGTGATGGGATGGGCGGGGTGTTGCGACGCCCCTCGAAGGGTGGGTCGATTTGACGATGACGGAATCTGGCTCACTGGCTCTCGGGGCGGGCAGGAAGCGGCGGCAGTGGACCGTCGGAGGCCCGTCAAGGGAAATCGAAGACGGCGCTGAAGAGGCGGCTTACGCAAACGGGATCGTAGGTGTTGAGGCAGGTAGGTGTTCAGATCTGCGGACAATGGAAAGAAGGTGACGGCTAGAGGGGCACAAATTTAAATATCGGAAAGGTCGAGTTAGCTTTGGTCGGTTGGGTAGGGATGGACAAAGGTTCACGAAGTATGAGTAGCCTGGCAGCCTGGCGAGGTATAGAGTGCCGGGCCGGGTGGAGTCGCGACGAATGGATGCGGGGGAGGGGGCAGGCAGGACCTCCTGGCCGTGACTTGGCGCAGGGAATCTCGTAGTTACGGGTCTCGTGGTGGGGGAATCTAGCACGTCCTAGGTAGCAGCGGAAGGTAATAGGTACAGGCAGGCAAACATGGGCTTTGGTGGGTTGAGTAGTGGCTTACGAGGGACGAATTTGGAGCGAAGCCACTAAAGTGATCTGCCCCGCACTCGCCTCGGAGAGTTGACCAACATCCCGAGGCATTGGAGAATGGACTCTTTGGTGGGACGACTAGATAAAAAGCCTTCTCTTGTCTTCTGCCTAACAATAGGCACTGCATGGAAAGCAACCGCACGAATGCCTCTTGGGAAACCCGGCGTGAGCCGCCTGCGACGTTTGATGGCTGAGTGGCCTCCCGTCCGAGGTATCATTTACGATGGACGTGAACAGACGCGATTGGGGTAGGCTGGGGTGACTTGCCCAACCAACCCAAAACTAAAGTGGGGGTAAATGATGGGGGATGGAGCAATCAAAGCATTTACTGAGGCACCTGTCTACGCCTACCAACCTACACACATTACCAAGTTCCCGACCGTATACATATAATGGGCTCGCGTCTTATGTTGGAGTGCCGGGTGGAGGCTGCAGGGGGCGCAAAGGCAGGTTCTCCAAGTCGGAAGCAAATCGGCAGCTTTGGGATGCTGCTGGGTCAAGACTTGGTCCCAGGTGAACGCAGATTCAGGAGAGCGACTCCACCCACCCAAACACTGACCTGGATCCAAACTCACTCTGGCACGAACCGAAAGCCGGGATAAGACTCGGTTGTGATCGTGTCACAACGTCGCTAGCATCGCAACATAAAATGCAAATATAGCAATTTTAGCATTCGGGTGGCTGCTAGTGCTGTGGCGGGTGCTTCATGGTCAAATTCAACAAAAGGCACGGAGAAATCGACCGTGTGGTTTCATTGGTTCGAGTCGCGGGCGGATCCGTCTGTGACTTTCGTATCTGGGGTCTCGGGGGACTGGACTGGCAGTTGCATTCGCAACAGATGGACGGACGGACATGCAGGTTCGAGTTGGGTGCTCGCCGCATATCCATATAATTTGTGCTGGATGGGTCCCAGCTCCAGCCTGCAAATGACCGTGCCAGGAGTACCCACCATGCCGAAATAGGCACGTACCTGGTCTGGGCCTAAACCCCGTACTTTCTCGCAACCTCAGATGGTCTCTTTTTTCCCTCTTGCTCCTCTCATTTCCGCCCCGTCCAATCCAACAAACCGCGTCGGACAACCAGCACCCATCGCCACCGACCTCAAAGCATCCGTCGAACGCTCCTCACGCACTCCAGTCGGCAACGCAGTCGGCAACGATGGATTCGCAGCGGCCGAACGAAGTCTCGCCCGAGGCAATGCAGGCGCGCATCCAACAGGCGCGTCGCGAGGCCGAGACGCTCAAGGACAGGATCAAGCGGAAAAAGGATGAGCTTGCCGACACGACACGTCAGTCCAGCCCGGGAACCCTCGCCAGGCCAATTGCGCCCTTTCCACCGCCGTGACTGCTTCTGCTGACTTGCAATTGCCCGGTCTAGTCCGTGCTGTGGCCCAGCAGGCCCACGAGCCGGTCCCGAAGAACCAGCTGATGAAGACGAAGCGGACGCTCAAGGGCCACCTGGCCAAGATTTACGCCATGCACTGGTCGACGGATCGCAGGCATCTCGTCTCGGCCTCACAGGACGGCAAGCTCATCATCTGGGACGCATACACCACCAACAAAGTCCATGCCATTCCCCTGAGATCGTCATGGGTCATGACCTGCGCCTATGCGCCGAGCGGCAACTACGTTGCCTGCGGAGGTCTCGACAACATCTGCTCCATCTACAACCTCAACCAGAACCGCGACGGCCCCACGCGTGTCGCCCGCGAGCTGTCTGGCCATGCCGGCTACCTGTCGTGCTGCCGCTTCATAAACGACCGCAGCATCCTCACCTCGTCGGGTGACATGACATGTATGAAGTGGGACATTGAGACGGGCACAAAGGTCATCGAGTTTGCCGATCACCTGGGGGATGTCATGAGCATCAGCCTGAACCCAACAAACCAGAATACATTCATATCTGGCGCCTGCGACTCCTTCGCTAAGCTCTGGGACATACGCGCCGGCAAGGCCGTGCAGACCTTTGCCGGCCACGAATCCGATATTAACGCCATCCAGTTCTTCCCCGATGGCCACTCATTTGTCACCGGATCAGACGATGCCACCTGTCGTCTGTTTGACATTCGCGCTGACCGGGAACTTAACGTCTACGGCGTAAGTCTACATCAGTCCCTACGAGTCTGTCTCTGGAGAATGTGATCTCGCTGGGTCGTGAAACTGGAAGCGGATCTCCTGATCCCGCTCCCTACTCTTTAACCTCGTGTGACGTCTCCAGGAAATCTGGCCAGACACACTTGGGAGCTTTATGGATTTCAGTATCCTCGACGCAGTACTAACTATCTGTGGCGCTCATGCCCGTCTCCTCCATAGTCCGAATCGATCCTTTGTGGTATCACGTCGGTGGCCACGTCTGTCTCGGGACGCTTGCTTTTTGCAGGCTACGATGACTTTGAATGCAAGGTAGGGACGGGACCGTATACGAATGGCGAAGCCATCTTTTGAGCCAGGCTAACGCATGTCCTTTTTTTTCCCCCCTCTTTACAGGTCTGGGATGTCACACGTGGTGAGAAGGTTGGGTCTCTCGTTGGGCACGAAAACCGCGTCAGTTGCCTGGGCGTGAGCAACGATGGCATAAGTCTTTGCACCGGATCATGGGACTCTCTGGTACGATAACCCACACTCCTCCCGTGCCCTCGCTATCTGGATAGCTTGCTGACACGTTAGATGACGCCTCCCGCAGCTCAAAATATGGGCATACTGAGAGGAGCCATGTCGACCTTACCCTGGAAACTTGTCCACGACAATCGACGTCGCGACTTGACCCGTCGAATATGATGAGTGACTCGCCCAATGCTCGTATACCCGTTCATCCATACCACCCAATACCCCTAATCCGGCATTCGAAATTCAGCGACGTTTGGACTGTTACCGGCCGGCTGAAGCAGTCCGACCACCAACGACCCGCCCTACTGGACTTACTACTCTTTGCTTTTTTTCACGTCATCCTCTTGCCTCTTGGTTTCTGTCTTCGCCACTCTTTTTCGGCAGCTTTCTGGGACACTTCCCGGTCGCCAGACCACTGGATGGGGCGGCCTGCTATCACCGGGTGGCTCCTTGGTTGTTTTATACTTGGTCGTTTCCCGCCGACACCCCATTTGGCAAGTGGTGGTGGGAGGCCTCCGGAGGAGACATGATACACGGGCGACTCGATGCCAACAAGTTTGGCATTCGGCACCTCGGACGGGTGCGATTTCTGGTGCAGGACCACGTGTCTTGGGTTGGCTTGGCTTCCACATGGACCAAGTTGAACGATGCATGTGGCCCTGTTTCTCTTCATCGTGCTCCTCTCTGACAACCCACCTTTCCACTCACCTTTTAACCCTCCAACCTAGGGCTGAAACGAGAGGCAGGTCGGGCAACGGGCTCGAAGAAAGTGGGAGACTGGGTTGACCCTCCCCTCTCGGCACTGGTCATGTATATTGCACATAATGTCCTCACGGCCCGGCGAGGCTCGAGGCTCGAGCTGAACGCTCGAAGAACACTGCCAGGCGTGGGCCATGCTGTGAGCATGGGAGGCAGATTTCGGCTCGGCAAGGGTGAGACTGACCATGTTTTGTCTGCGTCAGCGAAGATCGCAACAGGCCACATACCCTTTGGCGACTGTTGATTGTTTATTCCCGCTCTTCTCACTATTACCACTACTATTACTATTATCTCTACCTGTGTTTTCAGTCACGCTGTCTTGCTTTTGCTATCTTCTTTTTCCTTTCTTTGTTTCCAGCCTAGCTTATTGCGTTTCTCTTGCCTGTGCCCAGGTCCTGGTTTGTGGCAGTTGTCGTCGTATATGCCGGTTCAATTTTGTTGAAAATTTGGGTTGATTTATGTTTATATCTATGCGTTGTCTTGTTCCATGTTGACTTTTTTTATTATACGTGATGTTTTTCGTTCTCTGTTTGATTCTGCCTCGCCCTTTTCCCTTTTATTTGTTTTTCTCGTCCAGATTCCTTCTCTCGCATTTCTGGTTGTGTATTCGTGGGGAAAGTGCACTCCCTGAGTTTTGATAGGACCACCGTTTGCCACTGCCGGCGTCGTGGGGCGTGAATAATTCAACAGGCTGGGCGGTTACTGTATAGTTCACACAAGACGGGAAGACTATGGACGTTGATGATGTGACAGTATCGACGGTGATGATTACTGACTGATCGTAATGGGAGGCGCGTGACCGGGCAGCGCTGACGTTTACACAGGGGCATAGCTTGTGCGCTGCTATTATCAAGTTTCTAGTTGATGGCCTGGTAGAGGAACGTCAAGTGCTTACAGTGCTTCCACCGTCCATGTGTGTCAAACCTGGCAAGTTCGATATTGACTCAACTTGCACTGTCGGCTATTTCATTGTGGCGGACTGTTTCAGCATGCTTTGGGCAATAAAGCGGAAGGCACGGCAGGGTCATACGGTAGGGGGCTAAGATGGAGCGTCACGCTTCGCAGCTTGGTCGTGGACGGCGTGGAGTGTGGTAGCGACGCTGGAGGCTTGTCAGCGTCGGATGGGCTGGCTAATTGATGGGTTGCAGCGGCGGGGGACCAGCTGCAGGTCGCAAATTGGCAAATGGATGCCGGCGTGGAATGGACGGGAGGGTAAACCCTGCGGCAGAGTGGCGGGCAGGTGGGCGCAGGAAAAGCTACTGTGATGGTGCACATGCCATTCGCTGCTTGCCCGCCAGGCCACACACGCAGCCTTGGAATCTGAAACGGACGCGGCTCAGGCGTTTCGCCCTGCCGCCTTCTGGAAAGCTCTTCGGGCCCCGCAATTGCCAGCATTGGGTGTCGATTGGGATGGGCGATCCCCCTTGCAGCGGGGACGGCAGGCCCGACGGAGCAAAGCTGCGACGAGACGGCGATGCCGCAGCCAGAGAGGCGCAGGCAAACGTGCCGATCCCGTCAGGCTCATTGTCTGTTTTTGACGAAGGGTACGTACCGTCGCACCGTCCCTGCCACGAGCCACGTTCCTGTGAGGCCGGGTCCACCCATGCAGATTGCGGGGTGGATTGGCCAGCACGCACCACTGGCTCTCTCTCTCCCTCTCCTCCAGCCCAAAGCAGCACGCACGCACACCAGAATAGCCACGCACACAGACATTCCCTCGCCCGATCCGTTTCGTGTTCACCAAGATCTGGCTGCCAGCGTCCCTCCCGTCTGCCTTGCCCCGGCTGCCCACCCTTGCGAGCCGCTTCCTCCCCCTTTCCCAATCTTTTCTCTTCCTTTTCTTCCCCCTCTCCCCCTCCTCCTTTCCTTCGTCCTGTCCGCTTTTCCACTTTCTCTTTTTTTTCCCCGACATGTCCGCCGCACAGGAAGAGTTCGACCGATTCATAGCCAAGAACAACGGCCCGACAGACCAAGACGGACTACACCCGGAGGACCGCGGAAAGTCCGGCGACGGACACGACCAGGACGCAGACCTAGACGAGGAGGAGCGGTACCGCGCCGCCCAGGTCGACGCAGTCATGCGCATGCCCGCTCTCGGAAGCTCGGGCGGCGGTGGCGGCGCTGCTGCCGCCATCAAGCTGCCGCCCGCCTCGTTCGACAGCGGCCGCTCTACGGGCGTCAAGGGCGTCATCGCCGACGCCCGCAGCTATGAGATGGCCCGCCAGACAAAGTGGATCGACCGCGTGCGGCAGGCCCGCCGGAGCGTCTTCGGCCCCGGCACCACCAATGGCCGCTCCGCCGCCCCGAGGAGCGAGTCCAGCAGCGGCGACGAACGCCCCGGCTCCGACGCCGACTCGGACGAGGAGTCCTTCCTGCAGCAGTGGCGCGAGTCGAGGCGCCGCGAGCTCGAGGACGAGGCCCGCGCCGGCGTCGTCCGCAGCCGCCGCACCTCGCCCAGCCTGCGCGTCTTTGGCAGGTTCGACGAGGTCGACGCCCTCGGCTATCTCGACGCCATTGAGAAGGTGGGACGCGAGTCCGTGGTCGTCGTATTTGTTTATGACTCCGAGGTATGGTGTCCATCCCTACCGTTCCCCTTTTCCTACCTCTGCTTTGGTTCTCTTTTTTCCTTTCTTTCACCGAGCAGCGGTCTCGCGCGCCCTCGACTGACGCAATGAGCTACAGTGCCAAGTCTCAGCAGTCGTCGAGGCGGCGTTGCGGCCCCTGATTGCCGCCAACCCCACCGTCCACTTTGTGAGGATTCACTACGAGGACATCGAATTTGACAACGCCGCGGTGCCTGCGATACTGGCTTACCGTAACCAGGGCGATTTGTTTGCCAACCTGACCGGCATCGTCGAGATGATACCAGACAATGAAGATTTCGACAGCGACTTCCTGAAGAGGTTATTTGAGAGCTATAAGATACTATGAGCACCCTGGTAGCCTCTGCTATCGAGCCTCACGTCAGGCGTGTCCGTGCAAATGGGGGTACGAGGATATTAGGTGCCCGAACTGTGTTGTCGCTCGCATGCGCCGCCTGGCATATAATTTTGGGCGTCTCGTCACGTTTGTTTCTTTGAACGGGCGGTGGTTGGTTTGGCTTTGAGGCGGCGTTTGGGTTTCCGCCGCTGTATACCTTTTCTTGTTCCTCACGGCTCCTTTTTGGGTTTTTACCTGTTCGTTTTTTTCCCCACTGTTTTCTCTTCCAGTTTTCTTTGTCTGCCTGTTTTCGATGTCTAACATCCATCATCTCCTCGTACATAAGAATCACCACGATACCATGCATATAGAATACACCTCTGTTTCCATACACCATCTGTTGCAATGCCAATCCTCCCACCTCGTTGCATACGATGAGAAGAGATCATTTCGTGATATTCACCCATGCGTTAAATCAATGGATACGTCACGCTTGATCCATTCATTGTCGCCGCTAGATACACGCAGCAAAACTAACAAAGAAATAGGAAGAAACAACGGAGAGAAATGGAGCAAACGCGCCAAGCAAACATTCATGTGCACATATGAGCTATATGGTAATGAGGGACACGCTGGGAAACATATGTAAAAGAAGCACAACCAAGAAACAATAAATGGCTAGAACTGCACGCTGCGCTTCTTGCGCACCTTTTTCCCATTTTCATCCCGGTCCCTGCTGAAAAATCCGCTGATGCTAGCCGACGGATTGCGGCCGTGACCACCCGAGGAATAGGGGCCGGTTGGGCGTGCTGGCTGCTTCTGAGGTTGCTGTGAGGGGCCAGGGGCACCTGCGTTGGCGGCGCTCGACCCGCCCCTCCACCACGAAGAAGAGTTACTGGGGGCGTTGGCGGTGGGCTGGCCACCTGGACCGGCACTAAATGGCCGGGCAGGCTCCTGGGCGCGGGGCGGCAGACCTGGCCGCGTCGAGGGCAGGTCTTGGCCCTCTGTGCCGTACATCTGGCGCAGCCGCTCGGTCTCCATGGCGATCTCGGCGTCGCGGTGCTGGCGCTCCCTCGCCTCCTCTTGCTCGAGCATCTCCTTGATGCGTTTCTGCTCCTCGACGTCCTGCCTTTCGCGCTCTTTCTGTGCGCGCTCCGCCTCGGCCTTGCGCTCGCGCTCCTCGCGCTCCACCATTTCCTGCAGCTGCCGCGTCTCGGCGTCGACCCTGGCGGCCGGTGGCGCGCCGAGAGCACCCGACATGGCAGTGGTGGACTGGGAGGCTGGTGCGTTGTGGTGGGGCGACGGGGTTGGCCGCGAGTTCTTGCGCAGCCTCGTGGGGTCAGAGCCCATCATATTGAAGACGTCGGGGCGTGGGGATAGGTACAGGTCCCGGATGACCTCGGCACCCAAGAGCAGGACTATGTCCAGGCCCTTGCGATCCTCGACCTCGACACGTTGTAGGTTGGGTTCATAAATGGTGACGAGCGAATCACGGCCCTGCTTGAAGAGGGCGACGGTGATGTCGGGCTCCTTGCTTTTGTGGCGGCCGAGGCTGCGCCCGACTAGGTAACACGTCATGTCCTTAGAGAGACGGCTGTCCCTCTTCCACTTGAACATGACCTTGGGCGCAAGGTCGCGCACTGGCGTGGGGTCCTGCTGGCGGTCCAGCTGACTGGCGCTGGGCAGGCGGAAACTCCTGGTTGGCATCTCGAACTCCCAAGCGTCCGACTTGCCCCAGCTCCCCGGCGCCATCTTGAAGGACACGGTCTGGTCCGGGTCGTACAGCTGGACGGAGAAGGTGTCGGGCACGATGGGCACGGGCGGGGCAGCGACGGCGTTCTGAGCCCGGATCTCGGCAGCCGAGAGGGTGGGCTGCTGCCACTCTGGTGAGACCATGACCTCGCCGTAGACGACGCCCTGGCCGAAGGGGTCGACGAGGCCGACGGCGTAGTTGCCGCGACACGAGGGCTGCGAGGCCGGGTCTGCGCGCTTCAAGACATACTCGGGTGTTGGCTCGGAGCCATTCTGGCTGAAGTAGAGCACCGACGAGTCCGGGTCGTCGGAGCTTGCCTTGAACTGGAACGAGGGCAGGTTGTCGTCGATGGCCATGGCGAGGGGGTTCTGGTCTGTGGAGCTGTGGAGAGACGTCGGCTCGGCTAGGTTGGGGCGGGTAGGGGGCGGGCAGGGGCGAGTGGTAGAGCAGCAAGTATCCCGGGTTCCGACAATGGGATACCAAACACCGCGGCTGGAGAGTGTGGGCCAGGTCGAGTTCAAAAGCAAGAGCGCAGCTGCGGTTGATGCATGTCGGTTGCTGTTGCCTCGCAGCTGAGAGTTGGCTCGCAGCTGGCGCGCGTCACCAGCGGGGCGCTGCAGGCGGGCTCACTGCCCCGTGCATGCCAAGCCACGGCTGGGGGTGACCCAAAGAGCTGACGTCGTCTAGTGGCTTCCACTTCCAGGGTGCCGTTCTGGATTCAGACTAGACCTCAAGCTGCCGCGGGGTCTCGCCGCTTCCTTGCTGAGTGAGCCCGCCTGTGAGCCTGTGCGATCTGATCAGGCAGCGGCAAGGGAATACATCAGCTGCGAGGTGCGCCAGGACCTTTGTTCCCTAAATAGATGCCTAAACCTATATCTATGCCTGTGCAATAAACCCCAACTAGGAAGAGAAAGTTGAGGTACCCAAGGTGCCAAGGTAGGAGTGCAGTGAGTCGCTGGACGCACGAATAACCTGACATCAATGCCAACTCAGGTACCTTGTTTCAGCGTAGTCGCCCTCATCACAACGTATAATCAGAGAGTTTACTCAATATAATCACCGCATTACGATGTCCCAAACCCCTTCTTCGATATCACGCAAATGCTTGGTGGGGAAAATAAGACATCCACAAAACCTCGATCTGGAAACGCGTGTGCCCATACGTGCTCGGCGTTTAGGTGTGTTGTCGTTGGCCACCTCGGACCAGCAAAATCGTGTCGAAAGAAAAAAAGCAACCTTTGGCATCCTTTTTTCCCATACTATTTCCTTCTTTTCCTTCGGTATCTTATTTTTAGCCCATTTTCTTTTTATCCCACCCTTTTCTTTCCCCACTCGCCGCGGGAGGCCCAGTAATCCATGTGAGAAAATACAAGTCAACAAACTACAACGATGCAAGACATTGTATAAAACACAGGCTGCGTGCGCACCTGGAGCAGCGCATGCATACATGGTTGCGCCCGCGCACACGTCCAGCTGATTCTCAGCGATTTGCGTGCCACTATACCTACAATGGCAAGACGGACCGGCAGGCATCTGCACATACGTGTCGTAACAAGGTTGTATCCAGGAGACGTGGAGTGAAGCGATGGAGATAAAGACGCAGAGACCAGGAGATGGAGGCGGGAGGGAATGAAGGAGAGTTGGGCGTGGTGGTGAGCGAGTGCAATGTGTGCAACGGCATAGGCATGAACACACATGTCCGTGATCATGAGTGGAGGTGCCTGATATAGACGGAACGAGATCGGGCAGGCAAGATACCCCAAGTAAGAGCGAACGACGAAATAGGCAGAAGACAGGCGAACGGGCAGCGGGATGCAAAATAAAACATTAATCAAGCAATTGACAACAAGAGAAAGCAGGTGAGGAAGGATAACTAGCGAAGAGACAAGACCGAAAACTCAGCATAAAAGCAGACAGATGGTGGAAATAAAAATAAAGACACACAAATCTCCGAGGCGCAACGTTGGCTTCCATGCCCTTGGCCTAACTGAATGGATAGGCGGAGATCCCACCGCCACCAAAGAGACACATCCCAATGACAAGGGCTCTGGCCCGCCAAGCAGGTCAGCTGGATACCCAGAGGCCATAACTCTCCTCTCCCTCATATGATCCCGCCCGGCGGATCATACCCGGTAGCGGCCCCACGTGCCGAACCCCCCAAGCCTGCGCTCCCCGGAACCTCGCCTGCCAGGTCTGCCTGCGATGTGTTTGTCTTCCTGAGCATGAACATGGGCTTCTTACCCTCCTTGTCCAGCTGCTTGAAGAGAATAAGAGGCTTCTCGTCCAGACCGAGGCACCGCTCCTGGTCCCCGTACACAATGTACAGCGCGTACTGGTCAGCCGGCGCGTTGATCTGATACTTCTTAAGCGCCGCCGGCAGGACCTTGTAGCACGGGTCGTCCATGCTGACCCTGAAGGATTTGAATATTTCGACCGAGTTGCTGGCCGAGCTTGGTGTGTCGGGGGCCGGCGTCTGCATCCTCCGGGGCGCCACCGGCTTTTCGCGCCCGCCGTACCCGTAGTCGTTCTCGTTGAACGTCGACCGACTGGACGGGGTCGGCTGGTCGGAGCGATACGACCTCGATGCCAACGTGGTTCCGCCGAGCGTCGTTGGCGGCGACGTTGGAGACGGAATGTTGGGCGACGGATACGACGGGGACGGGGCCTGCTGCCCGATTCCGTTGATGGAAAGATGGCTCGATGACATGACAGCCCTCTCGGCCGCGCTCGCCGGACTCAATGTCTGCTCCACGATGGACCTGTCGTGGGCCGTCTGCAGGTGCGTCGGCGACGTGGCCTTTGGCGTCGTGCCGAGCATGATCTTCTTGGTGGACCACTGCCGCTTGAGCCCGCCGCTAGACTGGCTAGCCGACAAAGGCGTTGGCGCCGGTGGCGAAATCGTAGCATCGTAGCTGTAGGGCTGGCTGGCGCCGCTGAGATGAGGCAACGGCTGCTGTGCATCCTTGGCTAGCCGCAGCGCTGGGAGCATGTCCTCCCGCAACCTTCGAAAGTCCTCGGCCAGTCGGCGCAGGTCCTGTTCAAAATGGTTCATCCGCTCGTCGCGCAGCCTCAACTGCTCCACAATATGCTTGATATCCTCTTTGGCGGTAGCGTACTGCGATTCGTTTTCCGCGGCTGTATGAGCATGCACAGTGTGTCGCGCGAAGCCGTCAGTCACCCTCACCTAGTCGGCCCCTTGTGTCTGCTTGGGTAGTGGGTTGGCAGGCTTGGGTGCCCCTAAGGGGAGGACTCACACAATGGCACGTAGTGGTCGCTCTCTGTCGGCACATCCTGGGCCTTCTTAACGTCGTAAACGCTTTTGAGTATGGTGAGACGATGGCCGACGCTGTTGATGCCCATGGACTTGAGGTCATCATGCTGCAACGCGACCAGCGCTTCGCCCACTATCTCGTTTTCTACACGTCGCAAACTCCCGCTGTTAGAGCCGACCACATAACGACCCGAAAAACGGCCAAGAAAGCAACTACGGGAGGAATAATAAAAAAAAGCAGGAAGAGGAAGGGGAGTGACGTCGGCTGCCATCCTATTCAAACATACCAACAAACCGGGCTGAGTACTGCTCCAGGCCGATGGTGGCGATGAAGTCGGCGCACTCATCGGCAGTCCATTCTGAGATGATGGTCTCCGGCAGTCGATCAGCGCTGCTACGATAGCCATACGTGGTCGGTGTGTGTTCGTTTGATGGAGGGTTGGACTCAGTAGGCGACCCCTCGGCGTCGGTGGCGTCGATGGGCGAACTGTCGTGTATGTCTCTTTCGTATTCATCATCCGCGTCCGACTCGGCATACGCGGTCCCGCGTTCGAAGCTCATGGCCGGCTCCTAGCCCGCGCCGGGGGCCGAACGGCGATGGGACACAAGGGCAGCAGCGGCAGCCAGTGCCTATTCCTCAACCTCCAACTGCCACCACCGAGCTGGAGCCCTGCCGCTTCTGGCTCGCCACGCCCCGTCGAGCCGGATCAGGACCGCCGAGTGCGGCTTCGACTTGGGTCTGGGCCGGGATGAGCTTGGCCGTCGTGTGCCACGTTAGGAGCTGGTCGGCTGCCCGGCGTGCTTGAACTTGCGAGAAGGCTGGCTCGAGGACTAACTGCCCTCGTTTGAGGAGCGCGGGAGCGGGTCAACACACGAATCTGCTCGCGGTTTCCTAGGGAGATCGTGGGCTGCTCCAACGCTGCTGGGTGGCCGACTGGGGGCCGCTCGGGCGAGGTTGCGGAGGCAGAGGGATTGTGCCGTAGGCGGGCGGCTAGGGAGGCTGCCAAGGTTGGCCAGTGGTGGGATTTTTTTGGAGGTTTGGTGAAGAGGTGGTGTCCCAGTCGAGCTTTGTCGTTCCTCCATCCATTGCAGCCGGGGGCGATTGGGGGGCGACGGCCAATGGCACTGCGACACTTGCTAGCAGAGCGCCAGTTTCCGCGCGTGGTACCAGGTACCCAGCCGGCCTCAGTGGTCGCTTTGGCATTCCAAGTTGAGGATACCTCCCCTTTTTGGCGGGACCTCGCTGTAACCGCCTACCTGTTTGAGGCCCACAACCCCACTAGCCAACCACACCGGGTGGCCCCATGGTCCCACTCAACCCAACATCACCGTGCCATGGATAGGCAGCCAAGGATCTTGGGATTTGGAATTGAGGTAGAGGACGAAGGCTTCTCATGCTATTTGATCCGAGCCGCTTCCCTCTTAAATAACCATCGCTCCAAGTGGCTACGCATTGTGCGCTTAGATACACTTATTTGTACACAACCGATACCTGCCACCTTATCACCTGCCGGCCCTCCTCGACCTTGTTGTGCGCTTGATCAGAGCCTCTTCCAGCATATTTGTGAACTCCTGATAGAGCCGCTCCACGACGCCAGTGCTGACCCAATCATTATTGATACCCACACAAATCTCTCTGCACTCCTCAACTGAGAGGTGCTCCCTCTCCGCCAGCTTCTCCTGCCTAAGAAACCCCCTCTGAGCAAGCAAATCCCTAACGCAGTCTTTGAGAGAGTGCTTCCAGTGATAGAGATCATGGGCCGTCTGGGCATTGCTTGCGCAAACACTGCCAACCAACCACTCCCGGCCTTCTGCCGCGATGATGTGACCGTGCTGGTCCCTGTCGCCGTCGTCCTCGTCGCTGTCGCCGTCGCCGTCGCTCGAGGAGTCATTCGAGAGCTCTTCCAGAGAGTCTGGATCGTAGGGGGCTCCAGTGAACCGGATGTGACTGGTTGCTGGGTGGTTCGTGCGGTTGCATGCCTGGCAGTCGTCCAGATCTTCGGCGAGGGTGGGATATCTCTCGGGCGTGTGTTCGTCAATATAGGGGCGCGCGCGGAGGGTTCTGTAGAACTCGGCTGTCCAGACCGACGACGAGAACCTAGACACCGCAAGAGCCAGAACTTCATCGCCGAGCTTGCGCCAGGCCATGAGGTAGGTCGGCCGGTTCTTTTTGAAGGATGGGCTGATGTGGAACTGGATAAGCCATTCGATTGCATCCTGAAAATAAGCCGACATTGGCTTGCGAGCCTGTGCTGTAAATTCTAAGGGTATTTCGAAGCCCACGTTCTCTAGCGAAGCCGAGGCGTCGTTCATGCCCACGCTGTCGTCGATGAAGTCGTCCATATCCGTATTTTTGGCTTTGTCGATCCTCGAGTCGTCGTCCTTATTCTCCTCACTCCTTCCAGTGCGAAGTTGGTCGTCGCTTTCCTCGTCATCGAACTCATCCAAAGCTGGGTTCTCGGGATCAGTATCGTATAGACCCACGCGATCTTCGCCAGACGAGGAGGACGTCTCGTCGGCCTTGCTGTCTCCCTCGCCTTGCCTGCGGCGTCGGAGCAGTTCGAGATGCTTATTCCGCCGTGACCGGCGTCCTTGGGAGCCACGGACCTCGCAACTTGGGCCCGGCGTCCCCTCAACGCCGTGCTCTAGAGTCTCCTCGGCTCCGGGCGCGCCTTTGTGGATAAGACGCCGCCGCTTAGTGGATGACGAATGGATACCGACGTCATCGCTGCCGTCCTCATCCGAGGCAGTATGCTCATAGCGACGACGGTTGCGAGGCCTTGGCGTCCGCTTGATCGGAGCCACGTCCTGCTCGGAATCGTCGTTGTCGCCCTCGCTCGAGGCAATAAGGTTGCGGCTGTGGCGGCTGCGAGGCCTTGGCGTTCGCTTGACCAGGACCTCGCCTTCCTCGGAGCTATCGCGTGCTTCGTCGCGGCACGGCGAAATCGGATCATCTCCAGACTGCCTCTCCCCCACGGGGTTTTCTGTAGCTGTTTCTTGATCCTCGTCCATGATAAAGCGACGAGCTATCGGTAGGGGTTTCTCCCAAGAAAACACGTTAATTTAACCATGTAACGTCGCATATCATTGTGGCAAGCCCAGCCTTTTTGGGGCAGGCGTGGTATAGTAAGTCGTAATTACCTGAATAGTCGCCCGCGCCTGTCGCTTTATTATACAGGTGAGGTTTCAGCGAACAGATGTGGCGGGTACTGCCTGTGGGGTCATCCCCCCGGGCTGTTTTGTGGTATGTTGAGTGTACGGTAAACTTGAACCCAGTGAGCGAGGTTTGTGGGAAGGTGCTCTCCAGTCTGGTAACAAATAATGATGCGGGTGGGAGGAAGGTGCCACCCACCTGTTTGGTCAGTGCAAAGGGCTCCATCTGCTTCCAAACATCCGGAGGAAACAGCTAGATATTCGTATACGTAGGTAGGTATACAAAACCAACCGTGATCAACAAAACAAACGGCGCTAAATTTAAAAATAAAGGAATTCGAATGTATTAGTAGCCAACATGTACCTTCGAACTTCGTGTTGAACATGACAAAGCCTCGTCATTGCCTGAACGTTCAACGGCCAACTTTCGAAAGCAAGTTTCACCTTTCCAGGATATCCTCCGGTCCGCTAACTTTGGACTGGACATACACTTCAATGATTCATCAAGTCGAGCAACGCACGGCGATTCAACAACGTATCCCGGGATCTGATCGGCCCATCGTAAAAGGTGTTACATTGGGACCAAAATCGAGACTGTCGCCGCAACTGCAATAGTCCATAGCCTAAGCGTGTGTGGGGTATGTAAGGTGCATATTGGCAGACCGAGGATGGGAGCTGCTGTTACGACGACTTTGTCCATAGGGACAGTTTGGGTAAGCTGTGTGGAATTAAGATATATTGTTTGAAAGCTCTTTGGTCTAGCTATCAAAGAGAGCGACCCGCAGAGCTCCCTTTTATAAGCCGCATGGTTGCTCCTCTATACCGGTTCGCCTGCCCATCCGGGAACCAAGTCCTATGGGACTTAAACGGTGGGGTGATGAGATAAAAAGAAAGCCACGCCAGTGACGGAAGTGACTGTATCAGGGTCCTAAGATCGACCATAGACACCACGGTAGATTTGTTTGGATAGTTGGGATTGGCTCTAGGCAGTGTAGGGACTGGGCCAGAAACCCAGGATGTGCGCATTGTGGAAATGCGGCCGCTGCATAGGCTGACTGTTCGAGCCATCACCATGCCACCACGGCACAGCGAGGGGCTGCTCGAGGAATGGCCAACCGTTAGCGCAGCCGCTCCTGGGCGTCGCTGACCCCGCGGGCGATGACATCCTCAAGCCTCCATCGCGGAGGGTTGATGACGCCCTCAAGACCATTGGCTTTCCGCCACTGGCTCTCGGTCTCGGGCGTTACACCTTCCGGCAGAGGGTCGAGCCCTCCAGCGATACCTGTTGAGAACTTGAGCTGAAGAATGTCGCCGATTTCGTCACATGCAGCAAGGAGACGGTCCAGGTCATCCTTGTTGTGAGCCGCCGAGACGCAGAAGCGCGCGCGCGAGCTGATCAAGGGGGTTGCGGGATAACCGACGATCACGATGGAGATCTTCCTCTTGAGCATCTCGTGGCTGAAGGCGGGCATCTTCCCGGGGTGGTACAGCAGAAGGGGGATGATGGGGGAGTCGTCGTGGCCATATATGATGAATCCAAGGCGCTTGAGTCCCAGACGGAGATACCGCGAGTTGAAGGCGATGCGCTGCAGTCTCTCCTCACCCTGGCCGGGCGCCAGCTCGCCCGTAATAAGTTTGAGAGACGCCAGGATCTGCATCAGAACGCATGGCGTGGGCGACTCGCCGAGAAGGGTGGCGTTGTTTAGGAATCTGAGCTTGTCGATGATGCGCCTCTCGGCCGCGACGTAGCCGCCGTTGGCGCCAAACGACTTTGTGAGAGTGCCCATCAGGATGTCCACCTCTGACGGGTCGATGCCAAAGTAGTCGCACACGCCACGGCCACGTGGGCCCAAGGCCCCAACGCTGTGCGCCTCGTCGACGAAGAGGTAGAACTTGTACTTTTTCTTCAGCTCGATGATGCCCGGCAGGTCGCACATGGTACCCTCCATCGAGTACAGACCCTCGACGGCAACCAGGATCTTCTTCCACGGGCGATGAGTGCGGGGCTGTCCCTGGGAGATTGCGTCACGCAGCTTCCGCTCCAGATCGTCCATGTCATTGTGCCTGAAGGACTGGATCACGGCGCCCGAGACACGTGCGCCAATGCGGATAGAGGCGTGGTTCAGCTCGTCCGACAGGATCAGGCACCCCTTGGAGACGAGAGCAGGGAAGGAGCTGGCGTTGGTGACGAAACCCATGGAGAAGACCATGGCCGCGGGCTTGCCTACAAATTGGGCCACCTCGCGCTCCACCTCGAGCATAAGGTCCGAGGTGCCGGCGTCGACCCGGGGGCTGCAGAAGCTGAGACCATAACGCTTGACGCATTCCTCGACGGCGTCGGCACACGGGCCTTCGGACTGCGCGAAGCCCAGGTAGTTATAGGAGCTCATGTTGAGGGTCTCGGTGAGGGTACCGCTGAACCTGTACGTGCGGTTGAAGTCGTCCGACTTGCGGTCCATGAGAGTGATGAAGCGGCCGGGAACGCCGGTGGTGGGGCGGGCGAAGCAATCGTCCAGGCGCAACTTGAGGCGCCGGACGTAGAAGTTATCGAAGTCGTCGTTCAGCGGAGCATAGCCATTGGCGGCCTTGAGGGAGGCATAGTGCTTCTGGTTACCGAGCCGCTTGCCAAAGAAGTCGCGAATGTGGCCGACCAGAATGAGGATAAGGTAGCTGATGTAGGTGGTAAGAACGAAGTAGTAGGGCGGCTCATCAAGGACGGGCGGCTCGAGCGGTTCGCCCTGGTGCTTGCTAACATAGCGGTGGGTGGGCGAGACGAGGGGCCCGAACTCAGCATCTGCCCGCTGCCGGCGACGAGACTCGGTCCCGTGGGCGGGTTGAAAAAGCGTTGTGGACGACGCATCGGGGCCGGGCTCCCCGGGACTAGCTACGCCTGAGAGCGAGATAGTGGGAAGGGAATACGGAGCTCCGTTGAGCTGGGGCGAAGGGCTGTTCGCCTGCTGCTGCTGCTGCTGCTGGTTTTGCATGGCCAGAGAAAGGGCCTGCTGGGCGGATGACGGCTCCTTGGCCCTGGCGGCAAAGAGCTGGGTAAAGCGATTGCCTTTGGGCTGTGAGGACTTTCTGTCCTGCGGCATGCTGGCGGTGGTGGAAAAGGGATTCGCGAGTAGCTTTCGGGGCATTGCTCCAGGGAAGAGGCGAGCGGAAACAGGGAGTCGAGGAGCTGGGGCGGCAGACCAGCGGGCACGAGGGTCGACAGGCGGAGGCGCCCGCGAGGGTGGTCTAGGAGTGGACCGTGCCGGTTGACGCAAAGACGAGGACGGGAGTTTATGCTACCATAGCGCCGTCAGTCAGCAGCTGTCAATTGTCGCGAGAGCGCAGAGAGGAAGCATTCGGGGCGGTGACAGATGCGGTCAACGAGGCCGTGGGCACTCACCAAAACAGGACATTAGAAATGATTCTTGCAAGCAGATACTGGGAGATCCAGAGGTCCAGAGCAAGCAGAGCAACTATATGCTATGGACGCCGAAGGACCTCCTTAGGGTGCGATCCGAGAGATTGTGGTCGGGAGGGCGATGTGACGTGGAGGAGCTGCGGCAGCCGCGAGCTGGAGCTGCAACCAGATCCGGAGGGATCAAATTGGCTGGTGGTGGAGAGAGACGAAGTCCACCTGAGAGAGGCGCGTCCCCTGATCGGGGGCTTATCCCTGGGCGATGCTGAAGGCTCTGGAGGTGCACAGCGTCACGCTGAGGGATCAGAACAACTTTCCTGCTCCCTCTCTTTCTCTTCTTGCCGTTTTTTTTTCCTGACCGTCTCTGCCGGCTGTCCCCTGCCAGCCCCTTTTCAGCCGTGGTAAGCACTCCACTCTTATCGGTCGATCCTAACTCGGTTGCGCGGATCCAGGAACCAAATTGTGGGGGCAGACACCTCTGGAAGTGTCAAATCGGAGGTGGCGGATCAGTGGAAACAGGCAGGGCTGTCCCAATCTGAGGAGTTGTCGTTGTCGTGGTCACAACACGAAGGAGAGGAGGACAAAAGGTGATGGTGGCGGAAGGGCCTTGTATATTAATACAGAATGATGAGGCGAATTTCTAATTGAAGTCTCAAACATTTGATATCAGCAGGGAGAGTGTCAGAGGGGATGGACAGAGTAGGGGAGGATGATTGACGGGAGTGGAATGCTCTCGCGGTGACCGACACGCTGGCCGCAGTGGGAAATTAACCTGCTGTGAGCCGTCATTGTGCAAGTACCCAACCAGGGGCTCCCCTGCCCAAGGCTCATTTGGGATGAGGTTGTGGATGCGATGCCGAGGCAGGCGCCAGGCGCGCATTGCAGGATTCATTTATTCTCTGGAACGTGGACTGGGGCAAAATGGGAGGGGGAGGGGAAAAAGGACCATTTTCTATATTTTTGCTGGTCCTGAAATTTCTGCTGCTGTTGGCGCGTATTCTCCACTGGGCTGCCGTCAACAGCCCTAGACACAGAGCCCTGATATCAAAGGGGGGGGGCCCGGTTGTTGTATTTCGTTCGCTACCGCGTTTATTTTTATTTTTATTTCGATCGTTCATCTTCTCTCCTACCCCAATCCACACCCCTCCACAAAAAAAGACGGCAGTCCCACCTGGCACCTTGACAATGGAAAGGCTCTGACCGGTGCCCCACAGCCCACTCTGCCCACTCTGCCCACGTCAAATACTTCTCAGCTCGAAGATCGCTCGCAATGCCGGTGGTAGCCAGTAAACATCGTGCAGTAGTCCAGCATTCAAGGCCGAGGGCGGAATGGAATTGACGCGGCCCTCGGCTTGCTACTGGGCTCGGTCCGGCCGCGGGAGGTCTGTGCCGTGCGTGGCCGGTCACTCCGTGGAGAGAGGCCCAGGTGCATTGGCCTAGCGTAGTAGACTTGGGCAATGTAGACTCGTTTTTATATCGACGAGGGCACGCACACTGCCCCTCCATAGCGGGCTCCCCAACGGTTCTAAGAGCACATCATTCACCATCAACAACCACTCAGGCTGCCGGCCAACAGCTGGGCCGAGGCTAGACGAGAAGAGGAAAAAGAAGAAAGGAAGAGGCAGAGGTCAATCTAACAACAACAAAAGAAAAGAGAGAAACAAACGTGCCCTGTAGCCTGACATGTCGGCTGGCTCTGCCCCAGTCGGGGCTGATCTCTGGAAGCATGCGGACCCCCAGTCCACCAGCATGTTCGCCTTTCTCCAGCACGTCAACAGACGACACTCGCTGGCGCTGGGCGACTATGCCCAGCTACACCAGTGGTCCGTCAAGTGCCCGGCCGCGTTCTGGGCGGAAGTCTGGCAATATGTGGGCATCACGGCATCTAGGGGCTATGACGTTGTGCTGCCAGACGACGCACCCATGTTCCCGCGACCCGTCTTCTTCGCCGGCGCCCGGCTGAACTTTGCCGAGAACATGCTCTTCCCGCCCAAGGCCTCCGGGCTCGACCCCGAGTCCACCACGGCCGCCGTAACGGCCACCGAGACGGGCTGCAGGGAGACGACGTGGGCCGAGCTGCGCGACATGGTCCGCCGCTGCTCTGCCTCACTCCGCGCCGCCGGTCTCGCCAGCGGCGACGTGGTGGCCGGCTTCGTCTCCAACCACATCGAGGCCCTCGCCGCCATGCTGGCCGCCGCCTCCGTCGGCGCCCTGTGGACCAGCATCAGCCCCGATAACGGCGTGAGCGCCGTGCTCGACCGCCTGCGTCAGGTCAGGCCCAGGGTCCTCTTCGCCGACGACGCCATGATGTACAACGGCAAGACGTGGCCGAGCTCCGTCAAAACCCTCGAGATCGCCACCGCGCTGCGCGAACACGGGCTTGCCCTCGTCGTCGTCATTGCCGGGGACTCCGCTGGCGTTGGTCCGGACCTGACCGGGCTCCGCTCGCTGCCGGACGTCCGCGCCGACGACTTTGCCGCCTTCCTCGCCGCCGCCCCGCCCGACGCCGAGCTGCGCTTCGACCAGCTTCCCGCGGATCACCCCCTCTACATACTGTACAGCAGCGGCACCACGGGCTTGCCAAAGGCCATCGTGCACACCGCGCTCGGCACCCTCATCCAGCACAAGAAGGAGCTCCTTTTGCATTGCTCTATGGGCCGTGCGTCACGGCTCTTTTACTACAGTGAGTGGGCGGCTGCCATGCCGGATCCATGACACCATCTACCCCCGCCTCCTGCATGGTCAACAATCCCCCTCCCTACCTTGCTACGCACGGGTCGGGAACCAAACCCAGCCACGCCCACTGACTCTCATGCCGTGACGTAGCGACGACCTCCTGGATGATGTGGCACTGGAGCATCTCTGCCCTTGCCCTGGGGGCCACGGTGGTCTTGTACACGGGATCGCCATTCAAGCCTCACGGCTATCTGTCTCTCCCCAAGCTCCTGTCATCTCTCAAGGTCACGCATTTCGGGACCTCAGCCGCCTACCTCACCACCCTGGAGGCCAATAAGGTCCTGCCCGTGCAGCACGACGATCTCGATCTTTCCTCACTCGAGGCCATCTACTCGACCGCGGCCCCGCTGCCCCCCTCGACGTTCGCCTTTGTCTACGAGGCCTTCCCGTCCAGCGTACACCTCGCCTCCATCACCGGCGGCACCGACATCGTCTCCCTCTTCGGCGCGCCCTGTCCCCTGCTCCCCGTGCGGGCGGGCGAAGTGCAGTGCGCCGGCCTGGGCATGGCCGTCGGGGTCGTCGACTCGGCCGCGCCGCCGGACCGGCCGGACCCCGTCTCCCCCGGCGAGCCGGGCGACCTCGTCTGCACGGTCCCCTTCCCATGCCAGCCGCTGACCTTCTTCGGGCCTGATGGCGAGGCCAAGTACCGCCAGGCCTACTTCTCGCGCTTCCCCGGCCCCCCCGCCATCTGGCACCACGGCGACTTTGTGCGCGCCGTCGCCGGCTCGGGCGGCCTCGTGATGCTGGGCAGGTCCGACGGCGTCCTCAAGCCGGCCGGGGTCCGGTTCGGCTCGGCCGAGATATACAACATCCTCGCCAAGTTCTTCGCGGCCGAGGTGGAGGACGCCCTCTGCGTCGGTCGCCGCCGGCCCGGCGACAAGGACGAGTCGGTCTGCCTCTTCGTCACCATGGCTCAGGGGTGCCTGTTTGACGACCAGCTCGCGGCCAGGATACGTGGTGTGGTCCGCAGCGAGCTGAGCCCCAGGCACGTGCCAAACTTTGTGGACGAATGCAAAGGTGGAATCCCAAAGACGAGCAACGGCAAAAAGTGAGTTTTGCGCCGTGCGGGAGGATTGGATTCTACCCTGAGCCTATTGCCTGTCAAGTGTGGTCTTTTTTTACTGACGATATCTCCCGAGTCTGGTAGGATCGAGGTCGCGGTCAAACAAATCATATCCGGCGTCGACATCAGGAACAAGCTCAGCCAGAGTGTCGCAAATCCGGAATCGCTCGATTGGTTCAAGGCCTGGAACGAGGAGCATCCCTGACCACACCGCATCACGCACCCGGCGACAGCACACCCCCAGGCGGGAGGGCTCCCTCGCAATTTGCATGCCATGGGGCGTCCTGATGTATATCTTTGGCGTCCGATCGCTACTACATCCGAGGGGGCCGTTCGTAAACAGTGGTTTATATAGAGCTCGAGCGGTCGTTGAAATCCAAAATAGAGCCGACCAACACACAAAAAGGCTCTTTCTTACGCTTTATTTTTATTTTGATTATTATTTTTCTATACCTCTATCTATTAATGTTTCCTACTCGTTATGTAGGACCAATCCGCCATCTACGACAAAGAAGTCTTTAATTTTGCATAAATGCCAAGTAAGAACCCCAGCTCCGTTTATAAGCACCAACTGGCTTTACTCGCTGTAAACGTAATACCAAAGGGCTTTGGACCTTCTCCTTGTTTGGGAAAAATGCGGTCTCACTTTGGGTCGAAGAGGTTCGTTTGTCGCCTCACTGTTGTGGGTCTGACCTTTTGTGAAAGTGGGGATCGCCCAGCCACATGCCGGGTTTGTTTGCGTGTGGCACCAACGCGCGACAACCCATGAACTCGACACGACCAGAGTTAACTACCTAGCTTTGTTGTAGGACCAGCCCAGCTCCACGGCATTCATACCAACGACACTCCAGATCTGCCACACATCCCGCGAGTCTTCTGCGACCCGGTTGGAATTCCTGCAGCCGCCCTGAGGAGCCTTTTGGCAGTGAGCGGCGCCGGAAGCGTCTACAGGACACGATGATTGTCGAGGTAAGAAGGGGCGAGCCTGGCGATTTGGAGCAGGTCCACGCGCGGATTGTGTATGCGGTGGCGCTAACGTCGTATGGTTGCTTTTGACATCTTGACAGCGCGAGATCAAGCTCGTTACCGAGCAGCATAACATGTGCGTCTCTTCGTGGCCTGGCGGGCGGAGCAAGGCGTTTCGCTGACCTGGCGTGGGGGCATTCCTAGCAACAAACCCCCTCAAATGGAGGGGTTTCCAATGAAAGAATGGTCGGTCGAGGTCTATCTTCTCGACCCCAGCGGGAAGCGTCTCCCAGCCAAATGCTTCACCAAGGTTGTCTACAACCTGCACCCGTCGTTCGAAAACCCCACGCAGAGTACGTCGCGTCGCAAACTCGCCTCCGCCCTGTTATGCGCGGCCGAGGGCCCATGCTAACGTGGAACACGGACGCAAACTATAACCACAGCTTTCCACGAGCCCCCGTTCAGGTGCAGCAACGAAGGCTGGGGCGAGTTCGAAATGACCATCGATCTCTACACGACAGAGAAGGGGGGCAAGCAGACGGTGGTGCACGACCTAAACTTCGCCAAGCCCACGTACGATGTGGTCAAAACCCTCACGTTCAGGAACCCTTCGCAGGCGCTGCAAGCGCTGCTGCGCGACTCGGGCCCGCTCCCGACCGACGACGACCGCAAGGCCCGCAAGGGCCAGGATGGCAGCAAGAAGAAGAAGCCATGGGATCTGGAAAAGCTGGCGGGGGCGGTTACAAAGCTGAACGAGGACGATCTGATACACGTCATTCAGATGATTCACGACCACAAGTCGGACGACACATATGTCTTGAATAACGTTGACGGTGCGTTCCGCTTCAGGCCCCCCTCCCCTCCCATCAGTCCGGGTTTGGTCCCCGGGGGCTAATGATGGCACTGGACCATATACATGTGCTCTCCGTGGTCGCTGACAGAGTTTTCTTTGCGCCCTGCAGCTGGCGAGTTCTCGGTTGATCTGTATACGATGCCAGATGTGCTTACCAAGATGCTGTGGGATTTCATAGTATGTTGTCCCCCTGGTACATTTCTTTGTCTCATTCGTCGCAGCACTTGTTGGAGGCTAACCGGCCCGCTAGGCAACGACGGACCAAGGCCACCGCTTGAAGTAGTAAGTATACGGCGGCAACGGCGGCGGCGGCGGCGGCGGCAAGAGGGAGATGTCTCTCGTTGCGCCGAGTGTGTGGCAGAGCTATCAGGAGCGAAGTCCCCGCAGGCTTGCGAGGGATTCATAGGGCACTCTTGTCGCTGAGGACAGGGAGCGAGCACGTTGGTTGGGCAGGGAGCAACTGGTTACATCGCATTTGCGACGGCGTTCAGGTTGGGTCTTAGAGACGCCGCCCCGAGTCGTGGCGGAGGGACCGACAGATTTCCAAGTTTGGCGCGAACACTGCGGGGAGCTCGGATTCTCAGTCAAGCGCGGCGTGCAAGAGCATGGCTTAGCACTGCAAGAGTTTTTGTTTTTGTCATCTCAGGTTCTCTCTGTTCTTATCCTTTATTTTCATTCTCCTTTGGTAAGTTTTTGGTTTTATTTCGCCTATTCAATCGAGCGTTCATCTTTGCTGAATATCAAAAGCCCCATTTGGTGCTTGAGCCACTGGAAGTAACTGCGATGTGCTTTGAACTCGAAGCTTTGGTAATGGATTCGCGGAGGTTCCTGTCCTCAAGTTGTATGTCGTAAGCCTTGGATACTTTCAGCGGCGTGGAAGAAGGTCACTGCATTTGTTCGTGGGGGAACACATATGGGGGGTCCCAATACGGGGGGTCTTCCAGCTGAGCGTGCCCAGGCAAGCAGGGTGGCAGCCCGGATGCCATGGAGTCAAGTCTCTCCACTTGCTGGCAGCCGAAAGTTGGGCCGAGACCCCACCGCCACCCCTCGCAAAGCGAACGCTTCTTCGCAACGGTCCGCCCGAATAAACCGTCGCAAACCGAGGCTGGCGACTCGCCTCGTCGGCACTTTTTGAATCGCGCTGTTCGTCCCGCTGGCGATTGAGCCGCCTGTCCAGGCTCTGCACCCATGGCCCAGTACGCCGGCGAAGCCGCGCGCGGCCCTGACCATGCCGACCGCTCCCCCAACCCACCCACCGCGCGTCCCGCGGCTGACTCTCCGCGTCCCGCCTCGGCCTCGGCATCGCCCTCCCCAGCAGCCCCCAGCGCCGCCGCCCGCCAGCGGCAGTCACCACTGCAGCCGCCGCCTCTGCCCCCTCCCTCGGCCCTCTCTTCGGCATCGTCGGCGGCCACGGTGCCCACCGCTGCGGCGTCGCAGCTGCCCCAACACCGACGCGTCTACCAGGCCTGCATCCCGTGCCGTCGGCGCAAGGTGCGCTGCGATCTTGGCAGTGTCGACAACCCCCATGATCCCCCCTGCGTGCGCTGTCGCCGCGAGAGCAAGGAATGCTTTTTCAGCGCTACCCGCCGCAAGCGCAAGGCCGACGATGAGACGCTGTCGGGAGCTGAGGACGACTACGTGGTCCGCAACGGCCGCAAGCGCCGCGCCGCGGCCTCGCCACCGCCACTAGACCACAGGCTCTACTCGGATGCACCGCTTACCCCTGGCGGCTCGCATGGCCGCTCCCAGCCGCTACCCAGACCCCGTAGCGACTCTCTGCCGGCCATCGACCGCGGTAGCAGCGGCCTGGGCCGCTCCTCAACAGAACGCGGGTTCGTCGGCAGCCCGGCTGACGAGCCCAACACGCCACTGGAAAACCTAGAGGCGCGGTCCGTTATGCGACGCGAGGTGTATGGACCTCACGACGCGCTCGATCTGCTGTACAAGGCCGCAACCGACAGGTGTGTTTACTCTGCCGAGTCTGCCCCGCGGGACGAGCAACCGAAGCTAACCATGTGACCTCGATTTACGAAACAATACAAGTAGCCCGCACAGGCATGGCGATGCGGGCATGGACATGCGCCCCCAGAGGGCCGGGCCACCGCCCTCGGTGAGCTTCCTAGTTCCCCAGCCGGAATCGGGTCGCTCTGCCACGGCGCGCAGCCAATCCAGGCTTCACGAGGACAATGACGACGGCGACCAGTCGCACTTGCGTGATCAGCATCGCCGGCGTCGCTCCAAGCAGGCAGCACGCCGGGCCGACGGCGAGACTACCGAGCCCATCGACCCGCAGCTGACGGCCAAGCGCGACTCGGGCAGCGACCCCGGCTACGCCGAGGCGCTCAAGGCATGGGCGCGGTTTCGTTTCGTACGGGCCGGCTGGTTTACGGCCCAGGAGGCTGTCGACTACATCGACTAGTGAGTATCCATCACCCAAGTCACATCCGGCTCTCTGGAGGTGCATCGTGCGTTTTTCGATTTTCTACTAACCTCCGCCGCGACTGCCAACTTCCGCCATCTGCGTCACAGCTACTATAAATATCTCTCCCCCTTGACGCCCATATCGCCGCCGACCTTTAGCAACGCAGCCGCCCACCTGACGCTGCTGACGGAGGAGCCAATCCTGACGGTGGCGCTGCTGACCATCGCGTCGCGCTACCGCCGGATGCCGGGCACGGGCGGGCACTGTCGCTCGCACGCGATCCACGAGCAGTTGTGGACCTATCTCCGCGGCATGATCGAGCGAGTCGTGTGGGGGCAGGAGGCCTTTGGCGGTGGCTTCTGCGGCTCCGGGGGCCCCGGGCCCCTGGACGAGAGCCAGACGTCTAGCACAGCGCCCTGGAGGGGGCTTCGCAAGGGCAGCCTGCGCACGCTGGGCACCATCGAGTCGCTTATGATCCTGACTGAGTGGCACCCACGGGCACTGCACTTCCCGCCGGCCGAGGCCATCGACGAGTTGCTGCTGCCATCTGTCTACGATGGGGTGGGAGGCCTGGCGGACCCGGCGACAGAACCCGACGCCTCGGCGGGAGTGGGGGTGGGAGCAGGCGGTCGGCCGGCGGCAGGCGTGGGCGGCAAGCGTATCGAGAGCTGGCTTGAGCCTGCGTGGCGCAGCGATCGTATGTGCTGGATGCTGCTGAGCACGGCTATGGGCCTCGCGTATGAGCTGGGCGTGTTCGACGACATCGATGAGCTGCTGGCGGCCGGGGCCATCACGCGGCCCGAGTATGAGGAAGAGACGTACCGGCTGCGGGCGCACCGCATCAAGCGGCTGCTGCTCATATACCTGAGCCAGCTGGCCGGGCGGCTCGGCTGGACCAATATGGTGCCCGAAAACCTGCGCAAGTCGGACCCCGTGGTGGCGGCGCGGCGGCGGCCAGCGTCGGTCGAGGGCGTCGCCACGCCCGGCACCAGCCTGTCCTCGCTCTCGGGCGGCTTCAACTACATACCAGACCTGGAGCTAGACGACCAGATCATCCACTGCTGGGCGGGCATCAGCAACGCCATGTTCGTCGGCAACGAGAAGCTCTTCCGCTCGCGCAAGCACACGACCGACATCATCCAGAGCGGCCGCTACATAGCCCTGCTCCAGGAGTTCCAGCCCATGCTGGGCGACTGGTGGCGCCAGTTTGAGCGCTTCCGCCTGCCGCCCTACATTCGTCATATCTTGACCATCGAGTACGAGTACGTGCGCATTTACGTCAACTCGTTATCGCTACAGGCCGTTGTCGAGCGCTGCACCAACCACGCCGGCCAAGCAACCACAGCCGGCGCCGAGCAGCTGTCGCCCCAGACCCAGAACTACTTTGGAAAGCTTCCTCTCGGCAGCCTCGGCGGCTTCGGCGTCGCCGACCAGGAGTACGTCAAGGAGGTGGTGGACGGCAGCCGCAATCTGCTGCGCACCGTGGTCGACGGCCTCCTGCCCAACGACTACCTGAAGCACGCACCCGTCCGCACCTACTTCCGCATCATCAGCGGCGCCATGTTCCTGCTCAAGACCTTCGCCCTTGGTGCCCCGCGCTCAGACGTAGAGCTATCCATCGGGCTGATGGACCGCACCGTCGACGCCCTGCGCAACTGCGTCGTCGACGACGTGCACCTGGGGAAGCGTTTTGCCGATCTTCTCGAGTCCCTGACGAGCCGTCTGCGCAATAGGTTTATCCACGCCCCGGCCACCGGGCCCGGAGGCAGCGCTCAGCCGGCCTCGGGTGCTTCGTCGGCCGCTCGCCCTAGCCCGCAGCCGCAGCAGTCACATGCTCACGGCACAGACCATAATGTTGCCGGCGCGGCCGCATCGACTGCCGCCAACGACCAGTGGCGTCACCACGTGGGCCCGGACGGCGCGGCCTCGGAGCAATGGCTGCGGCCCAACGGTTCAGGGACACTAGCATCGCTCTCCACGGCGGCGGCAGCGGCAGCAGCAGCAGCGACCGGGCTCGGATCGGCTGGCGCAGGAGGACCCGGCGCTGGAGCCGGACCTGGAACAGCAGCCCCGGCTGAACGGTGCGGGACGCCCGTGAATATATCAGCAACACCCTTTGAATTTAGCACTGGAAGCCTCTACCCGAGCGGATCCGCCTTTGGCGGGCCGTCTACGCCGGCAGCGAGCGCCGGCATCGAGCACCATCATGGCAGTATGCCCGACAACCTATTCGGCGACCCGTCCGAATGGAATAACTCGAGCAATGAAATGTGGTACCTCCCAACCGGACCTGCATTTTTCCAGAACATGGGAGACTCGGCCGTTGCCATGACCGCCGAGGGTGTTAATGTGGGCGGCATCGATCTGTTGGAGTACATGGCTATGGATCAGTTCCCAGCCGCCGAAGGGAGCGGCTACTAGTGAAGCCCGAGTTGCCATTAGCGTGTTTTTCGGCCCGCGCCCAGTTTCTTTTTCCCTTTTTCCACACGTCTCTCCATCTCTACCTAATTTGATATATACGATACCCACGAATGAAGGGTGGGAAAACCTGTGACACGAACTTTGCGCCTGGGCGTATGTGTGTGTGTGTGCGTGTGTGTGCAAGTGATTTGTATATGGTGATGATATCAATTGCACCCTATTGAACGTTTTCACGTCATAGGCTGTGGTGCTTTCCGTCTTGATTATGTGGCAGGATGATAAAGGGCCACACTGCTATGGCTATTTCACTATCCTACGCCCTAGAGGTCATGAGACACATGAAGGCTACGAATCAACGCCCCGGGTGAGCAGATATGTCCCCTCCTTCATCGGTTAAACGTTGGATCAGAAATGAACGTCAATAACCAGAAACGGGGGGCCTGATCGTGGAAAGTAAAACGAGGGTAGAAAAAAAAAAAGAAGACTCGATTCTAATTTTCTGGCACTAAATTACCAAACTAACAAATCCACCCTTGCCAACGAGACAAATGCTCACGAAGTAATGGTGCCTGACAATAGCGCCTGGTGATTATCGCTCAGCGTGGGGCCAACGGAAAGGTGAGTTGGAAAAGGTTGGAATTGTTGGGATCAGGCGATAAGGGGGGGGATACAAAGGAAATCAACAAGTCAAGTGATGACCCGAAAATAAAATAAGACGGGGCAGGGGGGAGAAAAAAAAAGACAAGAAAAGGGGGAAAATTAGAAGACTGAGACTACGTATTGCGTAGACTTGGTCGTGGGGGTATGTGTTTGTCGTGCGAACGGGGGAACGATATATGGATGTGCCCGGCGTAAGCATCTGATTTGAAATAGATGCTGCAGTTTCAGAGAAACTGCAACGCGCGAGGAGAGTGCACATAAGACAGTTGGCGAGAGGAGGAACCCCAGCAGGAAAGGGAAGGTCGGTTGAGGGTGGGGGCATTTGTAGTTAAAATAAGAAACCGCCGAGGAAAGAAAAACAAGACCTTCTCCAAGCTACGTTGTGGGTATCTTGGCTGTTTACTGAAAGACAAAGGGAATTGAGGGATAGAACCGGCAAGAGTGGGTTAAATAGTCAAGGGTGAATGGAGATGGAGAGGTGCTTCGAAGGAAATGGGACAGAACATGGCAGCAGCGGCGCGCCCAGGGTCTCATATAGGCCTTGTCTTGATACACAACAATAGCCAGGGAATTTTGAGAGCGAGAGAAACGGGGCATGAGGAGGCACAGCGAAAGGGAAGCAAAGGTGCAGCGGTGAGGGGACGAATGGAAAGAGGGATACAGGGAGAAATGGGATTGAGGGTTTGGAGAAGTTCATGAGAAGTGTGTGGGAGGTGACTAAATAGAAAACATGAGAAAAGTTAGAGAAAAAAAAGATGGGGAAAAGCCAGAACTAGCATTCACACATTGCAGCGTTCCTGGGGTGGTTGGCGGTCCTACTGCCCGAACGTCGTGTGGTTCTGGTGGGCCACTTGAAGCTCTAGATGTGAGCAGTCAATGGTTAGCATTGATCATAAACAGCAGGCATATCGGGGAACGGGGCAGACAAACCCTGGAGAGCGGTGACCTGACCGGCGCGGTCCTCGCACGCGATCTGCAGGCTTGAACCATCCACAAAGTCCAAGCAGACACTGTTGGGTAGTTCTTGCTGCTCCATCTCAGGAGCGTAAGGGGCTTTAAACTCGCTGAGGTGGTAGCGTTTGGTGACGATGGAGCCAGCGGCCGCGGCTGTCTGTCCTGCGCTGAGGACCAGGAATCCCTGTGAGTCGAGACACATGGCCCGGCGCTTCCAGAGAAGATTGTCTGGGAACTGGACATTAACGTCGCCCATATCGGCCACGACGACGGGCTGCTTCTGCTGCTGGGCGGCTCCGGCCATGGCGCGGGCTGCCTCGGCGTCGAAGGTCTCCTCGGTGACGGTGGGAGATCTGGTCTGTGTCACCACCTTGCGGCTGGAGCTCAAGGAATTCGAGAGACGCCTGATGAAGCGGCTGGCCCGACTCTTGCCGTTCTTCTTCTGACTATCGTTGCCCCCTATCCGGCCCATGGATTCGTCGCCTGAGCCGCTCGTATCGGTCGTGCGAGTGGGCGAGAGGAGCGGTGTTGCGACGCCGTCACGGTCCTTGCTTATCGAAGAGCGACGACTAGAGGTGCTGAGTCGGCGTGGGAAGACCGAGTTGCGGTGTGTCGACGGGGGACGGGAGGGCGACCTAGATGGACTGACAGCCCCAGGCCCAAGACTCAGATTGTCGGTCGATGGCGACATGGCGTCCCATACCGAGTTGCGGCGATCCTTGATAAAGTCTTTGACAATTGTCAGGGACGACCGGCGACGTGGACTGTCTTCGGTCGTGGCTTCAGACTCGCCGTTGTTGTTGGAGTCCACGGCCGCTCCATCATTATCCTCGGCCGACTGGGATCTGCGCTGGTCCCGCGAAAGCCTGCGCTGAAGGATGGTAGTCTTGCGCGGCTCTGTGGCCACGTCGAGCATTCCACCCGACGGGCTTGTGGTGGGTCGGCGATGATCGACCACGAGGGACGACTGCTTGAGATCCAAAGAAGCGGGCTCTCCGGTGTCGGCCCGCGGGAGCTCTGCGGCCTTTTGGAGGGACTGCAGGGGATCTCGCACGATTCGAGCCGTCACCTGAATCGACTCTGGTCGGCCTCGGGGTACGCTCCCGCCCTCAAAAACCGAAAGCCTGCTCGAGATGGATCCCGATCGTTCGCGCAGGCCCCCCGCGGCTGCTACCAAGGCCTCTCGGTCTTGGGCCTGTGGCGCCGATGGCGTGTGCTTCTCAACACGCAGAGAGCTGGCTCGCTCGGCAACTAACGGGGATCTCGATGGTTCCCGCACGCTGGTCGGCCGCACCGAAAAGAAGGCCGACTGCGGCCGTTCTGGGACGTTGCTCGGGGTCGCAAGTCCCCCGGAAGACGAAGAGAGCTTCTCCAGCGCCTTGATGCGCTGTGATATGCTGCTGCCCACGCCCAACTTCTTGGCCGCCACACTGCCCGACACGGACGCCACCGACGAGGACGACCCAGGTCGCTGCTGCGCCACCCTCTGTAGAAACGCCGGCCCCGAAGACGCTGCCCTGTTACCCGGTGGCTGCAGCGGCGGTGCGTCGCTAACACCCGCTGACTGTCCATTGGACATGGGGTTTGACACGGCGCGGGCCGCGTGGCGGGCCGGCGCCACGGCTGCACCGGGCCCGTCAGAACCAGATACATCCAACACGGGGCTCGAGCTGCCATCATTGCAGACGCCGCCACCTGGCGGGGGAAAGACAGGCGTGACGGGGGATTTGGACATGAGCGTTGACCTAGCTTCGGGTAGGGTTACCGAGTGCATTTCCTGTACCGGCTCCTCGCCGATAGTAGCCCCTACCGTAGATGTCACGCCTACTGTAAGCCCGATCTGGATAGGCTCAACGCCAGCCGCCGGCAGGAGCCCTGGTCGCTTTGTTTCAAGGTCTGCCTGGGCCGTGTCTGCCTCTGGACCTGTGTCAGGCCCAGGCTGGTCGCCAGTCGATGTTCTGTCGGCCAGTACGCTGACTCTGGTGCTCTCCGCAGTGACCCTGAGTTGTTGGTCCTCTTGTGGCATGCCTGAGAAATCGTATGTTGGCGTCCTCAGCAGCGGCGCTTCCAGGGTCCCTGGCGGCGCGCAAGGGACGTGCTCGCTTTCAGCATTCCCGACAGCGTCTGCTGTGTCCCCAAGAATGCCCCTGGTAGCACTTGTGGAAGCCTCGGAATGTGTCCCACTCAAATCCGGACAACGCACGTCCGTGGTATCCAGCATTGCTAGAGTCATCTCTTCAGCCTGCGTCGGTTGTTGCGGCCCCGTGCTCGTGGTATCACCATCTGCGGTTTCTGGAGTCGCGGTTCTAGGACGCTCGTCTCCAGAGTTGGTTGTTGAATCGGCGACGCCGCCCTTGGACTCCAACGCCGTTTCGTCGGTGGACCCGGACACAGAAGAGGCTTTGGTCGAGTTACCGATCTCGGAAGACGCGACCAGAGGAGACGGAGGATGCGAATCTGTCTGCGCATCTACCGATGATCGGTCAGGGAGTAGCAGGGAGGAACTTTCATCCGGCGTCTCGTCCCTGGAGCTTTGCAGTGTCTGATCCTCGCCGGCGACTGCCCCTGTCTCCCCCAAGTCCTTCCCTTCTTCGGCTGCCCGGCCTTGTTGAGGACATTCGGTAAAGCTGGGTAGCTCATCAACGTCGTCGTCCATGTGCGGCGGCGCGGCGTCCGACTTTTCGGCTGCCGTTGAGCCATCGTCGACACTTTCCGCCGGACCAGTCAAGGCCATGAGCGCCTCCTGCTCCTTCTTTTTCTTTTCTCTAAGCTGCATCGCCTTCATGAGCCGCGACTTCTCGGGGCTCATCATGCTGGGCCCTGTGGGGCCTGGTTTGCCCGCGGAAGAGGGCACTGCCTTGTTGCCAGAACTGGCGATCGTCGATCTCCCACCACTGGTGCGCGGCCTGGGGGGTGGTGTGTTGTTGGTGTCTGGGGAAGGGAGATGCTCCATCGAGGCAAGCTCCCCACCTTGTAGAGACGAGATAGGGGGCGTCTCCTCCGTCGGGTCGTCCAGGTCATCAGTGTCCACATGCTCTTCGTCAGCGTCTTGCGGTCTGTCCTTCTTGCCCGTTTTGGACATCATCTTGAAACCAACAGGTATTGTCGACACGGGCCTGAAGGTGCTCCCGGCAGCGGTTCGAGGCCGGCCGCTCGTATCGAGGGAAGGTCGTGGGCCGAGCTTCACTTTGGGCCTAGCTGAGAAGGGAGACGAAGAATATCCCGAGTAGTCGGACCGGCCAGCCTGGAAGGAGCCGCTTCCACTGGCATCGAGCGACTTGGCAGGTGACGCAGGGCGTGGCACGCCCACAAAAGCGGGTGGTTCGGCCGCTCCAGAGAACTGTGACGCCTCAGGCGATGTGGCGAGTGATGGGTCCAGAGCCACGGGGGGTTCTGCGGGCGAGCTGGGCCGGTCATCCCCGCCAGCAGCGCCAACTGACTGCCGCTTTGTCGCCCGCTGTTCCTCTTCCTCCTCCTCCGCGATCTCCATCAGGCGCCGGCGGCGGAGCGAGCTAGTGGATGAGGACATTGATCCGGACGCTGTGTGGAGCGAGCAAGCGGCAGACAAACGTGTGTCCTTCAACTCCTTTGCCGTGGCAATCTCGAACACGGTGTCATGGGGCGAGAAGCGTTCACACACCGAATCCAGGTGTACGCTAACTCGGGCTTGAACCAGTCGAGAGCAATTGTCCGGGAGGTACTTGACGATGACGTTCCGTCGACGATAACGCAGAAAGCCGTAAAGGGGCGACGGCTCCTCGTATTGGGCGATGGCGTTCCGGATCTCGACTATGCCCCCACTGCCCATGCCGAGGAGCTCGACGGCATCGCGGCCGGAGTATTGTAGGATGAACCTGTGTAGCAGACAATGTCTATCGCGTCAGCTCGAAAGACCAACAAAAAAATAAGGGCAAGCAGGGCGGATAGCAAAGTGACCCAAGAAAAAGGACTGGAGTGTGATGGATCAAAGCCAAGTATGGCCTTGGGTATACGCACCATCCTCCTGGCTCAGCGGCAGCAGCGTCGTGGGCTTCCTTGAGTTCGGGTGCGTCCAGTCCATTCAGCGACATCTCCTCGAAGCGTGGCGCCCTGTCCTGTATGGCTTGGTTCGGAGGCGGCGAGATTGCACGTTGGTGCAAGCGCGGAGGCGTGGTTGAATGGCAGCGAGTGAGGCCAGGCCAAGGAAGCCGGCTAACTTCCTGTCTGGCGATTCAGCGCCCCTTCAGGCGGTGCTTCCACGAGCCTGCTCCGGTGCTGTAGATCTCTGCTGTGTTTCGGCGTTTCTCGGCCCTTGTTCCCTTCCTCTTCCCATATCTTCGGCGTCCAACCTCGGTTCGTTACCGTTCTCGGTTCCGGCCCGGGTTACGGATCGCCGTCACGGGTGGCTCGACTGAGGCGCGGCAGCAATGGCCATCTGCGCTCGATGTGTGTGAGGTGAGGTTGCTGCGACAAATTGAATTGGGAAGCTGGGCGTGTGTTCTTTATTTGACGTGTGATTCGGCTGCGTTGCTTTTTGGCTGGTCGGTACTTGGGCTCTCCCTCTCTCCCTGTCTCTCCTTTATCGATTCAGCAAGAGCCGGTCCACTTGGGGGGAATCCACGGCGTAAACGGCCTTGTCGAAAGAAATGACCCCTAGCTAAGTGATTCCAGTGGGCAGGCCGGTTTGATATTAGCTGCAAGGTTACCCCATTTACTGTGGGCTTTCCAGAAAACTGCTTTCCCATTCTCTGGTTGGCTGGGCCAGCCCCTGAGAGAAAATGTCAATGCGTCTAGACGCGTGCATGCATGCGCCTCTAGATGTGGGCAAACAAACCTGCCCTTTCTGTCCTTGGGGCTTGGAACCGCCATCTGATTGCTCCTGGTGCTGCTCGCGCCGTTGGCCGCACACAACCTCGCACAGGGACCATGTCGTTCGTCCCATGGCTGAACATCCACCTGATTGCAGCACCCTCCCTCCCTCCCTCCCTGAATACATACAGCCTTGGGTCCTTGGGTCCTCGCGCCTCTAAAAGAAGGCCACGCATACTAGTAAGCCAACCCTCCGATCCTCAGTGCACTCTGGCACGAAGGAGTGCACATACCGGGTAGCCCCATCCAATACGGGTATCATGGTACAAAGGGTCCACCACCATGACACATTCCCGCGCCGTTAGCGCACACGCATCTCGGTATCAACCTCTACGCAGGTACCTCACATTAAACCCTGAATGTGAGTGCGCGGAATGCAATCCACTGTCCGGAGCGAGATGGTTTCTGACCCATTACTATTGGGTGCAGCAAGCGCGCGGATCGGGTTTATCGAACGATAACTGGTCTCCATAGCTGTGTCTTGCATGTGCTCTTGTAGTCCCCTTCCTCCAGTCTGTCAGCAAGGCCGCCTGCACAACCCATCTGTCTCTAAGCCTCCCGTCTCAGCCATCAACATTCTTATGCAGGCATCACTCCGCCCACCACTAACCCCAATCTGCTGGCAAAGCGGCCCGCGACACATCAGATTGCAATTGCCACCACCACCCCGATAGTTCCCTAGGTATCCCTCCACATATATGTATGCGCGCGCGCGTATTCCCTTCAATTATCTCACACCTCGCAGATCAGCTGGGTGTCCATGGACTGGGCATGCGGGCGCGATTGCGGTTGCCCTCTTGATCGACTTCTATAGCAGTGATGATGCCGGTTCAGCCCGGACTCTGAGTATAGGATGTCCATCTAGTGATGCAAGATCTGGGGCCGAGTCTATGTCAAATCAGGCTCGGTCTTTAGAAGACTCTACCGGCCCCGCCTCACTGGGCGGCATGTCGGATTGATCCGCGACTGCCAAGGGCTCCTCGCTGATCGACGGAATAGCATCATGACCTCGCGGGGCGTTACTGCTGGGAGAAACGCCGACTCCCGGGACGCCATTGTCCGTCATCTTCTGCTTCGCTACATTCACGATTCGATCGGCCTCGCTTGGTTTTCCTCCAGTATCGCCCTCTGTGGTATCGAGGGGCTCGTTGGCCGCCTGTCCGTCCACCACAGCCTGCTTGTCGAATCGCACAATCATGCAGGAAAGGTTGTCTGTGCTGAAGCGGGCAAGTGCATGGTTGACCAGCAATTTGGAGGCGGCGGCTGGGTCCTGTATGTTCCTGACTTGATCGACAGCTTCTTGGTCGTCGCAGACGTCCCATAGCTATAAGGCGCGTCAGCTATTGTCGCATGCATGCATGGGGAAGAACAGACAAAGGAAAAAGAAGAGCGGGAGAAGGACGGAAAGGGCCGGGGATCGACTGGGGCAGCCCCGTGGGGCAAAGATTTAAAAAGGACGGACATACTCCATCGCAAGCAATGATGATGAACTCGTCCAGATCGGGTTGGATGACCGTCTCGGTCGTATAAGGGTGGCCCGTCACGAGGTCCTTCATGTACGTATCGCCCAAAGCTCTGGTTACTGCCAGGACCCCATTGACGCGATTATTGAGTATCAAGCCTCCGGCGTTGGTGATGCGTTTTCCTTCGTTCTCGTCACTACCCTTGTGATCATAGGACAACCGCAGCGCCTTACCCGATCGGCAGAGGATGATACGAGCATCGCCCACGTTCGCCGTATAGAGCACGCGCTGTCTCGACACGGGTACCTTGGCCCGCACATCCGGGGGGCGGGGCCCAGCCGCTTCCTCAGGCTTCGAGTTGTCCTCGAGAGCCTTTGCGGCACCAACAGGCTGCGACCCCGTGGCAGATTGGCTGCTCGGAACTCGGTCCTCCCAGCGCAAGACGGCTATGGCGGCAGTGCAGCCGCTGTTCTTGACGGGCAGCTTTTCTAGTTGCGTATCCACAGTCGTGAACGTCTGGTCGAGAAGCTCTGGGATGGGTACGTTGGGGTTTTTCCTGATTGTTTCTTCCAAAATCAAGTGCAGCTTCTTCCCGCACCAGTCTGCAGCAAAGGTTCCCGCATGCCCGTCAAAGATGGCGAAATACCCATTGTCCGTCTCCGCCGCTTCCTGGCCCGACGCTCCGGCGGTTGGGGGGCTGGCGCCACCATCGCCCGTCGATACGCCGGACGATGGTGTGTGGAGGAAATTGTAGAGAAACGCGTGGGTGTCCTCCATGGTTCGTCGGCATTTTTTGTTGCGGTCTTCCCACACGCCGACACGGAAGGTAGACCGGGGCCCAGGCAGGGATTCGCCCGCAGAGTTGTTATGCTGGCCCTGCGGTACAGCAAGGGCAGGGTCTTGCTTTCCTAGCTTTTGGAGCGGTGTCTGGCTCGCCGAGTTGGCACCGGAGGATGCGCGCCCACCACCTTGGGCAAAGTTCAGTGTATTCTTGGCGCTCGCAAGAAGGCTGCTGGCCTTGCTACTGACACCACTGCTTCGGCGCTTCTTCTGCTCGGCGGCGCCGACAGAGGCTGGCGGGCTTCCATTCCCACTCCTTTTTTCGCCGCTGGTAGGTAGGGTGGCAGCGCCCGATGTTGCGTCCGCATCTTCGGGTGAAGGGGATTTGTTGCCGCTGGCTCCTCCAGGGGACAAGCTAGATGGTGACGTCTTTGTGATGGTGTCCGTGGCGCCTGTGCCGCCGAGGTTATTCGTGGCGATCGAACCGTCGGCTTTGGATGAGGCAGAACCGCCGCCAAACATCCTATTGAGCAGGCCTCCTTGAGAGGAGAGACTGCGTCGCTTGTTCCCTGCCAGGTTGCTTGCTATTCGGGTTCGCTCGAGGATGGCTGTGGATGACAGGATGGCCTCGCAGGTTGGCGAGGGGAGGAAGGGAAAAGAAATGGGGAAGGAGGAATGCTATGGCGCCTTTGGGGAGGCTTTGAGTGATGATGCTCCACCGAGGGTGCTGTATGGAATTGAGCAAGGCAACCGCAAAGTTGCGCCTCGACACTTCTGGGTCAAATGCAAGCGCGGGGTAGACCCAACGTAATGCACCGGTTGCAAAAATGGGTCGGGAAGGGTATTTTCCACCAGACCACCTGGGACTCTTGACTGTTGGTGGTCGCGGATGCGGATTACTCGGGATGGTGACTGCGGGTGAGTGGTGGTGTCTTTGGAGGACAGCCAGGTTTGGGCTGATTGCAGGTTTCTAGGCCCAGGCGACAGCCGCGCGCGACTGTGGGCCCGCCCGTCTTAAGAGGTGTGCGGGGATCAGGGGATTAAGTAAGTCTGGGAAGTGCAAGACGTAGTGGTTGGTTGGTTGGGCCACTACCCCAGTGGGCACAAGATCGAGGGGCGGCGTCGCGGTCGTTAAATTTCAGGTTGTGGTTGGGGTCTGCTGATCGTACGCAGAATCCCGCCTGCACAATGCAGGAAAATGAGTGATAAAAGAATTGAGAAGTCGCAGGCTTGAGCAAAGATACGGCCGGCAATGAACTACTGGTATATGTTTACCAAGGCTCGAGAATGCAGGCAGGCGTTGTGAGAAACGCTGCCAAAAACACAAATAAACACAGCTGGCTTGGGGGATATGGGGTCAGTGCGGGGTCTGGTGACGAACATGTGTGAAATGCACGGGGTCATGTCTCCAGCTGTCACCCAGCAAGCCGGCAGAGCTCTCATGCAACTTGGTTCCCTGTTCCCCTGTTCCCCTCTATTTTCCCGCTCACATTAAAATTAAAAGACACATATTATATGAAGACCACCGACAACCCGTCCTTTTTACCGGTAGTTGGCATTGTATTCCATTTGGAAGTTGTAAACTTGGGCGTAATAAATAGGCGATCACGAAGGAGCACCAGCATAGCAGTAGCAGTCGGACGAATTGAACAGTACTTTGTGGGCAAGCTTACATATTTTAATGAGATACATTAATATCATAGCTACCCGCGCCGTCCTGCAATATGCATGTGGTTCTCATGCACCTGGTACCTACCTAGACAGTCACCGAGGCACAGTAGCGATAGTGTGAACATCGGAATTTCGGGTATGGGATTGACGAGTCGGTGCATCAGCCGGGTCTAGGCAGTGGTTACACTGGGATATAGATACAAGTGTTTCCACAATGAAGAGAGACGGGCAGGGGAAAATGAAGCGCAATAGCAATAGAGAGAAACCGTACGCGTCGTGGATTACCATCTGAAAAACTACGAAGCGATAAAATCATTAACTCCCAACTTGAAGCGTCCACCGGCTTCTCTGCATGCCCAATTATGCAGATATTTAGCCACCCATCGCTTGGTAACACTGTAGCCGGTGCAGTTCGAGAATCTCGACCTAAGAAGATGCAGCGCGAGGAAATGGGTACAACGACACTAACATCCCAGCGTCGCCATCCTTGCTCATCAGTGTCATAATACGCCTCACCTCCGTAGGCTATCCAGTCGTGCCTGTAGGTCGTCGTCCCCTCCCCCTCCGCCGCTGCCGACAGCCTGCGCGAGCTTGGTCTCGGCGACGACGTTCGTCTGAAGTCCCTGGGGCGTAGAACCAAGCTAGAGATCACATTTAATGTTAGTGATGTGTGGAGAGGTGATGATGGTTATTGTCCATCCGGTAGGGGCATGATCTTACTGCTTGGCTGAGGTCAACACCGATTTCCTCCAGCACCTGCTCCACCACCTCGTCTCCCTCCTCCTCCACGCCGACATCCATGGCGTCGTCGATGGCGTCGTCCATCATCTCTTGCCTCTGCTCCATAATGTCGTTCTCCCTCTCAAACTCGGTTGCGATGCGCTGGAGGGACGGCAGGTTCATGGTGCGGTTCATACTGCCTAGGGCCACCGTGGCGCCTTTCATGGCCTGCATCATTTGCTCGTTCGTGCGATAGGTTTGGAGTCGGAGCGAGATCTTCTGGAGCTGGCTCCGCATGCCGTAGAACTTCTCGATGTATCTCCTGGTCCTCACAAGGTCCTTGGCCTGGATTTTGCAGGCACCCATCTGGCCCTTTTGAGCAGATTGCTTGATCTGACCCACTAGCGTCTTCTCCTGCCTCTCGAGCTTGACCCGCTGCTGGTCGAGCTCACGGATTGCCTTATCGAGGAGGCGCTGGTTCTTGCGCAGACGCTCCGCGGGCGTCATGCGCTTTCCAAAAGCCCATTCGAGGATCTGAGAATGCGAGTTTCGTCAGCAGCCACTCCGATCACCCCGTTTGCCGTGGGTAGATTCTGGGGCTCACATTCATTCCGACCGCGTTGGCACTGATAATAGCCTCCCCGTCCGTTGCCAATGTTCTTCCAGGTCACGGCGCCGACAGCAACTTTCTGCCTTGTCCCTTTGGCCAGAGTGGGTCGTGTTCGTAGGCGGTGCGGCGCAAGTCGTGTAGTAGCGGCGGCGACGCGGCTTTTGGCGACACGCGCGGCAGCGCTTTGAGGGTTCCCAACCCCTAGCTGTGATGTGGAAGTGCTCGAACGAATTGCGCTGTGATGTGGTCGGCGTTAGGTGACGGCTGGTGTTTGTTGAAACTCATACGTCGTAGCGGCGGCCGGAAAGTCGTTGCGGGTGGCGAGGGTCTCCCGCTAAACTGTTGGCTGCACTGTGGCCGCAACCGTAGTAATGTCCCCCAGGTTTCTTTGTGGTGACGAGAGGTACCTGACTGGGGCCTGGCTGGGCTTACCTAATCCGCCAACTCATCCTTCCATGGAATTGAATGTCAGGTCGCTGCACCTTCTGCCAGAACTCCAGAAGCAACTAAAGCGTCTGCACGTGTTGTATAAACGTTGGCGCCACAGGCGTGGGAGTCATTGGAGGCGTGAATGCCACAGTGCACAGATTACGACACCTCGGCTCCGCCAAGGGGGACCAACTTCGAGGGCCCCACCCCCCCAGGCGACGTTGCATGCCCTCCCTCGCGCGCGTAAAGTGGTCCCCGCCTTTCGATTTTCCATGACAAGGCAATTTGCCTCCGCCCGCGCAAATCACCTCATGCGGCAGTGGAATCTACGAGGTGGGCTCGGGCTCCTTGGAAGGGAACGCAACGAAAGAAGCCGTCAACCACGCCTTGCAAATCTATACCAGCCCAACGAGCACACCCAACCACCAGATTGAAAAGACCTCATTCATTACGTCGGCGATCCGTGCGATCTCTCTCTCCACAGGTGGTAGCTGTTGTATGTGATTTATTTATCTTTATCGCTGCTCTTTTTTTTCTTTCTTTTTTTCTTCTCCCTGTCCCACTTTCGCCCTTGCTCCGTTCGTCCCGCGCCCCTAGACTGTTCTCGTCATCCTGTCGCCTGTCTACGACACATGATTCTTCAATGTGAACCACCCGTCTAACGACGTCAAAACTACCTGCCCACCAAAGATGGCCAAAAATTCAAAAGGCAGGGCCGGCAAAAACGCGGCCGGCGGGTCGGCACACACCGCCCCCGAACAGCCCCGACCGGCCGACCCCGGACCGCCGGCAATCGTCACTGTGGGCTCGGGCCCGGCATCCGAACATGTTTCCGAGCTGCAGCTGCTCCTCGACAATGACTCGGGATACGGCGGCAGCATCGCCGGGGACCCTCGCACCTTCGCACCAGTGCCCCAGGCGCAGGTTGAGCCCGACCGTCGCGCGCAGCCCGGCGCTATCCACCAGCTCTACTACAACTCACATCGCGTCGCCCTTGCGAGGTCCATCAACCTTGCCATAACGCTGCTCAAGGGCCTCCGGGAGATGAATTCAAAATGGCCGGCCCATTACCCCTCGGTTCACGGCACTGAACCACCCAACTCGCCCCGTCCGGGCGCTCTCAAGCACTCATATACAACCACAGGCGACTTTCCCATATCTTCCTCGGCTAGCCATCCACGCCAACTGAGGCGGTCCATGACTGCCGAGGCTGGCAGTCAGGAGGCAGAGTCCAGCAAGGCTGCCGAGCATCGTCCTGTCCCAGAGCCACGGCTAGTTTCGCCCCAGATCTCGAGGGACTTCTCTGTCCTTAAGCTCGACCTCAAGCTGGGCTCGCTGCACCAGGCCGAGCTCGTACACTCCCTGGAGAAGGAGTCGGTGGCGTCGTTACTGGACGGCAAAATTGGCTCCAGCATAAAGCACCTGCAGTCGCTGAGGGAACGCATCGAGGATACATCAAGCAAGGTCCTGGTGACGGGCGATCTCAACGCGGGCAAGTCGACCTTTTGCAACGCGCTTCTCCGCAGGAAGATCCTTCCCGAGGATCAGCAGCCGTGCACTAGCATCTTCTGCGAGGTCCTCGATGCTGGTCAAAACAGCGGCTTGGAGGAGGTCCATGCTGTGCACAAGGATGCCGTCTACGACCGCCACGACGAGTCAACCTACGACGTGTTCTCGCTTGCGGAGCTGGAGAATATCGTGATCGATAGCGAAACGTACATGCAGTGTAAAGTGTACGTCAAGGACGTGCGCTCCATCGACGAGTCTCTCCTGAACAACGGAGTGGTCGACATTGCGCTTATAGATGCACCCGGCCTGAACTCGGAGATGACAAAGACGACCGCCGTTTTCGCCCGCCAAGAGGAGATCGACGTCGTGGTATTCGTGGTGTCGGCCGCCAACCACTTCACAATCTCGGCCGCAGACTTCATTTCGGTTGCTGCGGCCGAGAAGGCGTACCTGTTCATCGTCGTCAACGGGTTCGACAACATTCGGGATAAAAAGCGCTGCCAGAAAATGATTCTGGACCGTGTCAAGGGTATGAGCCACCGCACATACAAGGAGGCATCTGAGTTGGTACACTTCGTGTCTAGCAATGCCATACCTGTGGCGCCTCCACCTCCCCCACCCCCCGGCGGTAGCAGCACTGGTGGTGGATCTGGAATCGCCGATTCTGGTGACGGCGGCGACGACGATGGGCCAGACTATGACGCTCCAACCGGCAAGGGGAAAGGGAAAGACAAGGAGAAGATTCGAGACTTTGAGAATCTGGAGCAGTCGCTTCGTAGGTTCGTTTTGGAAAAACGGTCGAGGTCGAAGCTGGCACCCGCGAAGAACTACCTCCTCAACATCCTGGGTGACCTCCAGAGCCTGGCTACCGTCAATGTCGAGGTTTCCCAGTCAGAACTCGACAGGGTGAACAAAGAGCTGCGGGAGATCGAGCCCTTGCTGGACTCGGGCAAGAAGGCATGTTCCCAGGTCAACGAAGACGTCAACAAGTGCATAGAGGGCACGTGTGCCAGAGTTTACGACCACACACGTGACGTACTGGGCTCAGCGATTCAAGACGTCGGGGACGCAGACCTCGGGGTACATTACCCCGGACTATGGGGCTGTCTGCAGTATGCAGAGGATCTGAAGGAGGCAATGCTTGGGCAGATTGCAGCCGCGGTCGAGGCTTGCGAGGATCATGCTCGGGCAAGGACCGTTGATGGCGTCAATGCTATCAAACAACTTGGCCTACTACATCTCGGCAACGACTATGCAGGGCTCACCTTCAGGCCCGACGTCATGTTTCGCCGGAAGCGCGATATTCTTGCACGACAAGCCGATATTCCCACCGAGCTATGGGACTTTGTCGACTTGCCCACCCTGCTTCGGAGACAGGAGAAGATGGCGGGCACCGGCATGGCGCTCACAGTAGCAACTGCTCTTGGCAGCCGACTTGTTGGAGGGTATGGGTGGATGGATCACGCCCTAAGCGCGGCGCGGATACTTGGCAACGACAATTTGCGACGACTGATAGTTCCCGGTATAGTCGCTGTTGGTGAGAACCTGGGTCTCCCTCTGCCACATCCCCTCGCTCCACCTCTTTACTGACATACAACTAGCAATCGCCGCATCTGCCTTCGTTATAAACTCAATCCCTCAGTCTCTTCCGCATCGGCTGGCGGCTAAAATCTCGGTTCACCTTGCCAGTACCGACTACGTCCATGCAAACTCTGTGCGCATCTCGACATCGGTGCGCAAGGTCCTTGGCATTCCCGCCGACTCGGTGCGCGTCGACCTGCGGCGTTCTGTGGAGCAACTTGATTCCCGCAGAGAGGAAGGGCTCCGCCTGAGTGCTGAGAGCGCCGTTGCCCTCAAGTACTTTGGAAATCTGGTTCGCGACAGCGCAAGGTACAGGAGCTCTGTAGATGAGCTGGACCTTGAAGCACATGTTGCGACGGAGCAGCATGCGGAAACTTAGCGTCATATTTCCCCACGATGAAGCTTTAACCGCGAGGCTTCACCACAAACGGGATTGTCCTGGAAGCAAAAACATCGCACCCACCGGGATACGATTTACCTGTTAGTTATTGCTCTTGGCGGGTGCACGGCAGGATCGTAAACTCAAGTAGATTTTTAATCCAGCTCCACTCATGGCAACCTACGCTCAACCCCGCCTCATGTGGCACTTTGATGTATGATATGATATGGTGATTGTAAATGTTGAAAGGCAGTTATATGAAATCACCAACATGCTGCAAATGCATATACACGATGACACTGACAGCCAGGCGGGTGTGTTGAGGTGCATGTTAATGTACAGCAAAAATAGATATAGTATCGTACAAACACCGGCAAGGGAGCGAACCCGCCACCAAGAGAACCCAGGGACGAGCCGCATTTCTGGAGCTCTGCATCGCGGCAGGGGCATCTGTCGTAAGACCACTGTCATGGCAGAGAGGCCAGACACAAAGCGATGCTTGCATTTTCTAGAAATGCCAAAGGGTGGATTAGAGGGAGGTGGTCCTTGATGTGTTGGTTTTTGTCTTTCCTTTTTTTTCTTCCATTTCCTCCTGCGCGCTCACAGTGACGGTTTGGCGGCAACGCTCCCGATGCCCCCGCCGCCCAGCGCGGCCTCGAGCTGGTTGACCGTGTCTCCCTCGGGCCTCTCGCCGCCGGCCGTGAGGAGCTCGCCGCCCATCTCCCGCATGCGCTGCTCCTGCTCCATGGCGATCATGTTCTGCTCCTCGTTCCACAGGAGGGCAAAGGGGACGCCGAAGAGGAGGGCGCTGACGGACACGTGCCAGGCGGCCTTGCCCAGGAAGGCGGCGCCGGTGCGGACGAAGCGGTTCGCGCCCATCCAGCGGCTGTACATCCAGCCGCGCGCTGTTGGGGGCACCATATCCCGCAGCGCGTATAGCCTGTCCGAGAGGCTCTCGACCGTCGCATTGAAGTCCGAGTCTGTTGAGATCTCCGAGTCTGTCGTTTTTTTGAGCCGTACATCGAGCCTGTGTTAGCCGATTGCGGGGAATCTCCGGGTGATGGAAGTCATGGCGGTGCGGATTGCAGTGGGTAGGTATAATCCGCGACTTGGTGGCCCAACGCACCCGTGTCTGTGAAGTCGTCCTCGTCCTCCTCCGGCCCCGGCTGGGTGCGGGAGAACTCCTCGTCCACCACCTCTGTGAGCTGAACCATTTTGGCGAAACCAAAGCTTCGCTCTGTGTATGGGAGATGAGTGACACCCCGGTTGGCTGGGACAGCAGTGGTGTATGTGCGTGGCCGGGACTACGATCGCTGGTTTGGAGAAATGTCTTATCTGCGGCTTTGAGGGTTAGTTTTTTTTTTTCAACTTGGCCGGAAGCCAGACAGACGTTCCCGCCGCCATGCCTGTGTCAAACCACCAAGCAATTCTGCTAGCGTGACCCGCTTGGCGAGTAATGATTGGCTGTGTGTACCGTGTGGGGTTATGGAAGCCCGCCGCAGTTGCACCTGTGTTGTGCTGTGCCATGCTCACAAATCTGTAGGTCCAGGCTATACCTGGGCATCATATATCTACAGTGAAAGATGCTTCTAAGCCGGCTGTTCGAGATAGCAGGGGGGACTTTGTTACTCTAGAAACTAAATTATTACATCTATGCGACTGGGAGGTATTTCACTCCGAAGTATTATTACCCCAAGTAAACTGGAGACGAAGAATCGCCGCAGAGATGATGACGACAATGACGGCAGAGCTGAAGTGGGGAGTAAAACAAGAAGATAAAGAAAGAGGGAGAGAACGCGAAGACACAGACGGCATTGATAAACCTCGGATGGCACCGACACTGGCTAGTCATTCAACCGCCGTGGATGGGGGTGAGAGCTTGGGCTCACCATGACTGGATTCTTGATAGGCACACCCTTCAGATACCTAGGTAGGTAGGTATTCAGGTATATATGCCGCATCTTTATCTGGCGTCTCCATCTACTCGGGCTTATTTCCTGACAGCATCCGCAAATCTAATCCCACGTCTGCCAGGTGGGATCCGAGGCGTGTCATCGTCATCGCTCTCAGACTCGGCTGCTTCTGCCTGTGCACGGATGCCGAGAGCCGCCTCCCGCCGGCGTCTCTCGGCCGGCGTCTCACCAGCCTCGTCGCCGTCGTATTCGTCGTCATCGTCGCGGTGGACACCTTCAAGTACAGCCATGCGCCGCCGTCTCTCAGCCGTTGTCTCTTCGTCGTCGCTCCTATCGGCGTGGAGAATATCCGGCTCAGGTTCCAGTTGGCGTTTAGCGGGAGCAGAACCCGCCCGGCCTCGGCCTCTGTCGTCTTCTCGGGAGGCGTCCCTAACCGCGGGTTCCGGCTGGTTAGTGGAGCGTGTGTCTTGTTTGGCGAGCGCCTTGACTGTGCCCGAGGCCGAGGACTGTTCCACAACTTCACGCCGCGTGCTCTTGTCCAGCTTCTGCATTTCTCGAATGAAGTCATCCGCAGTCATGCGCTGGCCCACCCCGCCGATTTTGAACCTGATGTTTTTGTCGTCCTCAATTCCAGTTTCTACCGCCTCACTCTTCTTCCTCGATCTTTGAGGCGCGCCACCAGTCTTGGCGGTTGAATTACCGGCTGCACCAGAGGTCGACGGCCCGGCGTCGGCTGTTTTTTCGCTGCTGCTCTTGACGAGCGACCCGATTCCCATATACTTGAGGCCTTGAGACACCAGATCTCCGCCTTCCTTGTCCGGCTTGTGTGACGGAAGCTCGTACTTCTTGACAACCTCGCCATCCTCGTCCTCGACAATAATCTAGATCCTAAAAGTCAGCGTCACTGTGCCAAAACACACAAAAGATATCTCCAGGTACTGGGTACTGCTGGGCCACCAGGCGATATAGTCGTATGGTTGTGGGACTTACGGTGTTGCCAAACTGGTACGCTCGGGCAGGCTCGTGCTTCCGCTGAGTTTCCTTCTCCCTGCTACGTTTCTGCATCTCCTCGGCGTGCCAATCACCAAATTTCTTTTTGACGTAGTCGTATGTCCATACTGACTTCATCTTGGATTTGATGTCGTTGGCTGGCATGCCCGGCTTCGTCTCATCAGAGACGGCAATGACCTCGCCATCCCTGTTCTCGATGATGACGTGGTCACCCTCGGAGTAAACTTGAAGTTCCGTCTGTTGTGGCGCCGCGAGCCGCTCGCCAGGGTCTACTTGGGGTTGACTCTCAAGAGACCCAGGCAGCTGTGTGGGCTTCTCAGAGTCGGGCTCGGGCATGCGGCGGCTTGTCGGCTCCGGGTCAGAGCCGGTGGGAGACTGTGCTGGTGTTTGGTGCAAAGCCATCCCTGTCTCTGCGTCTTCCGGGGCTCGACGCTGAGGGAAGATAGCCGACTGACTGATTGGACCACCGGGGCCAATACCGTCATCCCACATCTTCCGTCGCCTTCTTGCTGCTGCGGAAGATGCTCTGCTGCCGTGCTTGACAGTGCCATCCTTATCCTCGTCCTGTACACGCCGAAGAAAGTGACCGGGATAGCCAATCGGGGGAAGGGTTCCGGGGGGCAGGTCAGGTAACTTCGTTTCGTCCAGTTCCGTGTCAGACATAGTCCGTGCTTGGGATCTGGACTGCGACGTTATCCTCGGCAGACGATTCATCCAGGACGGGCCATCTTCCGGAGCAGTCGTGTACGACATGGTTAGCGTCAGCGTGTTGATGTGTTTGCCGAGCGTAAAGACGGCGATCGAAGATCCGTGGACGAGAATAGACGCAACTACCATGAAAGTAACCACGGGCCAGACCAGGGTGATGAGTGTGTAGTGCGGAGAGCCAGGCGGTGGTAGCTCAGCAAGCGGTACAGGATTCTCCGACTCGAGCTCGGCTCGGGCCAGGATGGCAATGAAAATGGCACCGACGCCGATGGGGCCGAAGTGACCGGCAAAAAGGGCTTCTCTCCATGTCTTGATATCAGGTATCAAGGGCTTCAGGGCCATCATGATGGGAATACGACGGAAGAGAATGACGAAGATGGCCATGACAGTCAGCCGCCAGGCCGAGAGCCCCATCTCGGCATTGTTGAACATCTCCCACGGGATTATGGTGCCAAGGTAGACAAAGTATGCCAGGTTGAGCAGTAGGTCGATGACGTTGGAGACATGAGATTCTTCCGTTTTCTGGCCGAACCAGCCGTCGTTGGAGAAGCCCACTCCGGCGGAGAAGCCAACGAGGAGGTCGTCGACGCCCAGGATGCTACCAGAGCCCGCACAGAACAGGGCCAGAACGAAGTAGAAGACGAGAAAGCTCTCGCGATCGATGAGTTCGCGCTTTTCGGCATACTTGATGCCGTGACGGGCAAAGTAGCCGATCAAAAAGCCGTAGATGGCGCCAAATACACACTCGTAGAGGATGGTGTAGACGAACCAGTGGAATGTGACCTTATGGGCATCCAGGTGGTCCTGAATGAGGTAAAGCGACAGGTACATGAATGGGAAGGCCATGCCATCGTTGCAGCCAGACTCGGCCGACAGCAAGTCGCGCAAGTGCTTGGGAACGCGCTTAGCGAACTTGCCCTTCCCCACGACGGACGAGGCCAGAACAGGGTCGGTGGCGGTGACGCAGGCGGCCACGACCAGGCTCTCGAGCCAGCTGAGCGGCTCGATCAGCCACCACACGATGACGCTCGTGACGAGCCATCCAAAGGTCATAACAGGGAACAACAGGAAGACGACCGATCTCCAGTGGCGCTCCATGTAGAACTTGGGCAGCTCGACACCGATGGCGAAGCATTGGACAACGAGAACAATGCGGGAGAACTCGATGGTGACGATGTCCACGTTGCCCCACGACTGCGGGTTGATCAGGTTGGCGGCGTGTGGACCGAAGATGAGACCGCAGAGGGTAGCGACGGTGGCCTCGCCTATGTACATGCGTTCTTTGATGACCGACGAGCACAGCATGAAGAGAGAAGTGAAGCCGCCCAGGATGATATACACCAAGTGCGGCTTCGTGATAGACAGATGCTCCCAAGCCATGGCTGCTGCTGGCACGACTTGGTAGGTATCCGGGCTGTCTTATTCACCACACAGGTGCGGCCAGAGGTCGATCAATCAGCCAGTTGCGAATGACCACAACATCCAGGCCGGCGCCCTCTCACGTCCCACCGCGACTACAGCGAGGGCGACGGTGGCCGGCGTTCGAAGGCAACACTCGATGTATGTTGGAGACGGGCTGTGCTTCGCAAAGTTCTTTGGCCAATCCGAGGCCGATCGTGAGCGAGAGGGGCCTGGGAGCCGCGCAGCCAATCCTCTCCTAGGAAGGCAGCAACCCAAGGCGCCGAGAAAGGCTTGTTTGGTCTTGACTATGTTGCGAAGCCAAGGGGGAGGATGGTGGTGGATATTGCCGAGCCTTTTCCCTGGGAATTTCTTAGGGCTCGCTACAACAAGTCGCTACAACAGTCGTGGGAAGGACCAAAGTCGGACAGCGAGCGAGCGGGGCGGAGGATGAGACTTGTCCTGTTCCTGTTTGACGTCCTCTCGCCCTTGGGCAGAAAAGCTCCCAACATTGTTATCAACCTGCGACCTCACAGCTAGAAATTAAATGGCTCCTAGCCTCCAGCGTGCACATTACAAGCTTGCCTTCGAACGTGCGTCTGCCAAGGATTGCACTGGAGCCATAAACAAAATTACAAGGGAAAAAAATCATGAAAGAACCCGACAGCCAATCGGCGTTGCAATGAGGGCTGAGTAATCCATACAATGTGCTTGGGTACCGACTCGTCAACAGGCGTGTGCGGCAAGCTGAAGGGATTTGAGATTATGGATAATGTCATGGGGATTGTGAGTCTTTGGCCGATGCAAAGCAGAGATCAAATCTCTGCTATATTATTATTTTTTGACAGGAAGGCCCATGATGCCGCCGGCATATTTTTTCCTTTCATGATTCTAATAATAAAAAAATACGTCAGATAGTGAGTATCTCAAAGAAGCGGAAGTGAAGAAAAAAACACGAGTCGGAACCACTCGAGTTGCTGATCCCTGTCGGGTGACCCGGCCCCTGAACAGGCCCCCCTGAACCTCCACAAAGCTAAGGCCACTGGGGGTTTTTTCTGATAAGGCCAAATCTTGTGATAATGTGTGCCACAAACCTACCTGGCGCGGGGGAACGCGACCACAACGCGTGCTTAACTTAAACTTCGGCAGTCGTCATCAGGGCATTGGTCAACCACAGGACCCGAACGCTCCTCCAACCGCGGATGCCACAGAGAAATGAGGTAGAGGTAGGTCGTGATGCGATACACTCAACAGCGAATTGTCTCCAACCTATTCGATCCCCGCGTAGTGACTCCTCCACACCAGATCCCCAATGCTCCAAGGCCTTCTCTTTCTAACCCAGCAATACTTCTTACAGATCCGACCCTCAGGAATTCAAAGCATCCACCCGCCTGCCCACCCAGCCATACCTGTCACGGTCACGGGCATGTCTCCCGTCCTGACAGCAGCCCACCGGTCTGTCGCCTGAAGGCCACCTTGGAGTATCACGTCCAGGTGTTGCCGTCTGCAATACTCCACACAGAAGACGGCACACGGCTATTCGTTACTGGGGTGACATGCGAATGCACCTCAAATTCCTCAACGCGATCCCTCGCCGTCCCTCTCGCCGCTCGGCCCTGCTCACCCGCAGCCCCTCCTCACAGCCTGCCCGCAACTACAATCGGTTCCGTGCTTTAGCCTGTTTAGCCCAGCACGTTGCGCCGTGTGCGATCTCTGAAAAGAACAATCTGGACGAGTGTTTTACACTTTCAAACCATCTGGCCATGCTGTCGCGCGCCATCCGAGACCCCAACCCCAAGGGCTCGAGTGAGTCCCGGACACCCAGGCACGCACTCACAGCCAAGCAAACACCACCGAGCAGGCCTGATGCCGCATCGTCCAGTCGCCCCAGCATAGCAGAGCAGCTCAAGGGGACGGCGGCCCGCGCGGCTGCCAGCACTGCGGAATCTGCTCTATCGCGCCGCTCCATAAATCTGCCAGGGAGGCCAGGCCAGATCCCCGCAGCGCTGTCGGGGAGTCGAAGGACAATCGCCTCGATATGTCACAACACAAGCTCCTTCGACGACGAGCCCGCCGTCTTTGGACTTTTTGACGATGAGGCGACCGCCAAGAAAGAGCAGGCCAAGCGAGTAGCAACCTCGGTCTATATCGCCGACGACGACCTGAGCGACGATGATGCGCTAGACCTCGACTTTGAGGCACCTTCCGCTCTACCCTCCATCCCTGCAACGAAGCCGAATGACGTCATCTCGGCACCTGTGGCCAGCGGCACGAGTGTGTTGTCCTGGTCTCAGTCTTCGGATTCGCACCACCTGCCCCCGCCTCGTGAACACGAGAGCGGACTTCGGCCAGTGTCCACAAAACGTGAGGCCACAGTGATCGATTTGGAAGCCGTACCCTTAGCAAAGAGGAGAGCAATCCCGCAACATTGGGAACAACCCTTTGAACCCATTAAAGAGGATGCGCGATCCGCTACCGGCGGTCATGATCTGGGGCACCCAAGCCGCGGGTCCTCAGGACGTAAGGACAAACAGCTTCCGTGGGATGCTCCTGCCAATCTTGTCAAGACCCAGAAGAAGCAGCTCAGAGACCAGCAGAGGAAGCCAGCAGCCGCTGACCAGGAGACGATGGTGGATGATATCCAAGAGACGGTGGACGAACATGTGCGGGCCACCACCTCTAAAAACTCGTCAATATCCCTGAGCAACGAACAGCGGCATGTCAAAGGCCTCGTCTGCGAGCGCAACCTCAGTGTCTTCTTTACTGGCCCTGCCGGGACAGGAAAGTCGGTGCTTATGAGGGCCATCATCTCAGACCTCAAGAAGAAGTGGGCAAAGGATCCCGACCGCCTGGCAGTCACGGCTTCGACTGGACTAGCCGCCTGCAACATTGGTGGCATGACATTGCACAGCTTTTCAGGCATCGGTCTTGGAAAGGAGGACGCCCAAACCCTGGTCAAGAAGATCAGGCGGAATCCCAAGGCCAAAAACCGCTGGTTGCGGACAAAGATTCTCATCATTGACGAGATATCCATGGTGGATGGCGATCTGTTTGACAAGCTGTCGCAGATAGGTCGCACTATCCGCAACAACGGCCGGCCCTGGGGTGGTATTCAGCTTGTCATCACAGGCGACTTCTTCCAACTTCCTCCAGTTCCGGATAGTGCCGACAAACGAGACATCAAGTTTGCCTTCGAGGCGGCGACCTGGAATACCTCGATCGACCATACAATCGGCTTAACCGAGGTCTTCCGCCAGAAAGACCCTGGTATGTATCCCATCTCGAACCTTCCTGCGCCTGTCAAGGAAGGTTTGTTTTTCGAGACGTTTGGTTTAGGCTAATTTCCCTGTTCTGCAGAATTTGCTAGTATGCTCAACGAGATGCGCCTTGGGAGGATCAGTGACCAGACTGTCAAGAATTTCAAGGCGCTTTGCAGGCCTCTGCATTTCAAGGATGGACTGGAGGTGACTGAACTGTATGGGATATCTCCTTCGTCAAATACCCCTCCCCTCTGTCTCATTGTCCCTTGATCCTTCGAGGACTTGCTGCCCTTCGTTATGGATGCGTTGTGTATGCCAGCCTGATCATAGGTCACACTCCGCCAGATTATGATTATTGACTTGGAGATCATATGAGCAGCTTCCCGACGAGGTCAGAGGTGGATGGCTCCAACAATAGGCGACTGAAGAGTCTGCAGTCCAAACAGCATCGGTTCGACGCGATAGACACGGGCGACCAGCTGTTCCGCGAAAAGCTGCTTCAAAACATGATGGCCCCGAAGACCCTCGAGTTGCGCAAGGGCGCCCAGGTTATGCTAATAAAAAACATGGACGACACTTTGGTCAATGGGTCATTGGGGACGGTGTCGGGCTTCATGACCGAGGCAACCTTCCAAGCGATTAACCCGGGCGGCGATTACGACTCCGGCGCCGAGGACGAGGATGACAAGGACGCCGAGGCAAGGAAGAAGCGTCTGATGGCCTTCAGCCGCCAGCTGGAAGAGAGCGGCAGTCAGGACAACAAGGAGTATCCCCTTGTGCGCTTCCACGCAGTGGATGGGTCGCCACGTGTTCTTCTGTGTGTTCCAGAGGAATGGAAGTCGGAATTACCCACGGGCGAGGTCCAGGCTTCCCGCAAGCAAGTGCCTCTCATTCTAGCGTGGGCCCTCTCAATCCACAAGGCCCAGGGCCAAACGCTTGAGAGGGTCAAGGTGGACTTGGGGAAGGTTTTTGAGAAGGGCCAGGCTTATGTCGCGCTCAGTCGCGCGACCAGTCAGAGTGGCCTGCAGGTGCTCAGGTTCGAGAAACACAAGGTTATGGCCCACCCGCGAGTGGTGGATTTCTACAACAAGCTGTACAGCGCCGAGAGTGCGGTTGCTGGCGGGAGGGCGGCGGCGGCGAAAGCGGCTAGGACCGGGATGCACGGCGGCGGCTCCTCCATGCGCGCCATGTCTGCAACTGGGTGATTCTACCCAATTCGGGACGGGGCGCCAGGATCTCATACCGGTTGTATAGGTATACATAGAATGGGTTCAGGTGGGATGCTTCTGGGGACGGGTAGTGCATGTCCGGCGATGCAGGAAGCCTACCGATGAGATAACGTCCACGGTACCAAATAGACGAGCGTAATAATTAGCCCATCTCAGTGACATGGCTCGGGTTGGGGGTGTGGGGGGCGCAGCAAAGATTAAAATGATATGGATGAGGAAAACAACGGTTTTCGGCACCTTCGCCGTTCTAGGCTTTCGAAAATCACGTTTCCCCACATGGACGACACGTGAAAACGACCAGGAAAGAAATTTTCCGTCCTCGTCTTTTACACGAGGTACGGCAGTTATGAAGGAGCGGCCGCGCTACTATTCGCTCTTCCTATAGAGACACATGCACACATCAACTCACTACCTTAAGTACCCAGACCCCAAACAACACACGCCAACCGGACAAAGTATCACCCAAGATCACCGGGCACAAGATGGGGCAGCCATCGTCCGAGGCATCGCATGCCATTGTCTACGCCACCTATGGCGCCTTTCTGTATATAGACCAGAGCCAATCTTCTCGTTAGACGAGGTACTATGCTGACATGGAGGGGGCCAAGGGTGCTTGGAACTGGCATTGCCTGGAGGATGAGGAACCAGTCCAAGAGCGACTTCCTCAACGGAAACAGGACCCAGACTGGTCAGGACCACATTCCGTCTCGCCCGCCGAGGCGCGGGCCCCTCGTTTCCTTGCTGTCTGCGGAGGGACTCGGCCCTGGCGGGCGGGCGGGCCATTCCATTCCCATCCTCTGCGCGTGGACGAGTGCTGACCCGGGAGACACCGACGCCTAGCGCTTCCGCTGGCTCTGAACTTCATCGCCTCCGGTGAGTAGAGGTGGTGGGCGCGAGCCTGTGAGCAGCAGTCACCTCGGCAACGACCGAATCATATGGCATGGCAAACCCAACCCCATTGGCAGCGACGGCGGGTTCCGACGGCTTTCCCAACCGACCTTGATCTGGAGTATGAACTGGCGCCCTTACGGCGGTGAGTATCCACAACACATCCCATCGCCAGCCCTCGCTCTCCCGGGGGACCCCGGCCGTCAGGGGACCCGCCGCCTACACCGGTCGTCAGGTCTCCTGAGGGGCGGGATCAGGACCCTCGGGGGCGGGGTTGCTGGGACTGCGGCTCACTACGGGCGCTGAGTCGAGGCGGGCACATGGCTCCCGCCTGTGGGTTTCGGCTCATGGGCTGGCCCGGTGCCTCGCCGAGACGACGCTGAGATCGTACCGTAATTACTCGATCAAGTTAATGCTTGCGTGGGAAACGTGCTGCCGCTGCCATTGCCCCCTTCCGCACTCCCTCCTCACCCCAACGATCGCTTGTGGCGGCGATGCCGCAGACCTAGCTGACAATATATAGCCATGGGATCCGGCATCCTCTTTGCCTACCCCCAGCTCGCCACGATCGCCGGTATCCAGGGCGTGGTTGTGTACGCACTGTCGTCGGCACTGCCGTTACTGATATTCGCTGCCCTGGGGCCGGCGATTCGACGAAGGTGCCCCGAGGGATTTGTCCTCACGGAATGGACTAGACAGCGTTATGGCGCTGTGGCTGCCCTCTACCTCGGCTTCATGACGCTGTTGACTCTCTTCCTATACATGGTTGCGGAGCTGTCCGCCATCAGCCAGGTTGTGACCACGCTGAGCAACCTCGACGGGCTCCCCGTCGTGATTGTGCAGTGCGCTATAACGACGATATACACCTGTAAGACGTATACCTCTCCGGTCCCGTGGGCATGCAGCAGCATGGAGTGTGCTCGGGTTTGCTCTGGTAGTGGTTGTCAACGAGCGCTGACGATAGGAAACATGATAGCCATGGGAGGTTTCAAAATCTCGTTTCTCACCGACAACGTGCAGGGCGCCATGGTGCTGGGGCTCATCATCATTGCCACCATCACGATTGGCGTCGAGACCAGGATCGACCCTGCACTCATCGAGTCGTCGGGGCTGCTACAGCCCACGCTGCTCGGGTGGCAACTAGTCTACATCCTGCCCGTGGCCATCCTGACTAACGACTTCTTCCTCTCGAGCTTCTGGCTGCGGACCTTTGCGTCCAAGACGGACCGCGACCTGTGGATCGGGGTGGGCATGGCGAGCGCGGCGACCCTCTGCATCCTCACGCTCGTGGGCACCACGGGGCTGGTAGCGGTGTGGTCGGGAGCCTGGCCGGGACCCGACAACGCCGACGGGTCCGTGGCCTTCTTCACGCTACTGCAGCTGCTGCCCAACTGGGTCGTCGGCATCGTCCTAGTCATGGCCGTGACGCTGAGCACTGCCGCCTTCGACAGCCTGCAGAGCGCCATGGTGTCGAGCGCGTCAAACGACCTGTTCCGCAACCGGCTGGGCATCTGGTACATCCGGGCCGCCGTGGTGCTCGTCATCATCCCCGTCATTGTCATCGCGCTGCGGGCGCCCAGCATCCTGCAGATCTATCTCATCAGCGACATGGTCTCGGCCGCCACCATCCCCGTCCTAGTCCTGGGGCTCTCGGACCGCTACTTCTACTGGTGGCGCGGCTTCGACGTGGTCTGCGGCGGCCTGGGCGGCATCCTGTCCGTCTTCATCTTTGGAACGGCCTATTACGGGGACGTCGAGGCTGGCGGCCGGCTCATCCTGCTGGAGCAGGGCCTGTACACGGGCGACTGGGGCGTCTTTGGCGCCTTTGTTGCGGCCCCCGTCGGCGGCATGGTCTTTGGCTTCATCGCAATGCTGCTCCGCGTCGGCTTTCTTTTCGCCCAGGCCAAAGCTACGGGCGGCCAATTCACCGCTTTTGAGCGCCCGCTGCCGGAGAGCACCGCCATTTCTGAGAACGGACCTGCTGACGGCGAGGTTCGCTTCGATGACTCGGCTGACCGGGAGCCAGGTATCGCCAAAGCGTCTGGCAGATTCTTTTAGACGCTGGCGCGGTGCATGTGTTGTCAATCAATGGAGGTGTGAGAATGGGGATGAAGGAGGAAGGAGAGCGAGACATAAGCGGTGGACGAGGAGAAGGGATATTTGATGGGCGATGAAAGTATTCGTGAACAGAGCAAGCGATGTCATGTATCCCAAACACAATGCCTGGGCCTTGGATGAGTGACACGGACTCTACGTTATGGTTGCATAGATTAATCACCACAAAGAAGCTGATAGCTACCTAGGTATGTTGGTACATGCATATCGTACATGGCCCGGCGATGGCCGAGAAATGATGTGGAGTGGATCGTACAAGCGTCTAGAGCTCAGATCTCTCATTTTTCTTTTTGCTCTTTCTCTCATTTGCCAGCACCTCGTTGCCCACGCCTTTATTTATGCGCAGGCAATATATATAATGCCAGTAAGCGTTCTACACGTGGGCTTTGGTATCACCGGGGCTGGTGCTGCTGCTCGAGGGCTCGCATTGCGCGTTGCTCGGTCTCAAAGTCTTCCAGGCTGGATTCCTCGGCGTGGCCAAATACGGCCCAATCGCCGGGGACGTACGTCTTGAAGTCGATGGGGCGGGTCAGGATGAGGTGCTCGACGAGGTCGACAGTCTTCTCGGAGCCCGGGACGAGCATCCCCTTCTTGGTGTCATCGTACTGGGCCAAACGCTGGCGGCTGCTGATGGCGACGACGACCTGGTGCACGTACGAGAGCTTGCCACCGACCCCGGGAAGGGCGGCCAACTTGTGGTCGACGATTCTGGGGAACTGCAGCGGGCTTGTGTAACTCTCCAGGGACCACTCGTAGCGGCGGCCCCTCGGCCGGCGGGCCAGCCTGGCCGAGAGGGTCTCGAAGAGCGAGGGCACGCACACGCGGCGGAGCGTGTCCCTGTCGCCGGCTGCCAGGGCCTCCGACATGGTTCTGTGCAGGGCCTTGGCGGTCGGGATGAGGGAGGCGCGGTTGAGGCGCAGACGTGCAGGCTTCAAGAAGCTCGGCTTGGACGTGAGCCAGGTGGCGGCGATGCCGAGGGCGTCGGTCGCGCGGAGCCTTGCGCGTACCCACTGGAGCCTGAGGCCCTCGGAGGGACTTTCCCGCAGCGAACGGAGCGCCGGGGGAGGTACAAATGTCCCTGCACCGAGCCGAGGCCCATCGCGGTCGGTCAGCAAGGAGTCACTTGGTCGTCGGCCCCCACCCCTGTCGCCGTTCTCGCCTCGACATCCCGGTGATATCCCCCCCCCCCCCGATCACGGCCCGCACGTACCCGGGAGCCTGAAAAGCCCGACCATGCTGCCCTCCTGCGCCTGCATGCGCGAGGGGGCCGTGGTGCCTTTTACAAAAGCCCGCGTGGCCGACCTCGTCGCGGCGGAGGTGGATCTGGGCCCCATGATGGCTGGCGCTTCACTGTCTCGTTGGTGGGCGGTGTGGACTCTGTTCTTGAAGGCTCTCTGGCTCTCCCTCGCCGTCGTTCGGCCGGACCCTGTTGGCGGGGTTTTTTTCTGGCGCAGGAGTGTTCGACGGCTTCGGCTGAGAAGATTTTCGAGACGGATGGGCACTACTAAGGTACTACTAGGTAGGTAGTGTGCGTGAGGGTGGCTGCTATCACCAATGTCTCGACTGGGTCGCAAAGGTCTAGATTTGGCTCAGCATCCACCACCAACCGCCGCCCAAAGCTCGAGATTCTCAACCTCACTTTCGGGTGCGTGTGGTCGGTCATTCGGCTGTGCGGGCCCACCTGCGAAAGTTCATGGTTTCTTTTGGCTCTTTTGAATTTTCTCTTCGTTGCGATTATCGATAAGAGCTCGGTAGCCCGCCAAGCTTCCCGCCATTATGTGTCGCGGACGTTGGAATCCGCACCCCGTGTGCCAACCCGCGGGACCCCCCATATGCAGGCCCCTGACTGCTCTTAACTGCAGAGTTGATTAATGGCCCAGCTCGTTTCGTGCCCGACGTCGCCGTCGTCGTCCTCGTACATCCCGGTCCACAGCCAGCCAGCCAGCAAGCCATCGAGCTGGCAGCCCGCAGCCTTTGCCAACCCTATCTCACTGGCTGTTGCACTGACGGCTCCGATTGGCGCTGCGTGCCCCCCTGGACGGCCCGACTTGGCAACGCTCCGTTCGGCCTTTGTCAAGCGTCAGCGGTCGGCTGCTGCCCGACAGCGTCGTCCGCTCCCGCTGCACCTCCCACCGCCAACGAGGATAGCAACAGATAAACCCCGCCCGCGGGAGAAAAAAGGGTGAAGCCGCCGCCGAGGCGAGACCAAGAAAGAGAGATAGCAGACACGACCGACAAGGTAGACAGAGCACGCCGCCGCCGCGGGAAGCCAGGCACGGCCACTTCGGGCCCGTCGCTCTCCCGCCTTCCCCGGTCTTGATGCCCCTGCCCCATCAGCGCTCCGTCGGCAGCCTGAAACGCGCACAGCAGGCACCGAGACTGTCCGTCGTCAAGCCGCCCAATGCAGATGCCCACGCCGACCCCGCCGGCCACGAGCCGGCATCCCCCCCTCCCGCATCGCGCCCGGTAGTCGTCTCCACGCTGCTCCAACCCCGCGTCGCCGTCGTCCTCGGTGTCCCGGCCCCCTGGCACCGCCCCCTGTTCGCCTGCCGCCTACTTTCGGTCGCCCCTGCCTTGTGGTTCGGCCTGCCGCCCGCTCTGCGCCTCATCTTCCGCCTCTATGCCGCCCTTCATCTCGGCCTATCCCCGGCCTGCGACGCCGTTGCTCCCGAACACCCACTGAACTACGGACTTACCGAGAACTTTCTGGCCATCACCTGGGTATGCCCTACCACCTCACCTGCACTAAAGGTTATGCCGGTGGTCTCCACTAGTTCTGGCGTTGGATATGGACCTAACTCGGCGTATCTCTTCTATAGTGCGGGGCTTCTTCGTACCTGTCGTTCTTCTTCACAGACTGCCTCATGTCGCGATGGTTAGTTACTCCTGTCTTTCTCCTAAAATCTCGCTGCTTCCACTCTCCCAGGGCCGAGACCCCAGATAAGATGGGGGAACGAAGCGGGTCATGCTGACGCAGGAACGCGGCCCGCCCCGCCGTCCTTCATGGTTACAGGCTTCTAAACTACACACCACAGGCCACAATAGTGCGCCTCCTGGCCGTTAACGCGCTGAATGGCTACTTGACGTCGTGGGTCCTCTACCTCGCCGGCGGCTCTGAGGACACCCGCCTGCTACTTCCCGCTTGGATCGCCATAGCCACCATCTTGACCGCCATTTACCACACGACCCAGCGCAAGATCAACATCCACAAGGAAACCTCAATATCAATAAGCGTCTTCTCCATCGCCAGCTTCACCAGCATGCTGTGCCTGCTGGCACAACTCTACCTGGGCCGCGCCGCTGACTACCCAACCATACCACTAATTTCTCTTGCCAACCGGGCGTGGACTCTGGGTGTGCAGGTGTTGGACGTCCTGGATGCCGAGAATAGGGCATGATATATACGGCTGGCTATGTACGAGGCTAGAGTATGTCCTTATCCACCAGGACACCAAAATAAAAAATCCATTGTCGGCATGCAATTTCGTCTCACTTTCCCCAACAGCCTCTTACGGGGGGGTTTCTGCCCGCCTGCTGTCCTTTGTCATGACTGGCTCCTCCCATATTGTGTGTTGCGTCTTGCTCATACACCTGCCCAAAACTTCGCTCTCGGACCGGCCATATTTTCCTTGACATTTATTTGTGTCATACCCTCCAATTTAGACCTCCGTCTCCCCCAACAATACCTCATTCGCCTCCCACCTGCGTCACCGGCTCATATGGGCACACAGATAGATCCAAGCCAAGACTGAACGTTAGGCATCAGTACGGTGTTGTTTCTGGGGCAAATGGAACTGCCACACGGAGACACCATCACTCCAAGCCCTGCCAGCCAAGTGGCAGGCATTTCCAGGAATTCCTATTGAGAGCATTCGGGAGACAAAGCGTTGATTGGCTGCACTCAAGATGTAGGCTGGAAGAGTATCTCCTAGGATATATGTCCGTGAGCATCCCAGCAACCTTGGCTAGATTGATCATAGCGTAGGTCTCGCTACCAGAAAAGGTGCCCCAGACGGGCATTTCATTCATTGGTCTCTCCATCACCCGCACGATTCCGACCGCCGAGCTTATCCTAACCATTGACTCGAGCCTACTCGACTCAGGATGTGCTTGGGGAAGCAGATATTTTCAGCTCGCTGTCGCAGCCAGTGCCGGAACGGTGTGTCCGTGAGGTGGCGATTAGAAGCCGTGGATCTAAACCCGTGCACACGGGGTCAGTACAATTGTCGATGGCTAGGGGCACAGAGATGGCGGGAGGGGAGGGCGATACGCACCTTGATCGTCTTGGGATCCATCTCAAGGCCAGACTCCTTGTCGCACAAGAAGTCCTGCATGGCCTTGCGCTGGTCGCCTTGGAGCTGGATCACCTCACCCATCTCCGAGTCGGTGACAACAGTGCCATTGCAGGCAAATTGCTTCTTGACGGTAGAAAGGATCTTCTTGCTCGAGAATTTCTTGGGGATCCCCTGCACGGTGGTCAAGGTCTTGCGTCCATTGCGTTCTGTTGCGCCATCTCATGTTAGAAACTGGCTGGTTCGTGTCGGGGAGGCTTCATCCTTCACCGGTGAAGGCACACCGCCAAAAGGTGGTATCGAGACGTACGCTGAATGCGGATATGGATGTACGCTTGAGCATTAGCTTGCTCTCCGGTGTCCTCGTCGGCTTCGGCGAAGGGGTCTGGACATCGGCGTTTGCTCGTCAGTCTTTGATTGTCCGATGAAATGTCTGGCAATGAGCTAGCCAGCTAGCAACACCTGGGAGGCCAGCCGGGCTGGTTGCATTTCGGACTGGACCGTCGCGGCAAGAGGAGCCTGGTGAGCCTTACCAACAGTCTTGAGATTTTCGATTGACATAAACCCTAGTGTATCGGGGTGTCCTTGGGAGAGTTGCGTATGGAGGAGGAGATCAGAGGTAGCGACCGACGACTGATTGCGTCTCGCTCTGGCTCGAGTTTGACTAGGGGTGGAAAGCGGAGCGCGAAGGGAAGTGTAATTGTACGACGGGGCCGAGCTGGTGTCGCGAGATGACGATGCTATCTGGCGTCGCTGTTACGAGGGGCGGTTGATGGTTGCTTTTAAAGTAATCGGGTCGGCTGAGCAATGAAGGGTGAGGAAGAGGGGAGAATAAAAAGAGCGGGGGCCACAAAGGTTGGTGGGGCTTGCTCTTGTGACAGACTGGTCTGGAGACTTCCAAGCCTCAAAGTTAAGGCATCAAATGCCGCCCTCGGTCCAGCCGGCCCCCAAATAGAGTTAGCCCCAGCATAGGTTGTGGCTGTGAGCTGGCCGGCAGGCCGTGGACCAGTCCGTTGCGCGTTCAGCTCGGCAGGTGACCTCGATTGGTGTGGCGGCACTTGGGCGGTCGGCCACCCGCAGGGGGCAGCAGCCGAGGTGGGAGGGGCCCTGCTAACAACTGATCCCACTACCCACGCCCTGGCATGTCTCCCACCGTCTGACCGCGCCACCAACCGCACCTCTCTCGCATCTTGCTGCGCTTCGGTGCAAAACTTGAAACCCCGCCATGGACCGCGGCGGGATCGCCGGCTCGGTCACAGAGGAATACGCCGACGACGCAGGTGCTCTCATCGTGCAAGCTGACCAAGACCAGAGGGAGCAGCCCCCGCCGGCGACAAAATGGCTCCCAGTTTGCCGGCGGCAGTGCGACTTCGACCCGACGCACTTTTACGAGGCCATGTTGAATGCCATCCGAAACCCGAACTTGCTCTCCACCTGGCTCTTCCGGGCTGATCTTCTTGCCGAGCACGACGGTGCCTCGCCCTGGGAGGAGGGGGGGCAGCCCCGGATTCCTGTGCTCAGGGACATGCGTTGCGAGCGCGTTTTCGTCCGACGCCTCATCCCGAGGAACACAAAGCGGGACAACACCCTCCTGCAAAGCTGCCCCTTCTACGCTTCCACCGAGCAGGCCGGGAAGAGCGGCATCAGCAGGCGTCTTGTGCTCTACCTTCCACATGTTTTATCTGCCTCCGAAGTGCCGTTCTATCATCCCCAGGTCGCCGGTGTCGGGCTTCTCCACGAGTGGGACGCTAGCCTGAGGAAGGGAACCTTCTCAGTCCACTATCGACTGTTCGAAGACGTTCCCATGTACACGAAGCTCCAGCGCACGGCTCTCAACATCCTGACTATTCTACACAAGCTTGGCCAGGGACAACTCAACGGCTACGTCAAGCGGGTCCATCACGACATCCTAGTTCCCCAGGCTGTACTCCAGGACAGATACTCCCGCCTCAAGGAAAAGTACGCCAAGAGGCTTGTGGAAGGCTGGGTCGAGACCACTGATCCTATGAAGCACGTGTTTGAGGATCTTGGCATCGCCGCTTTCCTCTTGGAGCTGTGGGCCGATTTGTATAAGGACCAAGAGTTCCCGGGATTCGTGGATATCGGGACTGGAAATGGCCTGCTGGTTCACATTCTGAACTTTGAAGGCTTCCGGTCAGTCCACTCTTTCCCCAACAACCCTGCCACCAAAGATTACAGAAATCCGTGGCTGGGCACACCGATCAGCTTTCCTCTCTGTTTGGGGTTTTCCGGTATCAAAACCACTGATTGCGTCAGTTTTCGGTGGCCAGTGGCTGGGGGTTTGACGCACGATCCAGGAAGTCCTGGAATATGTACAACGGGAAGCTGCGTGATGGGAATGCATTCCTACGTGAGCTCGTCCTGTTGCCCTCCCTGATCCAACCCGAGCACGGATCTTCCCCGGAAGACTCGGACGGCGGCTCACTCGAGGCCAAATCTCACGACGGAACGTTCCCCAAGGGCACCTTCATCATATCCAACCATGCGGATGAACTGACGCCCTGGACACCGATACTGGCCGCTGCCTCCGACTGCCCCTTTATCGCCATCCCATGTTGTAGCCACAACCTGGGTGGAGCCATCTTCCGCGCACCTCTACCCAAAGACAAAGCCAAGGCAACATCCACATACGCCTGTCTGGTTGCCTGGGTGTCGGATATTGCCGCGGACTGTGGCTGGGAGGTCGAGACTGAAATGCTGAGAATACCCAGCACACGAAACACCGCCATCGTGGGGAGGCGCCGGGCAGCCGGGCGGCCAGGGACGGACGTATACGAGGTCATAAACAAGCATGGAGGTGCAGGTGGCTATCGAGAAAGTGCCATGAGGTTGATGAAAGACACATCCTCGCACAAAAACTAGGTAGCGGCCTGGCAGCGCAAGCCGGGCATGGTTTCCTAGGGCAAGTGGCCAATGTGGGCCCCTTGTATGATTCAATCAGCCAACCAGCATATTTCCTGTCGGGGTGGTGGAACAGTGAGTTTAGGATTTGTGTCCTGGGTCTTGCTATTCGTCATCCCAGTGACGTCTGCTGATGATGACCGGCCGAGCCGGGTCCCATGGGCCGTATATCTCGTTTTTGTACTTTTGTAGACCCAGGAGCCACCAGCTGCACCCGCCCATGGCGCTGGCAGAGATTACACAGCCTACAAGCATGCCTACCAGGCCGCTCTTCCAAGGCCAGGTCGCGTCGGGGTCGTGTCTGGCCATGGTCATGCCCACGCCGGCACCGGCGCCAAGCACGAGCAGCATGGTGAGAAGGACGTGGAAACGCCAGCTCCGGTGGCGGGCGAAGCGGCGAAAGACAGGGAAAAGCCCAAAGACTTCAATACTGAATAGCGTCAGGCCGAATACCTGGCCGGTTGATGGCAGGCGGCTGGCAAGAACGGTGGACGCCATTAGGGCCGCATTGGTTGACAGGGAGGCGACTGAAATGTTGTTTACACCGGCCCAGGTACCCGAATAGTCGAAAAAGAAGATGTTGATCGCAAGCAGCCAGAAGGACATGGCCCAGATGCTGTCAGACGATGTGGAGCGAGTCAACGACTTGAGAATCGGCGACAGGCCAAGCAGAGTGAAGTATATCAGAAGAGCTGACTTCATGGCGTTGATACGGAGATGGGCGCGGCCGCCCCGGAGGGGTGACGATGGCCTGTGTCTAGGCCCGGCCAGGATGTCGTTGCGCGCGGTGGGGCTCGTCGCGCTCATTTGAGAGGTGGCCGAGATCAGCGAGACGGCCGAGATCGAATATGGGTTTGCAGCAGAGAGGGCGCCGCCACGGTCTAGCGTTGATCCACCATGCTCGTCACCGCTGCCGGAAATGATGGAGAGTCTCGGCCGCTCGGCCGGGGTAGGGCGGGGCAGCAGGTTAGAAGTGGAGCTGGCTGTGGAGGGCACGTCGGCGTCGGAAACGGCGGAAGCGCCAACAGCCGTCGCGGCGGGGTTGGTACTCCTCGAGATAGCCCCCCCAGTCAGTGAGCCAGACCTGTCGGGCAGGGAAGACCTCGAAAGACGATCAAAATGCGTGTGATTGGCCAGGTTCGACGGGTCGGCGGACGTGAGAGCGCCACGACTGACATCCTCCTCGGCGGCCTCCTGGCCCACCCATCGATCGACAAGACACCAACCGACAAAGGTCGCAAAGCTGCCCCAGCTTACGACCGACACGGGACTCACGCGCTCCTGGAAAATGCTGACGAAGCACACGACGAAGATTATGACGGAGCACACATGCTGAACAATGACGGTAGAGTCGGCAACAAGAGGCCAGAACTCGTAGGGCTGGAGCCGCGGGTTCCGCTGGAGGTTGTCGAGGAAGGTTGCTTGATCTGTGTAGTTATCGGGGTCTGTCTTGTAGCACAAAGCCTATGTTAGTATTGTCAGTTGTCAAGCCACAGATGTGGTGTGCTGGACAGGGCGAGGGCGTGCTGCAAGGGAGCAAGGAGACGGACATGACTGCTTCACCCAGAGCAGCTTCTTCCAAGTTCTCTTGGCCCTTCGGCGGCTGCGGCTGCGGCTATCTCGCTGCCTCGAACGGCGGTTGACGGCATCGGTACTGCTGTTGCTGACGGTATTGAGACTACGCTCGGGGGCTGAGGGCCTTGTTGGCGTCAAGTATGACGAGGGGCTAGGCCGGGCAGCAGTCGACTGGTATGTGTCCTCGAAGTCCGAGGGCAAGGACGACTGGTGCAGACCAGAGAGCGGCGCCATGGAGCAGGCCACCCGTGGATTCCGCGGATGAAAGAGCGACGTTGAAGCGAGCGCTGCGCAGGCCCGACGAGCCACGTGAGGGTCGTGAGCAGGATGTTTCCGCGGGTGCTTGTGTGCTGTGGCCGGTTCGGGCTTCCTGGGATTCCCCGGTGGAACCTGCTGCGGGTGCTGGAGCGCTGGAACTTGGCGTTCGTGCATGCGCCACCAGCCATGATTGTGCTGCGCCGGAACCCGCGCACCACGGACCACGGGTGGCCCACAGGGACTGCAAGGGTCCCCTGGCATAGGCCGTGGTCCAGACACAAATCTTGCTCTTGATATCCGTCTGGCGGGCAGGCCTAGACCTCGTGGAACGGCCAGCCCATTCGATTGGGCGCCGTCAGCTGGAAAACGGACATGAGCAAGGAGCAAATGGCGTGTCTTGGCATGCACTGGTCGCGGCGCGTGGCCCAATGCCAGTGCTTCTGGCCCCCTTCTCCTCTGGGTTCATGTTGTGCCTCATTCGCTGTTCCGACAAAGCACGCAAGGGTTGAGCCTGCGTCTGCCTGGCCTGCGTGCTGGAACCAGAAATTTCCAAGTTTCCGGCGTTCGTTGGGGAATGATAGGCAAGCAACACGCATGCCAGCAGGGTGCTTGACTGTCCGACGGGCCATTGGGTGTATTTTAAGCACCGGAACCTGGGGCTGGTTGTGCGCTGTGTTTTGGGCTGGGCTGTCATAACCACGTTCATGCGACGGTGGGGAGGGCCTTGTCGAACCTTTTGGCCCGATTTGGAGAAGCATGGCGCAATATAGGCGGCTCGCCGAAATCCTCGTTGAATAAACTATCGGCAGCCCTGCAGCCCCCTGCTAAAGTGGTGCAAAGAAGCATTGTCTCCGCTTGCAATCCAGCTTCGCTTTCACCTGGGCATCGAAAAGCCATCCAGAATAAATAAGCCCACGCCACGCTCCCGCTCTCCCCCGACCTTCATCCACATTTCCACCACCCACGCCGACAACACGAGGCACGCCGAGGACTAGGCACACCGAGGGACGATCGAGGACCAAGGCACACACGCATCCGCACACGAGCCCCACGTCCCTCTTCTCACCTTGGTCGATCCGACTCCACGCGCCACTCACACACCACCAGCACCATGAAGGCGGCATTGCTTCTACCGCTCCTCCTGCGGCTCGCCGCTGCGCGTCCCGTCCTCGCTGTCGTTGACGGGGCCGGTATCGAAGTGCCCCATTCCCCGCCTCAAACGCGAGTAAAGCCAGAAACGCCCTTGCCCGTGCTCAACGGCGGCGCTCAGTCCTTGGAGCCCATCGACAACCGGCCGCAGATGCCCCCTAGCTCGGCCATGCCATCGGTTGTTCTAGCGGAGCAAAAACCTATCCCGACAACATACCTCCTCTCCCTGCCGCGGAAGGGACACAAGAGCCAGGTTGTGGCCAGCACCGCCCCAGTCACCAGCGAAAAGGTCGGCACAGTCCACCAAACCGCAGAGGCACCGGCGACCCGAGGGCACCAGCCAACCACCACATCCTCCACGGCTCACCCTTGCCATCGCGCCTTTGCGGCATACCGCCATCGCGTCGAGGTGGTTGTCATCTTTCTTGTGGCTCTGTTTGTTGCCGCAATCGTCAAGGCAGAGTCAAGGGGTTCTCGCGATGAGTAAGTCGCCTCCAAAGCCCACTGTCCCCTGGCACCATGAAGCTTGGCTTGCTTGGTCCTGCACCCCCACTTGCCCATGGCTGTGCCTGCTCTTGCCCTCAAAATGCTAACGCCTATCGCTCCAGGTTCTCAAACGACACAAACGCAAACGACGGTCCAACAGGAGTCATCCGACTCGAAATCGAGCCGCCATCAACACAGCAGCCCCTCTCGATCCAGGCGGAACACAGACATGGACAGGTCGTATCAGAGAAAGTACACCTATGAGACGCGACAATGTTGGGGCGTGATGAACACATACCATGAGCCACCAATCATCCACGGCCGAAGGCTCATTTCTTTTGTCAGGCCCGTCCTTACCGGAACTTGAGCACATGCATGTGCTCTCGGATATGTACTCGTTGTATTTTATTCGGCGCGGACGTTGAGGAGTTCCATTGCGGTAGGCGTTACCAGTTTCAGGGTGCGTTTGGATGTCACTTTTTGGATTCATGATTCTGGCTTTTTCGCCATTCATACCAGGCCTGCTTTTTTATGTTGTACCACTTATTCAACAACCGACAAAAGTGAACTCTCCTCGTCTTTCCCCGTCGTCCACACTGTCTTCATGTTGCATACCAGCCACGCCGCGGTGAACCGCCTCTTGAGGGCACAATCATATACGAGCGGCAGGGTATGCATAAGCCCAGCCATGCATGCCGAGCCAGCCCCTGCAGGGGCTCGGCGCGCTAGCCACGGCGAAGATCCCCCTCGAGCAAATTGGACACATCTGGGTGAGACACGACAGGCAGAAGGCTTGATCGGGAGGCTGCTTTTCCACTGGCCAGTGAACGAATGGGTGAGCCCCGAGAGGCCGAAAGACGGGCGAGCTGAACACTGACCGCCCACCAGTGCCGCCTTCTTCTGGCTCTGCGGGTGAGCTAGCCCTGGGAGTCCTGCATGCTTGGGCTTGGCCACTTGGGTGATCCCCACCAGCAGCGCAACTGAGGAGTTGAGGCACAGGCAAGCGCACCAACAAGAGCCAGTCAAACCCCTCATTCGGCTCCCTGTGCTGGCTCCCCAGCCTCGCTGATTGCGGCGGCCGCCGATCCGGCCTGTGGTCTGGAATCTCGTGCGAGCGAGTGCCTCCACTTCCCCACCTACCTTGCTCCCTGTTGCCTGCCTGCCCACCACACAGCTTGACAGCGCAGTTTGCAGTTGAACGAAGACCATTGTTGCGAATGCATTCGCCTCCGAAAGACCTCACTACCCAATAATCACCCTGCGTGTCTGCTCAGCGCCCGCTTCCTATCTCTCCGATCCGATTGAGCCTAGATCTAGAGAAATGTCACTCCAAGTTGACGACGAGCGCCGCCGCGGCCGGTCGCGGTCGCCAGCTGCACGCGACAGAAGCCGCAGTCGCGAGCCACCTAGGGTCGTTGACGCCGCCCCTTCCCCCGAAGACAGGGACGACCGACAGGGCGCGCCCCGCGGCTATGACTATCCGGATCACCAACCCTCCTCGTACGACTACCACGGATATCAGTCACCGCGATCGCCCACAGATGACTCGTACCGTCGGGACCCTCGAGGCAGGGACCCCCGGGACGATGCTGGACGGGAGCGCGGCTACCCGGAGTCGGACCGCTTCTCATACCTCCCGCAAAAGTACGCCGCGGCAGCCCCACCACCCGACCCTCGCGACAGCAGGAACCGGTACGAGGATGACCTTGCGTACGGGGCGCCGCCGAAGGCACTAGAACCGTCCTCTTCGGGCGGTTATGGAGACCGGGCCGCCGGTTATCGTCAAGATCTTCTAGGAGCCGCCGAGCCGCCCAGGCGGGAGCGGTCCCGGAGCCGTGGTGGCTCAGCAAGCGTGGTGACGGTGGAGCCTGGCTCCAGCAGCGGCCGGCGCCTAGCCCGCGAGGCCTCGCCGCAGCCGCCCACGGCGCGCATGTCGACGCTTTCGGTCAACACTGGCCACCACTCGCTCAACATGTCCCTATCATCTGCGCCCCCCTCACCGCTGCTCGAGTCGTATCACGGCACCTACCAGTCCATGTCTCCCATGCCCTCGCCGCTCCTGCTCGCATCACAGAGACCCGATGCGCAAATCATGGACGTTACCCCGCTCGGGTCCGACGACGAGCGCTACGGTGGGGGCGGCGAGAGGAAGCGTCGCGCACGATTCGCCGACCCTGCCGGCGACGCGGAGCGGCTGGCGAAGGCCCTCAAGGGCAGCGGGCCGCCTGACACAGAGCCGCTGCTGGAGGTCCTGCCCGGCATGACACACGAGCAGATCATGACGCTGAGGACCGAGTACAAGGCGCTCGTGAAGACGGGGCCTGAGCGCAAGGGCGTCAACGTGGCCAAGCACATCCGGTCGCGGCTCAAGGATGAGGACCCGTCGCTGATGAAGGCGTGCTACTCGGTCGCGCTGGGGCGGTGGGAGTCGGAGGCGTACTGGGCCAACTACTGGTACCAGGGCGACAAGACGCGACGCGAGCTGCTGATCGAGTCGCTGATGGGACGCGCCAACGACGAGATCCACGAGATCAAGTCGGCCTTTAGCGACAAAAAGTACGACAACAGCCTAAGGACCTGCATGAAGACAGAGCTCAAGGAGGACAAGTTCAAAAAGGCCATCATGATGGTGCTCGACGAGCAGCGCATGGAGGAGACGGACCGCCACGGCCGCTTGCTGCCAATAGACCGCATGCTGGTCGAGGACGACGTCAAGGCCCTCAGGCGCGCCGTCATGTCTGACAAGGGTGGCGAGAGCGCCATGATCGGCATCATTGTGAACCGCAGCGACAACCATCTTCGGGAAGTTCTGAAGCTTTACAGCCACGATTACAAGTCGAATTTTGCCCGTGACGCGTTGAAGAAGAGTGGAAACCTGGTCGTGAGTAGTCCGCACGCTTGAGCCTACCTACCCGTGGATATGACATATATCCCACAGATCCTCAACACCCCAACTCATCCCATCCCACCCCACCCGCCATCTGGAAAACCCCCACGCTGATATTCCCGATTATTCCCGCTCAGGGCGAGCTCCTGGCGCATATCCTCAACGGTGTTATTAACAAGCCGGTCCGCGACGCGCTGCTGCTTCACCATGCGCTCACGGCGTCCAAGCGAGACGGCCTGCGGCGGGAGCTGCTCACCTCACGCCTGGTCCGCTTTCACTGGGACCGGCATCACTTGGCGGACGTCAAGGCGGCATATCGCGAACGGTACGGCAAGGACTTGCAAGAAGCCGTCAAGGACGCCACTGGCAACAGCGACTGGGGTCGGTTCTGTCGAGAGCTCTGCATCACACGCATGCCCGACGACGTCCGGAGGGTCGAGCGTGTCACTCGACACTAATGGGAGGGGAATGGGCTGGCAGAAAAGCCAAGTCCCATACACGGCGCGGCGCGGCCTATCCCGGATGCCAACGGTGGTTTGCGGGAATTACTCTTTGTGGGGAGTTGAGTAGCCCTCGGAAGGACCAGATAGTTAGTTCTCTTGAGTGACGGTGCCTGAATAGACAGACACACAAATATCGCATTTATCCCAGTCAGCACGGAAGGTATTTGCCTCGGTAGTTACCATGTGGTCGCACAGTCATCGGATGACTCCGAATGGATCATGATGACGGGAATGAATGGAAAAGAACACCCCGGCGGCTTTCGTGCACATGGCGCCCGTCCTAACTCCGGGCCCACCGGCCTTGACCTATCCCCTACGACTCCTCCTTGTCTCTCCTGCGAACAACAGTAAGCCCAGTGCGCGCCAAGGCGGCACCAAAGCAATGCGCCGTAACTCCGATCGCCAGTGTCGAGTCCGCCGGCATAACGGGTCATTGGGTAAGCCCGAACCCTGCACGCCGAGACAATACCTTTTTTTTTCTTTTTCGGAGCAACCCTTTGCTAGCGAAAGAGGCAGGATGCAAGGGGCATGCAACGAGAATGGGAGTTTGGGGTAAATACGAAATACTGGATCTGTCCCATCCGCCCCATATGGCGATGGTTTACTTCACAACGTATCGCGAGAGCTGGCGAGTTCTCAATGGGGCTTGGCCGTGTGTGAGTGCATGTCCCTTCGCATAGCCTACTCCCTATCGGGCAGATGCGCATGTGTCGTAACGCAGATGTTCTATCATGAATGGTTGGAGTTAGGTATCTACAAGATCTTTCCTCACATCGCAGTGATCCTGATCGCTTCTAGGCATGCCAGACCCTCACATGCGCAACGTCTCTGGGTCATATCCCGAAAACATCATCGGGTCTCCCAACCCCATCATAGCCGCCGGGTTGGCGCACGATGGCGCGTGCGGCTTCAGGATCCCAAACTCGGACTCGAGCAGCCCCTGGCGCAGCAGGTCCTCGTCCATAAACTGCGCGTCGGCGCGCTGGAGGAAACTGTCGTGGAAGTCGTCGATCGCGCCGACCCCCACCACGTCTGCTATGCTGATGTCGGGCCGCGCCGGCATGCCGCCGCCCGCGCTGCCCCACGGCTCGTAAGACAGGCCGGAGGCGCCCGGGCCGAGGGCGGGGGAGTGCGGGGAGAAGCTCGCGGCCGAGTCCGGCCTGGCGTCCAGGTCGGTGTAGAGGCTCTGCGGCGACGCCGCGCCCGCCGACGACGAGGGCGCGTTGGCCGCGCCGCCGCCAAACGCCATCTTCCTATAGTCGTGCTCTAGGTCCGACGTATCCATCTCGCACGAGCTCGCCCGGTCCGCCCGCGACGAGCCGGCGGCCTGTTGCTGTTCCTGTTGCTGTTGCGTCTGGAGCGTCGCTATCAGGTCGGCCAGCCCGGCCTCGTCCTCCGGGAAGGCGGCCTGGACGGGCACGTGGTCGACGTCGCTGTTGGGCCGGATGCAGCTCAGCCGCGAGGCGATGTCGTGGATGACTGCCTGGCCCCTGTCGTTGAGTTCGGGCTCACCCAGGTCCCAGGCCCGCGACTCGCGGACCATGGCGTAGAGCTTGTGAATGGTCGCCACGAGGGCGAACTGCGTGTTCTCCAGCACCTCGGCGTAGCCCCGTGGTATGTTCTTGTACTCAGCCTTGCGCCGCAGGCCGGCCGTGCAGACGAGTCCGTCATCCTTGCACCTTTTGCAGGGAAACTCGCCGTCGCACTGGTTGGGTGCGCGTCAGTCCATGTTGTCGCTCGCTCAGCTGGACCTGTCAACGCTTACCTTTGTCTTCTTCATCCGACACCTCTCGCAGGCTTTCCATACCCTCTTGTGTCTTGCGTCTGCCGAAGACTGTGAAGTTGCTGCCGCCGACTGTGGGTCGAGCGACGATACATGGCTGGAGGGTACTGGTAGATGCACCCTGATGGAACCACGTTTTGAACTCCGCTGAGCTGCCTTTGCCGACTTGGATACTGCCGCGGTTTTCCTGACGCTATATGCTTTGGTAACGTCCTCCCGCGGTGGTGTTGGTAGCCCACTCCCCATCCTGTTGTTGGTCGCAGCTAGTACTGCAGACAGCTGGACCACGGGTATTCACCAGCACGCCGGCCTTGCTCCCGCCGAAGAAGGCCGAGTGACGCTTGTCTGACCCAAACCGCCTCCCGAGGTACCCCCGGACAGTTAGACGTGTGGGTGGGTGTGCCAGCGTAAGATTGGATATCAATCTTGAGGTATGTATAAGTACCACCAGTCCGACTGCAAAAATATCGAATGCAGGTATCGAGCAAAGTGGGCTCGGGTTCAGGCTGATTATGCGATGTGGACGGTGTTAGATGACAACTACGGCGGCGGGCAAACCGAGCAGGGGCCAAAGGGGGAAGGGAGAGTAAAAAGGAAGGAAGGGAAGAAAGGGAGACGCAACGGCAATGGAAAACACCATCGACGCCACTACTAATAAGCACCATAACGGCGATGGGGGAAACCGGCACGATTAATAATGTCCCTTTGCGCTTGCAGGTGGGATCCAGAGGGACGCGTCGGGGTCGGCCTCGGGCTCGGAGTCGGGGTCGGGTCGTTCATCGTGCGGTCATCAACTTGCCCAAAAGGGGGCGCCCGAACTAGAGGGATGGACAGGGGTGCCATCAGGGCTGGTCAGACTCACCAGCCCGCTATTCTGCTCCCGCCCCAAACGGGCTGTCAATCCTGACCAGATAGCATTTCAGCGTCTGGGCAGCTTTGCCATGCGGAGCAACAGCCCGCCCGCCTGGGCGCCCATCCCCTGCTCCTTGTATCGGCGCCGAGCTGCCAGTCAAACTGGTGTCCCAGCATTTGAGCTCTCGTGGAGCCAAATGCCGACTGTAACAGTGCAAGGTTGCCGATGGCAAGCGGCTGCGCCCTTTGCCACACCCCAAGACCCTTGCCGCGCCTAGTCGGCCTTTCCTTTAAGTCCGATTCGCACCGAGCCTTTCCGGCATTTGCCCACACTTGACCACCTGATGAACTGGGCAGGGTGACATGGTGTCAGGGCAGAACCAGCACAGACGCCAAATGACTCTGGCACCAAAGTGGTTCCTGTTGGTTTGAAATGGCGCGACTCAGGATGAGCGTCCTGGGGCTTTTATAGCTGACCGAGGCTAGGGAACGCGTGGGACCGCAAAAAAAACAAAATAAAAAAAACAGTGTGACGTGGAGATGCAAGGACAACACGATCATCATTCTGGCCAAAGAGAAGAGCCTTTGAAAGCAAGCCCAAACAGTCGCTACGCCAACATGGACGCTTGCAAGCGGCTGTGGACGCACATGTCAAGCTCACACCCAGCTTCAAGCCGAGATCGGCCATCGAGCCGAATGTCGTTATCCCCACAGGAGACTGCACCAAACTGCATCAAATCCTCAAGCCACGCGCACGCTAATCACGCACAACGTGCGCAGGGTTCAAGGGTTCTGGAATACATCACGACGTGTGCTTGCGCACCGGATTTTTTGTCCGTCCGTTTGCAACTTGACCTCCTGGCCCCGAGCAAATGTGGTGTTAGCTAGAAGGTTAACCACCGAGCTGGGGTAAACTTGGCCGTCTTAAATGATGTCCACTTACATCAAGGTGACTACTCACACTCGGGGTTGTTTTCTTGCTTGTGTACTCAGTCAGCGACTAGATGCTGTTTCTACCTCCTTGCCCCATCTTGATGTCTCATCACCACCCTCCCATTCGTTCTCGATGTACCCAAGCTCGCGCTTGACCAGTTCGACGGTGGCTGCATCGCCGGTGTTCTTGCCAATATTGTCGCTATTACGCGCGTAGACATGAATAGGAGCACATGGCCTCCCGTTAGAAAGCGAGACATGGACAGGGGAATACTGTTCTTAGAGCCGGCCGCTTTGGGGCTGGCGGCACCCCCCAAGGGGAGTTACTGACCTCAGCTTAACTGCCGGGGTTCCGTCGACGGAGCTCAGCTTGATGACGATATTCAGCGGCACTGACTTGTTACCCGTCGATAGGTTGAGGAAGTCGTTAGTGAGAAAGGTGCCGACGCCAAACGTTGGTGTCAGTCCAGCCTCTTCCGTAATTTGCTTGTACTCGAGGCAGCGTTCGATGTTGAGCGAGTCCGAGAAGACGATAATCTTCTTCTCCTTGATGCCCTGCTCGTCATAAAAGGCCCGCATCCTCTTGACGAAGTTGGCAGGGTCTCCCGAGTCCTGACGAACCCCCGCAAACACATCGGCGTATGTCTTGCCGGTGCCAGCCTTTATCTCATGCGCGGGGTCGAGCCAGCGCGCCGGCCGGCCGAACGCCTTGAGAAACTCCGGTGTCCCGAATGTGTCAGTGAGCGCAATGCCCAGGACACCCGGGCCGAAGCAGTCGACCCAACGGGCAAGGGCCTCCTCGGATGCGACCTTGTAGTCGCCCACAATGGCAGCAATGCCCATGAACCACTCGTGCGCGACGGTCCCTACCGGGGCCATATTGAAGCGCATGGCCAGATGAACGTTGCTGGTGCCCGTAAGGTTGCCGGGCCAGCCGCCATCTTGGGCCTCCTTGCCGGCCTTTGCAAGCCCTCGGAAGACCAGGGCTTGCGTGTGGTAGTCGCGGCGGCGACGGGTGCCGAACTCGGACACGACGCAGCCGGCCTTGAGCAGGCGCACACCCTTGTCGTAGGCGAGCTCCTCCTGACCCCGGTAGTCCCAATCCGTGTCCATGAAGCGGAAGTAGGCCTCCGAGGTCAGGGCCAAGATTGGGATCTCGTAGAGGATCGTGTCGACCCACCTACCACTGATCTGGATGTCGACATCGCCCAGAACGTCATCGGCGCCTGTATCGGCGTCGAGCGGGACAAATTTGACAAGTACCTGGTCCCGAGGGCTCAGCCGGAATTGGCGAAGGAACGCTAGATATTCGCTTGTGAGGTAGGAACAGTTGTCTTTGAGGAAACGGTACTCTTCGTCTGACAGCGAGATATTTCCCAGCTCTGATGAACGAGGTTGCACAAAGGATTGTCGTTTAAACGATTCATTTTGTTTCCGCGGTTAGCCCGCCACCACGGTCATGGATAGGGATGGGAAAGAGGTGATGGCGAGTGGTGGGGTGGCCGCCCTGGTGGGGGGTTTCCCTACTCCTGATCTGGTCGGCGAGCCATTGGTAAGCGGCGCGTGACAGCCTCTTGTCTGGTGTACGGTTGCTAAAGGCGTAAGTGACTGAGGCACTGCTGAAGTGCTTGAGGACGGCGCATTGCATAGTGAGTTTGTACAAGTCCGTGTCAAGAAAGGATATGACGCCCTCCGGATACGGAGAGCCGCTGTTAAACTCCATGGTGATGGCGGCGTTGGCAAGGGCGGCGGCTGCTGTTAGTGCCGAGAGTCCTTTGTTCGTTTGATGATAGATTCGGAATCGGCAATGACGGCAGCTAAATACCACACATCGCAGGTACATGACTTGGTCCCTCCGCCCGCTGTAGCCCCACGCCCACTTAATCCACCCAACTACCGTGCGACATAACTCCAGTTTTTGTGAAACACACCAGCTTTAGGTTGCTTCAAACACACAAGAAGTGTTATAAACCACGTTAGTAGGAGTTTAAAATTAAGAAAAATGGGTTTTTTAATACGAACGTAACGTTTACGCTACGTTTAAAGCCGTTTGTAAAACGTATTTACTTAATAATATTTTTGCTTTTCCCCGTTACCCCGCAAATAACCCCAACATTATAGCTTAACGCAATTTCGTTATTTCCAATATTTATACCGGAATCGTTTTTATAATTAATATTTTAACCTATTTTTTCTCGAAACGGTTGCATTAACGCATTTCCGTTTTTTTAAAAAAAAATTGGTTTAATATTTGTATTTAAAGCGTAATTGCACGTTTATTTAATTACATTCGTTTTTGCAACGATGTTATTGCTTTTTTTAATACCGTTAAGCCCCGTTTAAATAAGCCTAATTTTAATAATTTTTTTGCAAATTAATAACGGTAATAATAATAATAAAGCCGGCGAAAAGAATAAAAAAAGGGAAAAAAAGGAAGTAAATGTAATTAACCCCGTTAGTAAATCGATTAAATTCCAATTTATTAATACGGAAACAAGCGGCTGTACGGGTTTAATAAAAGTAATTATTGCGGTGGTTGCGGTTAAAAAGGAAATGGCAACACCTGAAAAGGATATTAAAAAAGTTGCTGCTTTCCCCCCCCCCCCCCCCTTTTTCCTTAAATTCCCGGCAATAACTTTGCTAGTTATAACAACGATATCGAAAACGTATTTTACAAAAGTTCCTTAAACGTATAAAAGCTTTAAGATTTTTTATCCCCGTTTTATTTGCGGTATAAACTTTTTTATAATTTAGGTTTTTTTAAATAGGCCGCCGAAACTTGCTTTTACGGGTTCGAACAGGGTTGGGAATTAAGTTACAATTAAGTTATTAAGTCATTTTTTAAGTTAAACTTTGCGATAAAATATAAAATCAACAAAAACAGGTAAAACGTTTATTTTTTCGTATTTATATAAACAAATAGCAAAAAAAAAATATTATAAGTTTATATTACTTAAAAATGGTATATAAGCTGGTAAAAATGCATTAAATTACAATTAGTTAAAAAAAAGTTAAAAATAACTTAAAAAATGACTTAATGCAAATTACGTAATATATAGTTACGTAATTAAATATTTTAAATATTATTTATATAAAACTGAGTTTTGTGTATTTAATGGTGGTATTTTTATACTTATAATTATAATAGTTAATTTAATATTAAGCTTTAAACTGTAACTTTTTACTAACTTAACGAGTAACTTAAACAACTTAATTCCCAACCCTGGGTTCGAATAAATTTCCGTTATTTATGCATAAAAATAAATAGCTGCGTTATTTTTGCTTATTAATTCGTAATAATTATTAATGGTTAATAAAATATTTAAAGGGTTTTTTAATAAAGTTTAAAATAAATTTAACTTTTTAAGGCTGGGGTAATTACATTTTTTTAAATTTACCGTCTTTATTGCAGCGTTTTTCCTTTTGTCTATTTTTTCCTTTTTTATTTTAATTTTTAATTCTATTTATTAATTAATGTTGCTTG